ACCGCCCAGGTCTGAGCACTTGGCCCTTCCACCGCCCCCGCTCTTATTAGCAGCGTTCTTGTTTGCCTTTTCGCATTTTTTGCAAGGTCCTTCTTGGCGCTCTTGTTGTGGTTATGCTTGCTTCTCTTGCCGCTGTGTGGAAGTACAGTACACGGCTAAAATCTTTATTAGTTTGTTTTTTTTGAAAGAAAAAATAATAATAATATTTATAAAAAATAATAATATTTATCAAGCAATAAAGTTCATAGATAAATAAAGTAAAATAATCTCTAGGGGACTGGAAACACTTTTTGGTTGGCATCTAAAAGTATGCTATGAAAAACATTGTCCTTGAACATGTCTCAAGTAGTCTTTTACTATAATTTCTTTTACACATCTGAAAAGTGATGCAAAGACTTGGAAATTCTACTGAAAAATTAAAAAAAAAATAAAAAATAATCTCTCACTTTGGTTTATCAAAGTTATCATTATTAGTTTTCACGTTCTTTCACTGTAAATTCATCCATTGAAGCGCAGCAACAAAGCGCGAATTACCGCCATTTTGTGCACTTTGAACGCCATGTTGCCGTTTTTATCGCTCTGCTCCTTCTCATCCTTCTTGGTCCTTTGGCCACCTACTCTCTGCTCCACCCCCTCCAAGGACCTCTTGTCATTGCAGCTGCCAAGTAATTTTCGCAGAACCAAAGAGTGCAGCGCGCGTCTCATTGAGGCGGGTAATTGATTTATGTATTTATACTGATTTTTTAATTAATTTATAAGCTTTGCTCTCTCTCTGGAGTGGCGGGAAGCCCAAAATGCTATTTAATGGCAAAGTGCGTAAATCAATTGCCGATGGATGCTGCCTGCCTGCTGTAATAATAACCTTTTTCACTGCTTATTATAGCAACTATTTTCTATAGATCGTAAATCAGCCAGTAAGTGCCAGTGTAAGTGGGAATATTCAATTAAAACCTTTCAAGATAAATGAGATTGAGCTGAGCTAGTAATTCAATTTTCACTCTTTTGATTTAATAACATGTTCTGAGTTGGAGTTGAGGCTAAAAGGGGATTATAATCATAAATTGATTAACTAATCTTTAGGGAAATTTAATACTTATTAATGGGATATTTTAAAATGGTAATAAATAGTCATTTTATTATTTAAAATTATATAAACAACAAAATAAACTCAACCATATTCAATGTTTTTCTATTAAAAACAAAACTAAATGGCTTAAAAATGTAAATAAAATTCTAATTTCGTGCCTAAGCCAGTCTTAACAATATTTCGACCGCCACTGTTGCGGTGGGCGTGGCCTAGGCTGTCCACTCTTTATTAGCAATACAAATGCAAACAAACTGCACAAACACAGAAACACCACTCTATTCGTAATCGTGTGTGTGTGTGTGTGTGTGTGAGTTCATTTCCGGTGGGGGGGGCGACGTTGTATGTTAATCCTTGTTGTTGTTGCAGTTGTAGTTGGTCCTTGTTGCGTTTGCGTGCATATGAAAATTAAAATTGTTGACAATTGTCATTTTTTTTCGCATTGCTGTTGTTGTCATTGTGTTGTCAGCGTTGTTACCGCGGTTGTTGTGGCTCAAACCGCCCACTGTTGTATTTTCACCACCTCCCCCTACTGGCTTTTGCCCCACGACCACCATCTACCGATGTCGCTGCTGCCACACGCAACTAACCGCATTTTGATTGCCATGCATTCGACCGAATCGTGCTCGTTGCTAAATTGAAAGCATTTTCCGTGCCGTGAATCTCGGTTGGCAGCAGCAGCAGAAGCAGCAGCAACAGCAGCAGTTGGAAAAAAATGCAGAAAAATAACACACATATTCGCAGAAACCGGAGAAAGAACGGAAGTTGTCGGTGGCGTGTTGCATGCGTGGTCTGCATCCACAGTACCACTGGCACGCCCCCTCGCCCCCTGGTCCTCATGCCTTCTTATCCTTATCGCCAACAGGCTGGGCGATTTGTTTGCCAGCTCAGCTCATCTCATCGCCGAGCGAGAGAGGGTGTGAAACTGCATTAAAATTGGTTATCCTGTAGGTGACAACCATCCAATCAATCGGAATATACATGCCATTTATGCGTGCACATGGGGAAACTTTATGTTAATCATTTTATTCGATTTTAAATGTCTTTTCAAATCTAATTTTATCTTTAAACTTATCTTTAATACTCCATAAATAGAATGTATCTTAAAAGTTATAAAACAGACAATTAAAACATTAACTTTGTGTAACTTCACTCAATCAACTTAAGAATGGAAAATATATCATTCATTTTCAAAGACTTTATATCATTTTTTGTAATATTTTTTTCTCCGTGCACATATGACGAGACTTTGCCGTCTCCTAACTCAATTGATTTGCTAATGTTCCGGAGGTGCTAAGACCAGAATCAGGCTTAATTAAGTTTTTGTGTTGCTGCCGGGTGAGCGGCAGACTGTAAGTATGTACGAGTATATGTATCCCTAAGGCACTGGGAAACGCGTACATCTTGTATCTGTATCTTGTGCGAGTATCTTACAGATACACGCAGCTAAATCTAGCCAGTCGTGGCAGCTGTCAGACGGAAATCTCGCAAGTTCATTGAGCCACACAATAACATAATTATTCAATTACACGTTGTTGCTTGTTGATTTCACTTCAGTTTAAACAGAAAATGGAAAAAAAGAAGAAATACCATAAGATGTCTAAGAACGTAATCGTTCCGACCAACAAAATCAACAAGCGAAGGGCTAATGCAATTACAGGAATCCAGGCGGATATTTGTAGAACGGAAAGGGCAAACTCTTGGCGAAATTGTGAATGGTAGACCAACATTTGCACAGGCCATAAATTCCCAACATTCGCCAATGCCAATAAGTTGGGAGCGGGGCGGGTCGGGAGGTAGAGGTCTAAAGTTTTACATTGGTAACCGAAAAATATGCAAAGCAGTCATAATTTTACTTTAGAACCGAAATATTTTCGAACGAAATTGTTAGCAAACAAACTTTTTTATGCATCAACTAATTTCAATCAGCTAACAAAAATGTGCTTGCTGCCCTTTTCCAGCAACCGCAGAGCAAGTGAGATGGAGATTGTGAGGAAAAGCGCCGAAAACAAACGGAAAACTTTTGTCAATAATGCCGACTACGACGACGACGACGTTGTTGTGGCTTCAGTTTTCGTTGCCGTCCTGACTGCTTTCCTTATTGTAGTTGCCATCGCCGCCAATGTCTTAAATCCCCAACTGATTGCGCTGAGTGGCAGTGACAATCGGTGAGGGGAGAGTTGACTTGATGGTCGAGGGTTAAGACCATTCATGGCTAACTGCGAATGATCCGATGCACCTGCCTCACCTTTCTCTAAAGAAAACAGTTTCACAATCAACTACTCAGGATGAAGTAAATACAAAGTTAGTAAGGAAATGGAAAAACATTTGGTTCTTTGAAAGGGACTTTGAAGAAGTTGTAGGCCCTTGGACTTGGACTTTGGTAAAAATTGTAAACTAAAAATCATTATTTGTTGATTGTAAGCAATTAATATAAAATAAACTATTGTTGAAATGGATACTGCCTATGAAAATAAGGTAAAGAGTTCTCTGATAAGATAAAATGTAAATATATTTAGTCGCCTTCTTAAAGTAATTAAAGTAAATAAAACAAACCTATTCTCAAGATTACCAAGACCAAACCTCAGCACTCACATTTGCTTGTGTATTAACTAGAAGCAGCCTGAAGGACGAATGTAAATAAGGACATCGAGGCACCCAGCTGCCTCTTTTGAGCATTAGCCAGGTTACCTGATGACCTGCCAAAGTGTGAGCCACGGGGCTTCACCTTGGCTAATACATTAATTAACTTTACCTCCCGACCATTGTATTCGAATGCCACTTATTCGTGGGCTTATCATTGAGCCAGGGCGAAGGGTCGGTAGCGAAAAACAAATACAAATACAAACGCAAAGCTGGCCCTATTCTGGTTAACAATCAGAACAACAAAAATGGGCGCACAAAACTTTTAATGAGCTAACGCCGCTGATTCAGCGTTCTAATTAACATTTAACGAGCACTTCCACGTCCAACTAGCCCAGGAATTGGTCTCAATATGGCCAACCTACGGCATATTATTTGCAGGTGAAGCAACAGATTCCTGTGCCGAATGTTAGGCTCCTGGGAATTATTCAATTTCGGCTTCCATTTACTGAAATTTATGAGATCCTTTTTGGGTTAAATTATTTATTCGACGCCCAACTAATGATCCAGAAATTTGTTTTGTTTTATACATTTTACTTCTTTGGGAATTCAAATGTGACTATTGAGATTACTTTGGTTTTTGAGGAATTATTTAGTAGCATTTTCTAATTTCATTTTTAAACTTTCTTAGGATGAACCTTTGCATTATAAGTAAAAGAAAATTGCATCTCCATGCAGATCAAACCGTAGTTTCATAAGATATTAGGTACCACAAGAATTGTTCATTATTAACTAAGATAAAATAAGACCTAAGATTGATAAATATTTTTTGGTCTTCCTAAGCCTCATAATTGATGTTAGACTTATGGAATGGTCTTCACCAAATTACTCGCTTCTGTATAATTTAATAATAAAAATCTCTTATCCAAAATAATCCAATTCATTGTTTTTCAATATTAATTAAAAACTTCAACGAATTCCAGGTTTTTTTACAATAATTCTACATAATCATAGAGCGACACACTAAGAATACGTCTGTTTTGAGAACTATAAGCTATCATCCCCAAATATCAAAGGCGCCATCTAGACCAAAGAGTTTCCAACGCCATTTAGCTTTCCCCCAAAAAAGCTACCCCAAAACCTATGGGGGTGGAACTTGGAAAGTTGAAGAGCCGGCTAAAGCTCCAAGAGCTGAGCAACTCTACGACCTGAAACATATGGCCTAGCAGGCTGCACAAAGCTGCGTCGTTGAGAGTGCGGCAAGAGAATATTTTTTTTACCGCTCCAACCGCTGGCGACGTGTTTATAACGGAACTCTCAGTTCGCTCGCGCTCAGGCTCTGGGAACGTTGTGCTCTGGACCGCCGAAGGACCAGCTCCACGCTGGGAGTACAGCCAACCAGTCTATATATATATACATATATATATATATACATTTGGCCTGAAGTGGGCAAAAGTGTGACAAACAGAACGGAAAGTTAGCATACTTTTGTGAGTGACGATTTGGCAAAATCGCGAGTTCAAGCCCCTCATTCCAGGATATCGAAGGAATGTGAATATGTGACCCAAATTGAAAACGCGTAAACGGGTCGCAGCTAACATATAAAAAAACACATATACATATATATGTATATGGGTAAAGGAGCATAAGTACATCTGTCAATACAAGGAGGTAATCCCCAAGCCGATCCGATATAGTGGGCGCGGTGGTGAAGTTGTTTAGCAAACACACATAAATTAATAATCAACATTGCTGGGCCTCGGGCAAAAAGTATCGGTTATGCGAGGGGGTGTGCGTGTGTTTGTTTTACTTTTCTGTCAGAGCTGCAAAAAAGAAAAAGTTCAATCGCTGTAACTTCAGGCCCAAACAGCCCAAAAGGTTTCGCCTGCTTCTGCTGCTCCCACTGCTGCTGCTCTTTTTTCTTTCAAGGCACAGCTGATTTTCAAAGCCCTCATGGCGAACATGTTGGCTTGTTTGGTTTGAAGCTCGGCACGTCCACTTCTGCACTTCCCTGCTCATTCCGAAAAATACAGTGTTCTGGGCCTAGCTTTACGGTTTTACGGTTCAGAAGCACGCACGCAAAGGGCAGCGCATCGTGCACACGTAATAATAAAGCCATAATCAAAGGTAACCCGGGACAACGTGGCGTATGCGTGTTCCCCGAGGTCGGTGGCCTGACCACCAGCTCGTCGCTACGACACACGGAATGTAAAGAATTCTGAGTTTGATAGAGCGAATATTTGACAATTTGAACAAATGCACTTTGAGAAATAAGTCTGGGGAAGCTCATCAGCTTATTCATTTTGCTAGGAACAATGACTAAGCACGATAATAATAATGATTAATCTCCCTTTTTTGATTAATTTATATTAAATTTTATGTAATTTTAGTTTTTGTAATTGCCTCTTTATTTAAGATCATCTTAATTATGTTTTTAAAGATACTCCAAAGACTTTGGACTACGATCCACCTACAACACTTTCCCATTAACATTTCCTTTGACCATGAAGCAGTTTGCAGAAATCAAACAAATCGAAAGTGTTTCCCCTCGAATTCGGAATTTCTGAATCTCAGATGGCATTGCGGCTAGCACCATATGCACATATTTGGCGCTCAAATCGCTTTCCCCCTCTTTGGAAAACAAGAAAACTCTTCAATCCCCCCGTACAAGCAAAACACCTATTTATGGAGCACAAGTGGTTATCCAAAATACTTATTCTGCCTTCCCATTCCTAAGGAACAGTTGCGGCCACACTTCGGCACTCAGCACCGGGAAAACCACAAACAACGTCTGCAGATGGGGCCGCATTTCAATGTGTTTTCACTCATATCTAGTTTTCCGGTAGCATATTTATTTTCCACTTTAATGGAAAACATATGCGCCGACACATGAATTCGTTGGAACACGCACTTGGCAAAAGGTAATGCCATGGATCGCTTTCGATTTAGATGCCTTCTATTACATTTCTCCGCTGACTGATTGCGTCTAATTGTTTCTAATTGCATGTGTAATTTAATTAAGGCAATTGCAAAAGTTCACCTTGAACCGCCAACCGGCTCATCAGTGGCCCAGTGTGTAAACGTAATTCAATATGCGATGATTGCAATTGCGTTGCTTTTTTACCATTTGCCTTACTACGGTCGGTGTCTGTTACGTGGAGAAATGGCAATCGATAAACGCCAACCAGAGCCTGGGCTTCCCGATTTGATTGCACTTATTTCACAGTCAGGCAGGCAGTCAGTCAGTCCATTGCCATGGCCACGATTATGTTTCTGCAGAAATAGCGTAAAAGTTTTCAGGAATCGCCTGTTTACAGGGCCAACAATGATTGGCGGCCAGTGGATCGGTTAACAAGGGTAGACGTCCCGTTATTGCCACAAGTCAGGCAAACACTTCAACCTTTTGTAGACCTTTCGCTCTGAATTATTCATTCCTGGAAATCAATCGAGTCAACAAATTTAACGGCATTGGAAATCAAATTATTGGAGTAAAAATGTTTATACCTTTTGCTTAATTTATGTCATTTTAAGTTTCTTGATTATGTTTTTTGTTTATTTTCATAATTACAAAAGCTATTTAGCTGTTTTGAGTCATAAATCACTTGGAAATCCCATAGCTTTTAAGTCCAACAACTCCATTGCTATTCTAGTTCATAAATCATATTCAAAATCCCTCTTTTCTAAATCATTTTAGGAATTATGAAGCTCTCTGACACCATGGCCACGCCAATAGAAGAAAAACTCGATCAAAACCTTAAGGTAAAACCAAAAATACATCAAATAAGATTAAGTATTAATAGTTTCATTAATATTTTACAGGTGCGAACTGGAATGGTCCATGTGAGCGATGGCAAGAGCAGACCAGAACCCCTGCGCCTCAATCTCACCATGGAACTACTTTCCCTGCAGAAGCTGGAAGTAGTTACCCCAAGTAGTTGTCATCCCAACGGACCGCCCATGGAATCCAAGGTGAGTTTTAGTATTTGACTTAAAGAGTTTTTTTTAGATTTCTAATAACTTTTCCTTCTAGGAACGAATGGTTCAAATTACGCGCCAAAAACAAGGCGGCCTAGGACTGAGCATAAAAGGCGGAGCCGAGCATAAGCTACCCATCTTGATATCCCGTATCTATAAGGATCAAGCAGCGGATATAACGGGCCAACTATTCGTGGGCGATGCCATCATCAAGGTTAATGGTGAATATATCACAGCATGTCCTCACGATGATGCTGTGAATATATTGAGAAACGCTGGGGATATAGTTGTTCTAACTGTTAAGCACTATCGGGCAGCCACGCCTTTCCTTCAGAAGCAATGTGAGTAGTGGGATTGCAATCTTTATTAAATTATAATTGATTAACCCTTATCAATCTTAGTAACCAAGGACACGCCCGACTCTGACAACGATGCCACATGCGCCGAACTGAAGGCAGACGAGGGCTACAAGTCCTCCGTCAACAGTGGAACCATCAGTCGCAGTTGTAGTCGCCCCATGTCAATTTGCTCGGAACCGGAAAAGCGTTGGACGGATGTGGTGGCAGGTGAGTGTATATAGTTAAGACAAAAACTTAAAAGTAATGTATACTTTCTAGTACCCCTGATGATGGCCTATGTAACGAGATATATCTATGGCACCGACAAGCTCCGCCAAAACGCCTTTGAAGTTCGTGGCCTAAATGGCATTACCACAGGGGTCATACACTGCGATGAGTTGGCCATACTTAGTCAATGGCTAAAACTGATCACAGATAACGTTGTGGGCCTAACGCATTTACAGGTAATGTAGTTAGGCATTTAATAATATTCCGAACTAATTATTTATTTTACTTAAAAGATGAAGCTATATAATAGAAACTTTGCTGTGGGCGAGCGCATTGAGTACATGGGTTGGGTCAACGAAGGAGTCATCAACAACAATATATCCTGGCAGAGTTACAAGCCCAGATTTCTGCTACTCAAAGGCACTGAAGTGATGCTCTTTGAAACGCCACCAGTAAGTCAGAAAGTTAAATAATTCTTTTATATAATTGTAATAATATTTTGACCTTAAAAATAGCTTAATGTAGCTGGCATCAGCAAGGCTTTGGTTGTCTACAAGGTCTATCAGACCATGTTCCGCATTGTCAAGGAATCCGAGACTGTGGATAGTCGCCAGCATTGCTTCCTGCTGCAAAGTTCAGGCCATGAACCCCGCTATTTGAGTGTGGAAACCCGTCAAGAGCTTTTAAGGATCGAGAACAGCTGGAATGCGGCCATTGTGACTAGTGTTATTAAGTTGGGCGTAAGTTTTTTTTTTAGTTTATTTAAGGTTAAAGTAGTCTTACTAATGTACCTTTAAACAGCGCAAGACCTTTGCTGTCTCGCATCATGGTAAGAGTGGTGGGCTCACTTTGGACTGGCAAGCTGGTTTTTCACTAGCTGAAGGAGCCGATTCTGCTATAGTTTGGCAGTATAAGTTCTCACAGTTGAGGGGCTCCAGTGATGATGGGAAGTCCAAGCTGAAGCTGCATTTTCAGGATCACGATAGCCGAGCAATCGAAACAAAGGTAAGAATTTGAGATTTCTAACTAGGTTTAGGTGAGGTCAGCTGTTCAAGTGAATCATTTAGTTAGTAAATCTTCTTACAAATACTACAAATTTTCATTTAATTTTCCCTCTAGGAACTGGAATGTCAAGTTCTGCAAAGTCTGCTATTCTGCATGCACGCGTTTCTAACGGCCAAAGTGGCCTCGGTGGATCCAGCCTTTTTGAGCTCAATCCAACAGACCTAAATCAAAAATGGGATAGCAAGGTTAAGGACAAGGATTCAAAAGGACTCTCGACTCAAATGATATAAGTATAGAATATTCGTAAAGTGCATAGCAAATAATTCGAATATGAATGTTGGACTAGGTATCTTATACATGATTGTCAGCTTGTACTTATTATAAACAGGTACGCGTTTATATATATATATATATATGTATGTTGATCTGAATGATTGTAATTGGATAATGATATGGATATATTTATAGGCGCTGATAAAAACTGAAAGTGAAATCTCTTGGTGCATTACAGTAAATTTTAAGCATACATAAGGCAAATTACTTTAGGCATTTTTCCTATTACGTAGACTTGGTACTTAAAACAAATTGACAACAAATTTATATATAATATATATACATATTGTTTATAATCGATTGTTTCCCAATGTAGCCTTTATAGTTGAATTACTTACCTAACTAACGGAATGAGAAAAAACCACATAGGTCTGCCGATTCTGAATGTCAGAAATTTGTCGCTTTTGCTAAAAACCGAAAATGAGTCAGGCCTCAAAGGCTTTATTTCGTGCTGTAATCCTCTAGATATATTTCTCCCAAAAGGTTTAACGAACAAATTTAATCGAAAACTCATGTTTTTTGTGCGCTCTAATGAAAATTTAATTTTCGAAACCAAAAAAGAAATTAAGAAAAACCAAAAAGGAAATGCTTTAAGGTCAGATTAACTGTTATTTTCTACTGATGTAATAGCTGATGTCATAATAGATATATATACCATATAAAAAATATATAAATATAACATCCACCGAACAAATCTCAATGCACAGACGTAATATGAACTAGATTTTATAACTGTTATACATCTAATCAGAGCCAGTTAAGTGATTCCATCAGACACTCACTTAGGTCATTTGTCAATTCAGAAAGTGTCTTTCAGTGGCAAGATCGTATTTGTTGCTTATGCATATTGCATTTGTATGTATTGATTTTAGGCGTTATTGCACAACATACATCTACATATATATTATTAACGAATTAGTTAGCGAATCATCGACAAGCACAAAGGATCATATATATAAATAAGCACTCACACACACACACCCACACAAATATCAAGTTGGCGCATTCGCAAGATTCCCAAAAACGCATTAACAGAATATCTCTCTATACAAATATGAAATAATATGTATAACCTGCAAGCAGAGAAATCAGAATCAAAAGTATTTACTGTACATATTGCTTAGCTCTATTGGGTTAGAATCAGCTCTATAGCACCAAGAATGTATACCATAACCGCAGACATAATACAAGCTCACAAGGATAACACAGACAAAGACAAACTAGATGGCACCCCTAATCGCAACCTTTAACCCAAAACCCGACCAACATACGTAATCTGCATACACCGCAACATGTTATACGAGTATCAACTACCAGGGAGTTAGACCTCCCTCATCCGAACTAACCATAACATAACATATATATTTTCAATGCAAAGCTTACATAGTATATACATTATATATATGCCATATGTACCCCGAAAACTAAGAATACTACTCAAAAGCTGCGATTCTGTGAAAGAGTTCAATATTTATCTGGAACTGCGCTACTTGATACGATTACTAAATTCATCGATACGAAAGCCATTTGAGTTGGTTTTGTTAAGGTTCCCACTTTACTTTTATACGTTAATAATTGAAATTATTGTACAAGAAAACAAAAAGCATACAAATTGGAATAAAACCCCGAATATCTAATCAAGTAACTCTATGCATATTTTTCTTCTTCATTTTCAGAGAAACACTTTGGTTTTCAGTAACTGAAAGTATAATAATTTATTTCAACAAATTGAAACAGAACTCATGGCTGTTAGTTCTGTTTCAGCGTGAAAGAAACTCTTAAAACAATTCTAAAATATCATAAATCTATATACATTAACTAATTTGTAACTGGGAATGTTTCTTTGATTAACTCCCAATTGATTGCTTAAAATGGCTGTTTTAAGCAAACAATCGTAGTTACTTGGACGGGGGGCTAAAAAGTTAACCTAGAACAAACGCTTTTTTTTTTGCATATGACAAAACCCCCTCATGGCTGTTAGAGGGGATTTTGTGTGTGTCAACTGTGGCAGCTTTTGCTTCAGTTCCATGAGATATCCTATAACGTGTTTAAAGCTTTTACATCATCGTCTTGTGTATGTACAGATTCTATGCCCGATTTGAGCCACGATCGTGTGTGTCGTTAATTCCATTGGCATATGCAAACTTTCTTTTCCGGATTTTCAAGATTTGGATTAACTTTGGTATTATCTACACAGCATCGTATATATGTATGTATATGTGTATGCTATTAGTGGCATTAACCATACGAACTACAAGCTAATCTTAACTTAGGACTTATGGCTTTGAAGCTGCTCTTGCTTGTTGATTGGTTTTCTCTTTCTCTCTCTCTATCTTCCGGTGCCGAAACCTAAGTACGTTGTTTGCGAAATTTGCCGATCCCTAAGGACCAGCTGCTCCTAATGGCGAAACAAAAAACACACAAACCTTCCTGCAATGCCACAAGTACGTGAACGTGAGTTGTTGGTAAATTTCCAAATCTAAACGTAGTAAATTTGAAAACGAGCCACTGGTCGAACTCAGACATCGACGGGTTCCTTGGCGGTTTCCGTATCGGTTAATCGCACCACTGTCACCTCAGTGGTGACCCCGTTCAGTACCATTGCCATTGATTGTTGATCCCGCCATGGTGTGGTTAAAATGGTAAAACGCTGACGCAGACTTCCCGGCGTGGAAAGTAGTTTAAATATTGCCACAGCCGGTATCATCACAACCGAGGAACCAGCTATACACCATCCCAATGCATTTGCCCAACTGGGATAAACGTAGTCCGCATAGGTCAAAGGTTCATAGCCAATCAAGCCATAAACAGTGATGAAGAGCAGGAAAATTGGAGCCACAAAGCGCCAGCACACCTGCCAGTATCTTCCAGGCGGAAAACCAATCATATCTCTTATATCCTCACTAAAACGATTGGTTCCATAAATCCAAGAAACCGCGATTGCCTCGAAGAACACTGCCACCAGAATAGAGTAGCCGGCGGCATAGCGATCTAGTAAGTGGAAAAAGTAGAATCCCCCTTGGGTGCAGCTGGCCAATCCAACCACAAAGTACAGGGAAAAGAGGCCAGCAACGAACAGCTCCCGGTTCCGTTTTATCTTGGGAAATTCATCACTCAAAGCGGTGATTATAGCCTCAGAGCCACCAAACTGAAAGGAAGGTAAATATTAAATATAAATCCCACAATCAATATCAACAAAACCCACCGAACTATCCAAACCCAAGGTAAGCAGCATCATGAAGAATATCAGAGCCCAGAAGGTGCTGGCCGGCATGGTGGCGATGGCAGCTGGGTAGACCACAAAAACCAGACCAGGTCCTTCGGTGGCCACATCCTCGATTCTCACACCCAAAGTATGAGCCATATAGCCCAACACGGAGAATATCACAAAGCCGGCTATAAAGCTGGTAGCCGAATTGATGAAACTGGTTAACAAAGCATCTCTGAAAAAAGAAGTCATTTTAATATATATTCATAATTCCGAAGAACTTGAAACCTACTTGTAGACATTGTTATGGTATTTATTATAGGAGGCATAAGCTAGCAGCACTCCAAATCCTGGTCCCAATGAGAAAAACACTTGGGTGGCAGCATCCACCCAAACTTCAGCCTTGTAGATGGCACTAAAGTTGGGCGTTAGATAATACTGTATGCCTAGAAAAGATCCGGGCAATGTGAGACCTCTGATCAGTAGAATCAATAGCACTGCATAGGGAAAGAGGGCCGTAAACCAGACAACCTTGCCCGAAGTGCTGATTCCCTTCCACAGAGAGAAATAACATATTAAATAGACAATCAGAAGGCACAAGGCCATGTCCCATTTGATTTGACCCAAATCGTGGATGCCCTCGCTCTGGTTCAGCTCCAAAATGTAGCGACTAAATATGGTAAGTAATATATTAGGTACATTAAAAGTGAAAACTAACTTTTACTTACTTGAAATACTCTGAGGCGGCGGACTGAAAGCCCTCCACATGTCCAACCGAAGGAGTCTCCAAACTTGTCAGGGAACCATTAATATAAGACTCATTATAGAGCAGACTTTGATTTCCCATGACATACAAGTCACTGTAATTACCTATCAAGGGAACACGAGAAGCATTTTGGCTCTCAAACTAATAAAATAAATAGAAAAAGGTCATTAAAGCTACTAAATATAGTTAAAAGCCGACTTACTGGTCTACAATTGGGTGTATTCCAAATATTATTGCATGACGTCCAAGGCAATGAGCTGGTGAACGATGCAAAAAAGAAACGCAACGACCAGGCAATAATCACATTATAATAAAAGTCCACATAGAAAGCTATCAGCACCACGGCATAGCCAATTCCTAGAAAATTATAGTGCCGTTTTAATGTATTTCCTTTTGATTTATGCAAAGCACTTACCTTTGAAGAGTGGCACTAAGCGACCCCAGCACGTGATGGCTCCCTTACGATTGTGCTGACCCAGGGCCAATTCCATGTAGAATAGAGGAATACCACCGACCACCAACATAATGCCGTAGGGCACAAGAAAAGCGCCTGGAAATTTGATTTTTTAAATAGTTTGTACATATAGAATAGTATAGTAAAGTAGTAGAGAAATTAAAACAACCAAAACATTTTATTCTGTAAGAAGTATATTTCATTTTCATCATGCCTAAAAGTAGGCAATTATTTCAAATGAGAAAACCCTTTAAAATGGGGAAAAATGGTTACTACTCTTTTACTCCGCCTGTATTTTCACCCAAATCAATCAATACATTTTGTTTGATAATGATTGCATAACCGCCACATATTGAGACTGACCCGTGTCACAATCTCGGCATTGTTCGCTCTTCTCCTGTCGCCAAACATAATTACACACATATTTCCTACATAGACGACACCCTAGCCTCTATGTATGTTCGATGGTACACAAAATCAAATTGTTTTACAAGTGCCACTCTAAGGACATTTTAAAAACATTAACAGCAGCAGCAGTAGCAGTAGGATGGTGGGAGAAAAGCCCAACTTGGCTGTCTCCTGCAGTCATCTCCGTCACCTCCGGAAAACCCAAGCCAACAGTTTCACCCCCTTTTGGGCCTGACAATTGGTAGAGTGCCATCGATACTTTGTCGAGTGGCAGGGGATGATGTTTTTATGATTTGATTATGTCTATTAGCAGGCAAAGTGGCCGACAAAGTCGTCTAGGGCCATCACTTACATATATATCTGCCCGAACATACATACATACACCTACTATATGCATGGGCGTTCTATATGTATGTAAAATATATCTACAAAGGCTCTGTTGGCAACGGTGCTTCCTTCTGTCGTGTCAATTATGTTGGAAAACGTAAAAAAACAAAACCGTCTAAAATAAAGTCCGGGGCATCTATGACGCCCGTCACTGTTGTTGAAGCCATAATTTCCGTTGCTTCGAGTGCATTTCCCCCATTTTCCAACAGCTCGTCAGGGACACTGTGGGAATATGTGCCTTTAATTCAATTCTTTGTTCATAATTCGGTCAAAACTTCGGCCAATTCTAGACGGGCAAGTGGTATAGTTATTGTTTTGCCTAGCAGATTGATTTTCTATTTAATTGAATTTAAAAGTTGTTTTTATCCAACTTACTTCTATAACTCATTTACTTATAATTTTTGGGTATGTTAAAAAAACGGAAACTTAAACTTAGTAAATGAATAAAATTTCATTTGGAATGGAAAATATTCCTAATTTTAAAACCAAATTTTGATTATTGTTTATTATTTTTAACAAGAAACATAAACTTATGAAAGTAATAAAATAGTAAGAATATTCTAATGTTGTACATTTCTTGCGATAAAAATGCACGATCTAAGCCTGGTCCCTGGGTTTTAGCCATAATCCAGAACAATGTGGCTGGCACAGCCTGTTGCTGCCACCAAAGCTTCAACTTGCGAGTTGCAGGCAGCAAGAAAATGGGAAACAGAATAAATAATACCGACTAAGCTGTGGTAATAATCGCAACCTGAGCGAGTTCGTGGTCCTGGCAACGGACATAAAGTGGAACTTAAGCTGGAGATGGAGCTGGAGATGGAGCCACTGATTGAACGCAATGAAGCGTATAAATATAACAATTTATTATTATGATTTTAAAGGCAGAGAGAAGCGTGCTGGCAAAAAAAAAAGAACTCATAAAATAGTAATAACTATATCGAAGGCCCGGGTGAGCCACACATCCATTCACAGCACATCAGCGGGAAAGTGCCGCAATCTGCGGAAAGATGTGGTGGTGGAGATGGAGACATGCTCCGCACATGAATTTCCCACAATGCGAAATGGTGGAAGAGTGCTCCAGCAACAAAAGCCTAGAGAACTCCACATAACCAGGCTGACATATTGCCCAGAAATGGGGTGAAAAATAAAAAAAAAAAGGAAAAGGGGAAAAGAGTGAAAGAGGGTAAGCAGGCCAAATGCGATTATGACTGCCAGATTTAGTTGTCATACAGAAGCACTTAACTTTTGGAATTGTTTTGAATGATGGCGTTGACGATGAGGATCAGGAAGCGTAGTAAGTGTTCGAGTGTGTGTGTCCTTTACTTTTTGCTCCTTGCGAGCGAGGGGGAAAAACCCGTGCAATTTGACAAAGGAAAGCTGGCCCCGCCCAACAAACCGACAGCACTTCGCACCACTTTGACAAAGTGTTAACAAGGCCGAAAGGGAAATGCAGAAGGCGGAAAGCGGAAAGCGACGGGTTCCGTGGCGAGCCCAATGATGTGAAAAGCCATATAAATTATTTTCACTCAGCCGGAGCGATTCACGAAATGTCTTTATGTCTAATTGGCCAGCTCACACGGAGAAAAAATCTTGAATATTGGTCAACTGGACTATAACTAACTTTAATAACTTTCTACTTTCTAAATATAAATATTTAGTGTACAAATTAACTTTATTTTGAAGACCTAATTTAGTTTTAGAATTTTAACCAAAATATATTAAAGTGCTTCGATCGATCGATCTTTTGTCCCTTACAAGATTGTGTTTAAAGTACAATAGATGATATTTTTTCTTCGTAATTCTTTTGCCTTTTTTAAATAAGTTAAGAAAGAAAGAAAGCTACTTACCACCGCCATTTTTGTAGCACAAATAGGGAAATCTCCAGACGTTTGCTAAATCGACGGCGAATCCAATAACCGATAATAAAAAATCCACTTTGCCGCTCCATGTTTCGCGCTCGTCGCTGATGCTATTGTTATCGTTATCGTGTGGCGTGGGCGTCTTTGATTTGGATATATGTCCGGTTGGTGACATCTGCGACTATATAACCCGTCGTGTCCTTGACCCAAAACGTGGAGATCCCGCCGCCGCACTTTGAAATCTGTACGAAAATCAGAGCACTCTTCAATGGGTCATCGTTTTGCAGGCTTACGAGTATATCAGCCCCCGCTTAATGTCCCATACCCCCAAAAATACCAGAAACCCTTCAGCAATGGACCATGGACAGTCAATGAGTGCGTGTATGTGTTCAAGGCACTTGAAACCTGTTTGGCAACGACATGTGCTCACCCAGCCCTTGAAGAGCTCGTTGGCACATTACGCATACGACAGGTGGCATGTTCAAACACACTGGCCAGCAAACACTTGACCATCCCAACACCACAGAACAAGCACATATATCTGTCTATATATTGTATGCTCAACTCTCGCGTAAGTTTTGTGTGTAATGAAACCACAAACACGTCAAACAATTAATCTGATCTACTTAATTACTCCCCACTGACTTTAATTGCCCAGAGTTGTGATCAATTAAGCGGAATGCAGATTGAGTGTTTAAAGTGCTCGGATCTAGACTGGATTTATGAGCGGGCTGAACTCAGCAGGCTTTTGAATCGATGATAATCTGTTTTAACTGGGATACCTTACATTTTTTTAAATATTTTGAATTTAACAAAAAATATGTATATATAAACATTCTATTACTGTAATAAACCAATTTTTACCTTAAACTTGGGTTTTGTAATTTTTAAGCTCGTCTTCTTGATAAATGACGCATTACAAAGCCATAAATATGCAACTTTTTATCGCATTATAATCGTTAATCATTTGCATTTTGAATTTACTCTTTGATTGCATAACTGTTTGGCATTTTAAAAATTGTATGCTGTTTGCTTGCTTTTCCTAATGAATATTTTATAATTTGCTATTTCGTTATACAAAGTGCACTTTAATGCCATTTTTGTTTTTATTTTTAAGTAATTAACATTGTATATTGCACTTTTTGAGTTCAACAAAATCTCTTCTAATAATATGTACCTACGAAATAAATATTTTTTCCTTACTTACCTAACAAATACCAAGCTCAAATCATACAGTTGCACCAATCCATTGTAAAGTAATCCTTAAGACTTTTGAAAAATATCCAGAAAACTTAGAAAAAAGCTCCACACAACCTATTCGAAATGCTAGAAACCGAATTTCACTTCACATGGGCGGATATATTATAAAATTTTATTTATTTTGAAAAACTTTCAACTTGAGGGCAACTTGAGGGAAATTCAAAATCGGAGCTGTTGCGCCTTCGGTGACATGCGAGCGTTTGCAAATGGCTGCTGGCCAGTGGCGCCTTTTATAGCCCGCGACAAGTGGTTACCACTGCATCTCTTATCACACTCATACACATTCACATCCCCAGCACTCTCTGACACACACACACACACACACTCGCATAATGCCACTTATGTGCGGAAAAGTTTTGTGTGTGTGTCAAGCGCAGCGGTGAAGTTGAACCTCTAGAGCTGAAATCTGAATTCTAAAAAGCCAAAAGTCGCATGCGCCAAGGAAACGTCGACGGAACCGGAACGGAAGTGACCAATTAGAGTTGCCTTACTTATACAGAGACAATGGTGCGTATACGCGATGTTTGTGTGTACATGGCCCTGACGTTGTGTTAGTGTAGGCAGTGTTTGTGTGCGAGGGAGCATTTGCTATAGGTGTGCGCTGTTAACTGAGGATGCTGCTGTTAACTCGAGAGACTTTTTAACACGGCCATGTTAACCCGTATATGAATTATTATTCATTCGAATTGTTGGTAAACTTTTCAAGGTAGCCTTTATTTATATCATAAACATAAAATATCATAAAAATATTTTATTTTTTTAAGAAATAACCCTTAGATTAAATTTGTTTTATTTTTACACTTCAAAGAGAAAACCAAAAAAATAAAATAAAAGAGTCTCAAAAGTCATTTTTATTTTAGAATAAAAATATGTATTAAACTTGATATTTATCGTTACCTTTTCCATGGGCATTTACAGGGCTAATCCCTGTTAAGGCCACTTCTGCTGGGCCTACTCTATTTCGGCATTCCTCTTGTGCAACGCTCTGAAATTACTTCTCTAGCTCACACTCTTTCCCAATATTGCCAACATCTGTATAGCAAGCATATTTCGGAAACGTTTTCGAAAATGCTCGCGTGCAGTGCTCAGAATATCTTTTTTTAAATACCAACCGAGAGCAGTTGGCAACGGGCGGTCGTGTACTTCGGATGTGAGAAAGACCATTCCGCGGAATTTTGAATAAAAAGTGCAGCGGTAAAAATACATACAATCTGAAATATGTATGTAGAAAGACAGGGCACTTAGGATATTCATTTTTGGCGTCCAGTGCGTGTAGATAAAGTGCGTTCCGCTGGATAAATTCTACGGAAATATTCGCAGGGAAAAATATTCCCATACTAACGCAAAAGGTTTTTATATAAGAGGCAAGCGGGCATTATTTTTAATTTAGCTGTTGATATTATGCATAAAGCGAAGAGAGAAAACAAACATCAAAACAGAATAGAATCAGCGAAGCCGGGAGAGTGCCGAGAAGAATTCTACGGCCTGGTTCTAAAAAATCTTTTTCTTTTCGAATACCGCGGCGAAAGTTCGTGTGTGTACGTGTCAAAATATTTATATGTGCACACGCTCGGTGGATTATTTGTTTTGGTGAATTTCCATTAGCCGCAGTGCACTAGTCGTAGTCGTAGTCATAGTCTTAGTCGTAGTCCCACATTGTCCATTTACCAGGAAGCAAAAGTATAAAAAATCCAAAAATCAGCCGATCAATTCACATCTTAATTTACTTTAGCTGCGTGCAGGAACAGCAACAAAAGATACATAAATTGAGATACTAGCGGGTATTAAATAAAGGAATCCAACAGATATAGAAAATGTTTTCCTTTGGTGTTGCTGTTTCTGCTGCTGCTGCTGCTGCTGCTGTCGCTATAAATATTTACAACGCCCGTCTTGTATACAAAGTGTAAATATGTAGATACATTCTGGTAGATACATTTCGCGTACATAAACTGTTTCAATTGTTTTATTGGCCTGCTCATGGACAAAGCTGGGCAGAATTGAAAGTGAATCAAGTGATATGTACTGACCAGCAAAGAATACTTTTGTTCAAAACGAAAACCTCCTCCTATGTAAACAGCCAAAATGTCGAAGAAGCCACGTGGACACATTCACAAGATCAGAGAGTTCGAATTGGAGAAGGTGAGTGAACGTCTTTGATTTTCAACCAAAAAAGGGATCACTATAAATCCAATATTTTGAAATGGAAATAAAATACAAAATCATTTCTGCAAGAAATTTGTCCCATTATTATTTTGTGATTTATCCCATCGCCGCTATAAACAAATAGATATAGAAAGGTATTAAGAGTTCGACTTGGCCCAGTCGCGTCCTGATCGGTGTGATGGGCAGACTGCCAAATATCTCTTACCCGGGAAATCGTCTACGATAGAACGGGAAAATGCCATGTTAACGATTAGATTTCTGATCATTAAACACAAACAGCATTGGTCAGCGTCTCGGTCTCGAATATACAGTAATGTTTAATAGGTCTAGGTAACGAATACTATATAGTATATATACACATGTCTCTCACTGCATTTGTACATTTAATTGTTCAGATATAGTTGAGGTGGGTCTTTAACGAGCCGATACATTTTACATAAAGCTCTCTTTGATTTTTCCGCATAGGAAGCAAAATTGAAAATGAGTCAATTAATTCTATATTAATAGAGGCAATTTTTAGCACACGTGTGCCAGTCTGAATAGATCAATTTATATCTATAATTGTTTTTAAGATTTTATTTTTTTAGTTTTTATTTAAGTAAAATCGTAGAAAAAGTTTGAAGAATCGTATATAAATTCAACCCATTTTATCTAACAAAATTAGTTTCAAAATCATTTCCTAACTAATTAAATCCGACAAGTCTCACAAAATTAATAATATTTCCAAGAAGTTTCTTCACGATCCACAACAAATTCATTGATGTATAGTTTTCATAGCAATATCGCAGCTATTTTAATGTTTCATCTATATATAGATCCAGCTTGTGGACGAGTTTGATATCATACAGATTGTTGGCGAAGGATGGTTTGGGAAGATTCTATTGGTGGAGCATCGGGGATCACAGACAGAGATGGTCCTAAAAGCTGTACCCAAACCATATGTAACCCTTCGAGATTTTTATCGGGAATTCCACTATGGACTCCATTTGGGTGTTCACCGACACATTGTGACCACATATGATGTGGCATTTGAGACAGCGGGATTCTATGTTTTTACCCAAGAATATGCTCCACTAGGTGAGTTTTCTTATATTTCTTAAATATATTAAAAGTTGTTACTATATATTCATCAATTTCAGGGGATCTCACATCGAACGTGACCGATTCGGGTGTGGGCGAAGTTTACAGCAAGCGTGTGGCGAAGCAATTGGCCTCGGCCATTGACTACATGCATTCAAAGTAAGTTTTACTATGTATATTCTGTGGAAAACGCATTCCGTTCCAGAATGCTATAATCTTTAAAAGATTTTGAGAAAATGCTTATTCCTAAAATAACTAAAATAACTTAAATAATAAGTTTGGCAATATATTTTTTGAACTATAAACAAAATTTAAACATGAAAATTTGGTTATGGTTAATTAACAAAATGTGTTCCTATTCTTCCAGAGACATTGTACATAGGGATATTAAATTAGATAATATCCTCATCTACCGTTCGGACTTCCAGCGCATCAAGCTCTGCGATTTCGGCGAGTCCTTTCCGACAGGAACTACTGTGGAGCGGCGCAACGAGTGGCTGCCCTACAGTCCGCCTGAAGTATTAGAAATCAAGCCCGAAGGCAGTTACAAGTAAGTATTATTTTGTAGATCAAATTAAATATAAGTAAGATAAATATTTCGAACACCTTTTCAGAGCCGATCCCAGCCATGATGTTTGGCAGTTTGGCATTGTCATTTTTGTGTGCCTAACTGGTTGTTTGCCCTGGCAGAAGGCTGCCTCCGATGATCCCAGATATGTGAGATATGTGGCCTGGCAGGGCGGCCTAATGATGATGCCTCTGCGGCGAACTCCACGACTCTTCAAGCTCCTTACCTCGAATGCCCAGAGAATGTTTAAGCGCTTTTTCGCCAGGATATCCAATCGACCCAAAAGCCTGGCTGATGTTACCAAGTTCCTAGACGACCGCTGGCTGGCCAAGACTGCTCAAAAGGAGATGGCCGAGTACGAAACAGATGAGTTATGCCCCTCCATGTACTCTTTCCACAGCAGCCCAGATGAGAAGAATAAGCTTCTCTACACTTTGGCGGACTGCGGGATTGAAACCAATGTAGATCGGCAGCAGAAGAAGAACCGCATTAAAGACTGGATAGAGTCATCCATCATCACGGAGGAGGATGAGGTGAGTGTAAGAATGCTATGGTGGATGCTTAGGGTAGAATAAACCTAATCCGCTTTAAAAATGTATTTCAATGTTTCTATGCAAAAGCTCATTTGTATGCAATAGGGAACTGATCTTGAAGTCTTGACATAAATACCTTCATTTAAATTAATTGGCACCCTTCCAAGTTAAATTTAATTGTCTACAAAAGAACCAAATAGTTTTCCGATTAAACCATAATGTGCTTGGTATATAAGTGATACAAATGGGGAACTCTTACTCATCTAAATTTGATTCCCATATTAATTCTAGTTAATCTTAATTGCAGGAGGAAAACGAAGAGACCAATTCCGCATCACCATCCTCGTCGGTGTCTCGTGAACCCCTTCCTGGTCACATATCTTCGCTGCGCAAGCCAACAAGCCCAGCGGAGAACACCAAGGAGATCAACAGCACCCTAAAGGACGCTACCCAGAAGCACTTCGATCCGCGCACGGGAGCCCTCCAACAGGGACCCAGTGAGATGGGTCAGGTTCCCATGTCGTATTCCAAATCGGCCAGTCCCTCTTCCAACTATAGCACAACCGCTTCTACACTGAACAACGCTGATAGCTTGCTAACCCTGGGCTCACGGCAGGATCTGCTGGCCAGCAACCTGACCATGTACACCTCCATGGAGACCGAACTGAACCGTCTAGGTGAGGCTGATCCTCGGCTGAACCAGCGCTCCCAAAGCAACAATCCCCTGCTAACTACCTTCGATGTGAACACCTCTCCCGCTGCCAAAAACTCAATTGGTGTTGGCACCCGCGGCTCCAGCCGAAGCATCCTTAAGTCCTCAATCGCCACCGCTGCTTATCCCGCTTTGGGCGTTTTTAACCATGGCCAGAGCCACAGCCTTCAGCAGCTGAACCAACACCTGCAAACATCCACGGGCTTTACTCCCAATAAGACCACCTTCTTTCGGCGATGACAACCCCCGCCGGCTAATCAGTCACTAATCATCCTTGCCGCACTTTCAGAGCTTTATGGTGATGCCCGGCACTCGAGCTATGCTAATCTCCCATATGCTTCTCAAGTTAAAGACAGTGCATACGGATCGGCCGATGTTAGCGAGATGGCGGCGGCCAGCAGAAGTCCCCCGCACATGAAGGACACAGCCTACGATCGCACCACCAGCTCAAGCAGCCACAACATCGCACGGCGCCAGCGCAGATAGCTCCCCAAAGGGATAGCAGCCACTGATTTTACAAGTTCCAATAAATAGATAATGTACATTTCTTAATTGGCAACCACTCCTTTACTTGGACAGGATAACGAAACGGAAATGGGGGTTCTTATAAAAGTACGTTTCATTTATTACGCATCATCTTCAACAGCCCAAAATACGAGCACCGCTCACTTCAGAGGAATGAAACGGGAGCTGTGGGTGGCACCGATACCGGGACGACCGTGCTTAACGGGCTTGTAGGTCAGAGCGAACTCGCCCAGGTAGTGGCCGATCATCTCAGGCTTGACCTCAACCTGTGGATTGAAATAATTAGTTACATGGTTCTAGTTGGAAATTCTTATGGAGGACCACTTTTCAGACCTTTATTTAGACTGTCAATCTCTTTGAAGACCATAGGGCAATTTCTAAGAACTTTCGGAAAAATAGTCCTTTAGCTAACTAAGTGATTGACACTCTATATAAGGTCCAAAAAGTGATCCCACGCTTTTATCTCACCTGTCCGAAGTCCTTGCCGTTGTAGACGCCAATGATGGAGCCGGTCATCTCGGGGACGATGATCATGTTCCTCAGGTGGGTCTTAACGATCTCGGGCTTCTCGTTTGGTGGCGCCTCCTTCTTGGCCTTGCGGAGCTTCTTGATCAGAGCCATTGGCTTGCGCTTCAGACCACGGGAGAAACGCCTGCGGGCACGGCTGTGCATCAGCTCAACCAGCTGGTTGCTATTTTTGGTGAAGAAACACTCGTTTAGTTAGGAAAACACTTAAGGAAGAACTATTTTGGACTTACTTGGGCATGTCCAGAAGCTGGTCCAAGTCGACACCACGGTAGGTGAACTTCTTGAAGGTACGCTTCTTCTTCAGATTCTCATCAACTTGCTAAATAAAACAAAAAACACCGACATTAGTTGTCATTTTGCCGGCAAGTCACACTGGGAAACTCCAGAATAACATTAGCAGCCGTGGGAATAACAATGCCCCTTGGGTTTGGCATTGCATTTCGGTTGATTCCCGCACGGATGCTAAGTTTTTCATTGGATTTTGGTAAAAATATTTACATCGGCCATCTTTTTTGGTTGCGCACAAAAACGGAAAGAGATTTAAGGTAGTGTGACCGCGCAAAAGTGAAAAAAATATACCGTCTTGGTCAGAAAAATATACCACTTTTTTTAATATACCGTAAATATACTGTAAAAAATCCTTGTTAGGTAATATAATAAATAATATGTGTAATGAAAAAAGTGGATTTTCAATTGTTCGACAAAAAGAATAATACTTAGTCAGAGCCTTACAAATGTTTTCAAGTAAAAATAAAAAATCATCTGCCGAATTCAATTTTAGCAGATGGTCACCCTGAAGAACAAAAGACGATGTTTATAAGCGGCTATCGATATATGGTGTGCTGTTTTAGATAATTTCAGAAAAGTGGCAGCCTTTATGGTTGGAAATATGGTAGAGGAGCTTATCTGTTAAATTAAATTTAAAACTAAGCTTCCTAAAAATATAACAATTTATTATCGTTTACTCAAAAACAACACAATATTTTGCAATATAATCACAATTAAGAAAACCTTACATATCACAACAATAGTCTTAAACTTTGTTTTGCTTATCATTGTTTTTCGCTTTTTTGAAGTTTTGAAGTTCAGTTTTAAATCAGCCAGCAGTCGAAATGCAAGGCATTTTTGGATTCCTGTTGATCGTTGGACTATTAAGCAGTATTTTATCTGAATTCTGTGATAATGGTACTGGAGAGTGCAAGGACCTAAGTGCCTCGGATTGCCCGGCAATATTTTTTAAGCTACATTTAATTGGAAATCTTGTGAAATATTGCGATAAGTTCAACGACATTGTTTGCTGTCCTCTGCCAATTAATATGCAAAGCCATTCGCAGCAATTCTCAACCAACATTGGTCTCAGGAGATACCAAAAGGGTCAGTTAAGATACAAAGTAAAAAAATATAACAACAATTAATCGTAATATTTTCTTAAACAGAATGTTTTCGTTATAACGAGATAAGGACTTCCTGCCGATCCACCGCTTTCATTGTGGGTGGCACCAAGGCCGCAGGTCGGGAATTCCCATTTATGGCGCTACTTGGCCAGCGTGGGAAGAACTCTTCGAAAATCGACTGGGACTGTGGCGGCACTCTCATCCACCCCAAGTTCGTGCTAACGGCCGCCCACTGTCTGGAAACCAGCGAGTAAGTATAAGTTTAGTCTTAGGATACCAGAAAAACATCCATTACACGTCACATGCAAACTAACTTATTAGGGCTTACAATAATTATATCATCAAAAATTAAATCAACTTTAAAGTAAACGTTAGAACAGAATGAGGAATAAATATATGTATGAGTAAAGGTTACTAAAATACAAAAATTTACAAAGTCATTATTTAAGTTCGAAATTACTTCGTCATAGAAGAGTAAACAAAGCCAACTGGTGATCCACATATTTAATATAATTTATTAGGAGCTTTTGATTTATATGTTATTCGGAATTTGGTTCAAAACTAACCAAAGAGCTGCATAAATTGGCATCTTATTAGGTAATACAAATCCATTCGTCAACGCTATTGTGTTTGCGCCATAAATTAATTTGTCTTAATGCAAAAACAAAAGTCAATTTATATATATATATATATAAGATACAAAAACATAATGTTTTAAACATGATTTTCACAAAATCGTATCTAGCTGGAATTCAGAAGGCGGAACCTCCCGGTTTATTGACTTATATCCAGTTTGAAAATTTTATGAACTAAAAGTGCATAAATTAATCCTTTCTATTTTCAAGCATGCCTTAACACTATGCTACAAAGTATTTCTTTAGTTTTAATATAATTATTTAATTACTTTTAGAACAAAGGAGCAGCGCTTGGATCCCAATTACGATTGCCCAAAATATGTGGTTAGATTGGGGGAACTGGATTACGATAGCAGCTCGGATGATGCCCAGCCTCAGGACTTCCGGGTGGTTAACTATGTGGTGCATCCGGCTTATGGTGAAGACGATGATACTGGAAGTCGAAAGAATGACATTGCTCTGCTGGAATTGGAAAGGGAGGCGATTTTCAACGAATATGTGGCACCTGCCTGCCTGCCACTTGCCAGTGGAAATGAACATCTTCAAGTAACTGCCGCCGGATGGGGAGCAACCTCAGAGGGAGGACGCTCTTCGTCGCATCTCCTTAAAGTCAATCTGGAAAGATTTGATGAAAAGCAATGCAGTCAGCGGTTGAGCCATAAGATAGATATGCGTACCCAACTATGTGCTGGATCTCGGAACACCAGTGCGGATACTTGTTATGGCGATTCCGGTGGTCCTGTCTTCGTCCAACATCCCACTTACACCTGTCTCAAGCAGGTGATTGGCATTACCTCGTACGGATTGGTGTGTGGTGTACAGGGATTGCCCAGTGTTTATACCAAAGTCCATCTCTACACCGATTGGATCGAGAATATCGTATGGGGCGAATAGGCATGAAAATATTTAAACAACCAATTCGCAACTTCAACTTGAAGGTGCCAACTTAATTTTGCACTTTTAGTTAATGAAGTTATGTTATGAATGAAGACATTTTTTATGAATTCAAGTCACTTTAATGCCATTCTTTTGCTTATTTAGTTAATATATTCAATGCTTTGTTGTAAGCAAACATATTCATAGATGGCTTATATATATTTATGGTAACTCATTGTAATTTTAAGTGCCAGCTTAATTCTTTTTCCTACTTCATTCAACTTTACTTTTTCTCTTCTTCATAATAAATATATAAAATACTGATTCATATTCAAAGGAAAAACTTAAGATCCTTCTAACATTCCTTTATAGTTTTTAATATTTAAAACTCCAAGTAACATCTATACAAAATTCAAATGCAAATCGAGTTAACAAAATAAAAACCTGTACTGGCGATAAAGAAGTCAATGAAGATCCGGTTAATAGCCTTTCCAGGGCAATTAGATTAAAACTAGATCTCGAGCTGGTCACATGACTAACGTTCGGTAATTCTGATAACAGCTTAAATAAATTCTCCCCCCTTGGATATCAGATGCCCTCCCCCAGAAGAGAACTCCGCTCGTATAAAAATCAGTTTTGTTAGCTTTAATCAAACGTCGCGATAACAAGTTGCATAACAAACATCTGGAACTTAGTCTACGAGGATGTGGGTGGTGTTGTGGCGGTGCGAATGGTTTACACATAATATATATATAGCGATGAGTGCTCTCTCTCGTCGTGCTGCAGTGCATTTAACTTATGGCTAGGACACAGTGGAGGTGCTAAGTGGCTAAGTGCTAGAGGACCCTGTAGAAGGCCAACATCCCGGGTTGACTGGATGGGCACTGGATTGGATTAATTAGATTAGGCTTAATCAGGGGGTCACAGGTGACTACAACCGATGCACGCTGTTCAGATCGTGACGTCTCTCAGCATTCCTTTCCTGGATCTCCTGCCGACGGATCTCCTGCTGCTTGTAGACGAACAAAGGCCTGAAGACGATGGCCCTGCGTGGGCGATCCAGTTTCTGAGCACCCAAATCCCTACGCTGGCGTCCCGAGTACGGCCGGAAGAGGTTCGACTTGGCCGAGTCATGGGCATAGAGGGTGCTCAGGAAGTCGAAGTACGGCTTGGAACGCAAACTATCTGGCTGGGCCAAAGGAGAAGGACTGTAGTTAAACTGATTGGGTGTTTCGATGTCGAGAAGGGCATGTGGAACCTCCTGCAGCTGTGGAGCTGCCATTGCCATTGCCGCCAGGATGACCAGGATAACGGTGGAAACCTGCAAGGAAGGGAAAGCAAAGATCAGTCAGAGACATTGGAAGGTGTGAATAGCGAGTGGAGGCCAGTGGTAGAACCAAGCGGTGCCATAGAACCAGAACCTGTCTTAGCGCTCTTAGCGCTTATGCTGTGAATTAGCATACAATAATTAATTTAAATTAACCAACTAGAGGTGGAGAAGGGGATGGGATCAATGATATAACCGCAATCAAATCTAATTTATAGTCGCACGTAAAATATTCATGAGCACGTCTCGAATTTGGTAGGCGTCATCGAGCATGATCCGAGAATCCAGCTGATCTGATCTCCAGGCGCCATCTAACCGGATGCACCACTCTCTAATGCTAATATGATGATGCTAATGCTGCCTAATTATGGCTAACCGTTCCGAACTATTCCTGGAATAGCCTAGATGACTCACCAGCTAAATGCAGTAATGGTAGTTATTTTTATTTTCGGCGATTTTGAATTATGTAAAACCTTAACCGCAGACAAAACAAATTAATTTTAAATCAACAGCGGGCAAAAAGGAGAAGATTGAGATTGAGATGGAGACTGTAACCGGTTGGGCTTTAGTGGTTCAGGGTTAAGAGCTTGACTTTGTAAAATCAAGGCTTCCAACAGGATGGATGATGGTCTGCGGATAAGCCGAAGATCAAGTGCAAAGCAGCATCATAAAGACATTTTACGACACTTCCTCATCAAGATCACAAGATCGTACATATATAAATCGAAATCGAAATCGAAATAGAAATAGAATAAACTTGATTCGATAATGCGTTTGGCCTTGTCTGGCGGCGAAAAAATCAGAGTACGCTGTCCGTTTGCAGCCTTAATTTGTGAATTTTTGTTGAAAATGTTAATCGCCGAAACACGTTTCTTTGTTGGCCTGTGTGTTTTGCCTCATAAATTTCAAATCGATACTGATCTCGATTAAAAAAAAAGGCGATTTACTTACTTGCCAAGTGTATGCAAACATCTTCGCTGGGTACCGTTTAATTGCCTTCCGTATTTAATTATTTGATAACAAGTGGAGTATCCTGTTTGGCGTCTGCTTCGAGCACTTTATCACTTTTTTCCAATTCAGATTTAAGGCTTAAGATCAATTTGTTAAACGTGCGCACTCGCGTAAAGTCGAAACCGTTCTGATCGATCGTAAATTCTGGGACGATGTCTTTATCAGTAATTAGCTTAACACCCCGTTTGGTGTTTTTTGATTATGATTTCTTTTTTTTGTAACTGATTCTCGATGCTATCGCCGCTAAGCGTGCGCTTCAACTGTTCAGAATTTTTGTCACAATTCACTTTTATACGGCCTGACCGACGCTTTCGTATGCCGAACAGGTTTCGACCTGGGTTTCGCTAAATATTGCCGATATCGCGGCGTACGTAAATCCCCTCCTCACCATAAGTGATCAATATATACCGAAGGGGGGTCCAGTGTTTGGGCAAAATTGCCAAATTGTTGGCTCTGCTGCATTTTGGCCAATCCCGCTAGTCACGTAATTAACGCTTCTGAGGCTTTTGCGGCTTCCCAGGGGTATCAAATCGATATCAATATAAATATATAGATTTAATAGCATACATATGCGTCAGACATAGTCGTATTTTTGTTTGCTCTTGGCATTAACCGATCTTCAATCTTCGTATGGGAATTAATTAAACTTTTTCCATGACGCACTTACTAATCAAAAAGAAGACACTAATCCCCCGGAGATCGGATAAGCGGGCACAGACAGGATGAGGAACTGATACTGGCATCACATTCAACCGCGACACGGAAGCCAAAGGGGAGTCGTAAAGTTTTTAGAGAGATCTCTCATAGAGATCAGCATCGGAACCAATTTGGTGATCATTATGGGCGCCACTAAGTTATGCAAATTGTTGTGCTGGTGACGCATGTTTTGGATGCTTGGAAAATTGTCAACCCAACGTGGACCGAGGTACTTGAGCTTGGCTTTCATGCTTCAGGGGAATCGTAATCCGAAGGTCAAGTGTTCTTGTTAATGCCAATGGTAATGGTAATGAGCCACGCTCGACTGGATTGGCTTGGATACCCCTAGATCAAGATAAGTCCCCCTTCTTGTCGCACGTGATCAGTAGCAGATCTCGGATTGGATCGAAATTGGTTTTGAATTTGGGTTTGGTCTTGGATCTTGGTTTTGTCTTTGTCTTAATACTTCGATTGTTCAAATATTGAAGAGCCAGTGACGTTGGTAGCCAAATGTTTTATGTCCAAGACTCGTCTTGGCCGTGTCAATGGCCAACCGGTTGGTTCGGAGAGTGCAGGCTGATTTATTCAATTGGCTAACATTTAGCCAAATTGCCCGTCAACACCCCCTGAAAAACCAGCTCAGAGAACTTGGTCTTTGTTTGTTTGTTTCTACGGTTCTTTTTGGCATTTTCTTGCGTATTTTTAGCCAGAACAAAACCCATTTTGACCATAATATTTGTTCAATAAATTTCATTTAATTAGTTTTTCGGCTTGAAGCCGGTTTGAAACGCAATAAGACTAATGGCCCGGCGATAAGCGCCGCCGTCACGGGCCGACAAAATGTCAGAGAGTGAAAAATAATATAAAAATGCTTATCAGCGACTTGCGTCTACTATTCGGTTATGTTCAGATCCGACCGGATGGCTTAACGGCATTTTTAATCTTATTATTTTCGCCTGCGCTAATATTTTGTAAATATGAAAATAATAAACAATAAATTACTAATCTTGTCTACTTCTGGTCTTCCCAACATTCGAATTCCCCAATAATCATGAATATGTTAACATTATTCATTCATGAAGCTGCCGGGCAAAGTCTATGATCTCTGACGAAAGTAGAGTGAATCACTAGGGCTAATATTATAAGGTTTTGTCGGAAATGCAGGTGTTCTAATTGGGTAAGATATGCTTTGCTGCTGGGCCGACGACTTCCTCGGAGGAGTACGACTCATCGAGGTGCTAATTGACCAAGATGGGATGCGCTTTCGGACGGAATTTGAATCACAATCGCGGGGCTGGCGCCTGAAAAGGTGAGAAAGGGGCACGTTCCGGCTGTCGCAAAAACTAATATTTCCATTTCCCATCCTGATCACTCCATTGTTTGCCCTTTCACTTTGTACTTAGATGAATGCCGTACGTCATTTTATGGACCTTTAGGCGACTGATACACCCTGGTGGTGATTAGCACCTCGCTGACTTCGTCACTACGCTTTCCACCAGCAAGCGGCACTAATTTAATTTGGGCAATAATTTGTTTTGCTTTCGGCCAAAGATCATGGAAATTTTCGCCGATCTAATTAGTAACATGATTATAAATTAGTGCTAAATGGGGTTATTTACTTTGTTGGGTTTTTGCAACATTGTTTTTGAATTTCGGCGCCCAACTGATCGAGCTTTGTTCGAATTCGAACATTGCTGCCTTACCAGATCGTTGGAAAATGGTGATAAAGGAGCTTTCACTCAAAAAACCCATTGAGTGTAAAGTTCTTGAAGTATTTTGACATGCTTATAACTCATGTCAATAAATTATGTCATGTATATAAATTATATCGTCGGATAATGAGTGACTTTTAGCTAGGTTGAGGGACATTTTGATTTATTTTTCTACTTTAGATTATTTAATTTTTGATTTACTTACATTTCTGCCCTAAAGAGACTGATAAAAAAAAACAAGGTTAAGGCTTTTTCATTTCTAAAATAAATAAATAATAATAAGAATAATTTTAATAAAAATTGTTATGTTTTGTATTTTTTTATTTAATTAATAAAAAAGATCATATCATAACAAACATAAATAATACTTGCTTAGCTTATGTTTTCATTTTCAGCATAAACTTTTAGATTCCTAAGAAACTATCAATGCTTATGAAATAATCAACATTATGGTCTTTCATTCTTATTTATCCTCCAAAGCAGAACATAACAACTGTTAAGTAAATATATTTCCATGAATGTTAAATAACTGCTAAATATTTCACAAATTAAAAATTACTTAAATTTAAAGAAAACAAAACAAAGAAAATACTGCATGTAAAAATAGTAATATCGATCGCTGATAACACTTTTGAAATTAACGGTTAACCGTTTTGCCGGTACTAACAGACTGTTAGCCTAAGTCTGTTAGCCAACAGCCGGCGATAACAGGCAAAGAGAAAATGCTGTAAGCTTAGCAAGGTGAATATCGTAATCGCTTAAAACTGTTTCCAGAGCATTGCAAGCAACCAAAACACTCGGTTCTTACGAATATTGGTAAAAATTTATAAATCGCTGTTTTAAAAACTTAATTAAAGTGCTACCTGCCGCGCAACTGACCGTGTTCGCAACGAAATTCGTGTCGCGTTGCTCTGATCGTGCGGTTCTTGCTGGATTATCAACAAATGCCAAAATTTCGTCAAGGCGAATAAAAATCATATATGTATACATACATACATATGTATATACATCACTTAGCAGTGTGTGTTTGAGTGTGTGTGTGTGTGCGAGTCTCTGGGCAAATAAAAAACACATTTTTTTAATATTTAACTAATATTTTGCACAAAGGCCGACAAAAACGCAAAGCAAAAACAGCAACATTGGCATTGAAATACACCGGAAAAAAAGTGTAAAGTAAATCAAAAAGTTTTCTTATCAGTGAAGGAAGAGTGAGCAAGAGAGAGGGAGAGAGAGCAACAAGTAGTGCAACAATAACTATTTCAGATTTAACACACCACATTATTCTTTTCCTTGAAATCTACCCACTCTCTTTGTTATAACTTCTGTGCTTTATTCATTTTTGTTGCGTTATTTGTTATTGTTGTTTCGGTTGTCTAGCGATTAGAATTAATTGACAAATGGCAAAAACAAATTATTCGGGTTCTTTTTTCGGCGTTAATACTTACGAGCAAAATAATGCACTGAGAGAAAAGAGGAAAAATAGCTTACAAGAAAAAAAAAGAAGGAAATTCTAGATGTTAAAGTCCTTTGGAAATAATATTACGTATTTTAAAATGTAATTGTTTTGAAGTGCCATCCCTAGTTTAGTAATGTCTTGTGAGCTGTAAAAAAAAGTAACAGGATGCACGAATGAAGCCGCAAAAGGGAGACGGCGAAGAGCAGCACGAAAAGTCCGAAAAGAACATGAATAAATCATAACTAAAGTTAGTGCGATCGCTTCTCGCCCTCTGCGATCGGTTAGACATAAAATTAAAGTACAAATAAACGAAAACATTAACCGAGGTTCAACGACCGCCGACTTCTATGCCTCTCCATGTGTGAGACTGTTCAGTTGGCAGAGATAGAAAAAGCATAGCAGAGCATATAGCCAGAATTCCACTTCTTTTTTTCGGGCCCATTAGCACCTGTCACACCAGTCTTTATCGCGAGTTTTGGTGGGTTATCTAGAAAGAGCAACAGGTAGGAAATCAAGTAACGACTCTCCCTCTCTCTCCTTTTTCGAATTATCGTATAGGAACAAAAGGATATATCGATATGCAAGCAAAGATCGATAATACCACATCTCTCTACTTACAGTTGGTGCTAATCAAAAGTGCTAAAAATATCCAGAATATCAGTTAATCCCAATAAACAACTATACAAATCCAGTCAAATGTCACTATCACGTCAGCTGAAGCGACAGAAAATGACTCAAGGGAAAAAGTTTGGCGATGGAGATCCATGTAATTACCAGGAGCTTAACATCATCGGCACAGGTAAGCGGATCTGTGGATTTTTTGTTGTTGGGATAGGTCGGCGCTACAAAGTGGTTTCTGTTTATTTATGATTGCCCAACGAAACTGTGCGGATTATTAACGATCTACTTTAATATGTTTACAAACTCTTGGCTATTGGCTATTTGGCTTTTACAGCTTATTCTTGACATAAGTTTTTAGTTAGTTTTAGTAGCTGTTTTGTTTACTTAACAGATATTAACGACTTTTTTATTTGTGGCTAAGGAAATTTGTGTGTTTATTTATTAGTTTTCAAACCCCAAGTAGCGTATTCTGTGGGTGCATTTGGCCGAACATTTTTGTTTATTACCATGACAAATTAAGCATGGAAAATCAGGAAAAGGGGAAATATTAGCTAGGTAATGTTTTCACGATCAAAACTTCCCCGTTTTGGGTCTTCAGATTTTTCGCCTGCATACTTTTAGGTTCGCTCCACATGGGCCACGTGTTTTTACATATCATTATCCATTAACCATTATCGGAAAACAATATTGATTCCAGATCGATGATCTGACAAGTGGCTCATGGCCTTTTTTTGTGTTGGGAAGCAGCAATTACGAATCGGTATTTCATTTTTTCTTTGTAAATAAAGCCCAAATCAATTACGTCACCGAGCTGTGAAGAGGCGAATGTTAATGATGGATATTGTTACTGGTTGTTGGGAGAAGCAGGGGCTTAGAGGGCGAGAGGGTCCCGAAGCCGGAAGGTAAACCATGCCCCTCATCGTAACCCCCTGAATTTCATCTGTTATACAGCGGCACACACACACACTCACTTACATACATTTTCGTCTGTCTGTTTTTGTTGCTAGCATTCATTCAATTATTGCCCCTTGCCATTCGCTTTCGCTCCAACCTTTCATTGTTGTTGTTTTTTTTTTTTTTTGGTCTGTGCGCAATTTTTCGAGTTTTGTTTTTTGTGTTTTGTATTTTTTTTTTATTTTTGACAATTTTAAATCGAGAGCCCAGTAGCCGACGTCCAAAACGAGTCGAAGTCGAAGTCGAGCTCTCGGCCTTGTGCTTGAAATTGTCGAAATAGCGGCACAGTTCACAAGCCAGGTGGTCTGGAGACCCCCAGAAACCTCCCACCTCCCCCAGTTTCACATTTATTGTAGAGTATTTTAGTATTTAGTACAGAGTGTCTGTCAATGTCAACCGAAATAGCCGGTGTCTTGTTGGTTTTTTTTCTCCCCCACGCATGTCTTCGTCCGTCCATATTTTTCGTCTGTCCGTACGGGTGATAAATTTCCGGTGACAACATTTTGTCTCTGGCATTTGATTCTGATTGGAACTTTTTCGTCTCTTTTTTTCTCTCTCTTTTCGGCTTTCTCCGTGAGTGTGTGCAAATTGAAGATCTTTTAGTACCTGATATAACACCCATATCTTATTTCAATTATTTGCTTTTTTGCTGTTCCAAAGCTATATCCAAATTTAATAATTAAATTCAGTTTAAACATAAGAATATTTTGGCTTATAACAAATTTCTCGTTTTAACTTTTTTATATTAAAAAGTCTAAAAAGTACTCACATAACATATAATATCATTTAAGAGGTATAAATTGATTTTTCCATTTTTCTTTATACGTACAAGCGATAAAGTTCAGATAATATTACTTCAATCATTGTGCTATAAATATCTTAAAATGTCATAATGAGATGTATAAAAATAACACTCTGTCCGGAGATAATTGACTTATGTATATTTTTATAGCAAGCAATGCCAAATGATCAATTTGGAGTAGCTTTTTTCTCCGTGATTCTCTCGTTTATGTGCAATCTGAATAGTTGGCCAGATATCGCCAATCAGCCGGCATTTCTCGCCCACGTTATCAGCACAGCTGACTTTGGTTGCCTTTTTTTTTTTTTTTTCGTACCTTTTGCAAATTTTCGGCAATTTTACGTGTTCTTATCTGGCCTTGCTTTCTGCTTTTTGATTTTTTATTCTTTGTGTCTCTGTTTTCGCTTCTGATTAGCATTACCATTTGATTTGGTCATTCTCCGATTTTTATACAATGTTGTATGGTTTTTTTCTCATCTGGTTTTCAGGTGCTTATGGAACGGTTTATAGAGCCCGAGATGTGATCACCGGTAATATAGTTGCCCTAAAGAAAGTGAGGATCTCGCTAAATGAAAATGGAGTGCCGATGTCCACGTTGCGGGAAATTTCCCTGCTCAAACAGCTAAATGCCAGTAATCATGCAAATATCGTCAAGTGAGTATATTATTATAAAGGCTTTAAGCTTAAACAATCAGCGTTTTTTTACAATTAACAGGCATTAGGATCGTGTATATATAGCCTATATATAAGGGGTGTTTTTATGGTGTGTTATCATAGCTAGCTATTGAGGCCAAGTGGCGCCCCAACTATTTGCCAAAGTAATTTGAAAACACCTCCCTGCAATGTCACAGCGCTTCTGTTTATCTTTGCACGCTAAAGCGGCAATATTTCGTCGATTTGCTGTTGGATGGGGAGGGGTTCGTTCCCCTCTTCGCCCTGCCATCGCCCACGCTTTTGGCATATGCCAGTCAAATAACTCTAGAGCGGCGCCACTCTGCTTCGGCTGATAACGCCGCTGTCACTGCACTTCGCAGATCCGCCGATTTTATATTGGCATTAAGTAATATGCGGCAGCCGTTAGGAATTTGAATTAACAGACCGCCTTTGGAGCAGGTTCGATAGCAGCATGTTACTGGCAATCGATATCTGCTCTCCCGCTCTCGTCAATCTCTCGCTCAGCTACGATAATGTGTTAGCAGAGTGAGAGTGAGAGATTGATCTGAATAGCGTATGTACAACACATTGAGAGTGGGACCTCACACAACAGAATGTTAAGCTGTGGATGGCGATAATGATGTAGCTGTTATTTTGTTTGAAACTAAAAGTATTTTTTGGTTGGAGGGGAAAGAAATTGCAAGAAGTCAGAACCTAAGCTAAACATTTTAAAATCTCTATTTATATTAAAATTCTTGGATATAAATAAAATTCATTATTTATTTTTGTTACATTTGTTAAAATGTAAATAATTCAAAGGTAATGTTAAAATAACTGCCTGTTGCTTTTTAACATAATGTTATTTATTCTCCGCTCTGCAAACTTTTTACGTTATTCCCTCTTGCCAAAACGATCTTTAGTCTCTCTTTTGGTGTGCCTCTCTTTGGCTCTTTGATCGTCATATCGTAAACGTGCGCGTTTGTCTGTTTCGAGTGCTTTGTTTAGTTCTTAAAACGAACACAGTATGGCCGATGGCGCTTGTTAAGTCAGCAGCATTTTATAACACTTTTTCTATATCTCTCAACATTTTCAAACTGTCTATCCCTTTCTACCATTGAAATCAATCAATGTTTATTTACATACATATTTTCCCCTCCTTTAACAGGCTGTTAGAAGTATGCCAGTTTCTAGAGCGTGATGGGCAACTGTTAATTCTTTTGGTTTTCGAGCACCTGGAACAAGATCTATCGGACCTTATAGATAGACTACCCAAATCGGGCATGTCGCCTCCTACAATTCAGGTGAGTCTGTAAATAAATGATTCTCCTTAAATACCTAACTCACTTTTTATATTTTTTAGCGCCTTTCAAGGGAACTTCTAACTGGTGTTGACTTCCTACACTCACATCGCATTATTCATCGGGATTTGAAGCCACAGAATTTGCTGGTTTCCTCACAGGGTCACCTAAAGATAGCTGATTTCGGTTTGGCCAAAACCTATGGAACGGAAATGAAACTCACTTCCGTGGTGGTAACCTTGTGGTATCGCGCCCCGGAAGTTCTTCTAGCTCAGCCTTATAATAGTACAGTAGATATTTGGAGTGCGGCCTGCATTATCTTCGAGATGTTTAATCGCAGAGCCTTGTTCCCGGGAACCTCTGAAAAGAATCAGCTTGACCGCATTTTCGAGTGGGTTTCTTTATTTCTCATAAGAGTTCCATAATTTTTTAATTAAATTTTATTTAATTTTTTTAGACTCACTGGTCGACCCACTGAACAACAATGGCCTCAGACCATTTCCGTCGCCCTGGAACACTTTCCCCAGCGACATCCAAAGAGACCAAAAGACTTTTGTCCAAATTTGTGCGAATATGCCGATGATCTATTGAATGTGAGTAAAGGGCATTTTTAGGGCTAAAACTTAAGAATTATTTTATTCCTTATTTAAGATCTTTAAATAGATTTATTTCTCGAGTCCCAAGCTTAATCTATATCTTCTGTTCTTCCCCAGCAAATGCTATCCTACGACCTCCATCTGCGACCATCCGCCTTGGCTTGTCTGGAGCACAAGTACTTCCAACAGGAACCACTATAGCTCTAAAACTTATCCCAGAGAGATAAAGGAAGTGAACTGATCATTACGGCCTCGCTTCGTTCTTGTTACAATGTTCCTTTAAGTGTAGTGAAGCATTTTGTTTATTTTTCGCGACAGTCCAGTTATTGTGTCCGGATCCGGATCCGGGATAAAGAATACCTTAATATGTTTGTAGTCGTAAGCTAAGTGTAAAGAGAAAAAACATTGTCGTGTCGTATAAATATTACTGCCGATCAACTGATAACCGCTAAATGTGAAACGATTCTCGAGGGCGTTTAATAGCCCTCCAAATCGAAATGTGATACACAAAGTTCAGGAATGCATTATACAATTTCAAAATTTTGTACAACAACAACCATTTATATATGCAATTATATATACAGCATACATTTATATTTTTTTAATGTTTTATTGGGAGTTACTGGTTATACATATGTGAAAGAGTATTTTTAATAATCAGAAATTCGTAATAATGTTCGTTATTTTTTTATTAGCCTGCAGTCTTGCTGATGTTAAGAAAATGTAAACTATCGATAACCTTTCTCATCTGATCTTCATATTCACACATCTTTAGTTCCGGCTTCTTCGTTAATTTTTATGCTCTTATTTCTCTCTTCGGAATCAAAACGTTCTGTTAGTCACGATTTAACAGAATTGCCTAAATGTGAAGGATTCCCTTGTAAATTTTAAAATCTGAGTATATACGTTTTAGTAATGAATCCAGTATATAGCATTACCCCAAAGTATATATATATATATATATTCTCATATATATAAATATAATTAACACTAACATTTCTGTTAAGAACACGTTACTCAGTCACTGCTGTAAAATTAGCAAAGTTTCAACCCCAACATTAAAATTAATAAGTTTTTCATCCCTGGACTCCACTAATCGATATAGTATCGAAGCTTTACTTTCGCAGGGTGACCGCGTTTCATAAATATATTTAAGTTCCGTAAAAGAATAATCAAATAATACAAATTTTATAACTGCTGATTGAATTTGTCATATATTTATATAAGTAAACAACATTAGGTGCCATTTCATTCAATCAAAGAAAAGCAAATTGAATTTCTAAATACTAAATTGGTATTTCATGGTATATAGTTATATACCAAATAGTATTTTTTATGGTTATCGGCTCGGTCACACTAACTTCCGCCTCTTTTTCGACGACGACTTGCTAAAGGAAAGTTGTGTTTTTCGTACTTTTTGCCAATTCACGTTTCGTGTCAAGAACCTAAGACTTAAACATGCGTTACGTGGCTGCTTACCTTCTGGCCGTTCTCGGTGGCAAGGACTCGCCCGCCAAGGGAGATCTGGAGAAGATCCTCAGCTCTGTGGGCATTGAGGTCGACGCTGAGCGTCTGACCAAGGTCATCAAGGAGCTGGCTGGCAAGAGCATCGAGGACCTGATCAAGGAGGGTCGCGAGAAGCTCTCCTCGATGCCCGTGGGTGGTGGTGGTGCCGTTGCTGCCGCCGATTCCGCCCCCGCTGCTGCTGCCGGTGGTGACAAGAAGGAGGCCAAAAAGGAGGAGAAGAAGGAGGAGTCCGAGTCTGAGGATGACGACATGGGCTTCGCTCTCTTCGAATAAGCGGAGTAACTGGCAAATATTCTGTGCACAACACATGCGAGGCGAAGAAGCAGCGTCCTGGAGAAGCACCGGCCATAATTTTCATATGGCCGTGGTCTACACAATTATTGTCTAGCCATCCATTGACCATTTCTACGTAATAAAAATCAGCAGTGTTTGCACTTTATATAAACCGAGTGGAATTGTGTTATTTGTGCCGTTAAAATGGTTATTTTCATGGTTTTTGTGTTGTATTTCCCATAACAGTGGACCCACGTGTTGGCTAACATTCTGTTAAAGCCACTCATGCTTGATTATCTGTGTACAGAATGGAGTATGTTAAGATAACAGTCGCGGGGGTGCTCCGTAAAACCGTATTGGAAGTAAAAAATTTTTATTTTCTTATTGGACATTTAAAAAAGCAAAATTTAAGGATAAGAGAAACATAATTAAATATTGAAATTCTGTAAGTAGGAAAGTAGATGTCGGTATTCAGAAAACTCTGTAATCTTATACCTTTTCAGAAGGGAAATTTTATTAGTCAGAAGATTTTAATACAGGGAATATCACCCTATATTAAATAGAGAAACAATCTGCATGTATATATTTATACAGAGAAAACCAAAGAAATCCAGTATCAAGTTAGATGGTTCGAAGTATTAAATTTCAAAGATGGTATGGGAACATTTACTTCGTAAAAAATGCAGAAATAATGGTCATTGAGTTTTATAAACTCTTTTTATTTAACATTTTGATTGATTGATATGGAACCAAATCTATCTCTACACTTAATTTCCTAAGGAATTTTGCACATAAATAAACCGAGGAATGTGATCTTTATAACTTATTTACATCCATATGTAGGTTAATTAGGCCAGTCCCACAATGGTATAGAATATCAAGGGCAGCACCAGGTTGTCCACTTGGTCAGTAAAGGCCTCCACCAACGCTGAATTCAATGCCGCGAAAATAGTGGCAAACCATTTTGCTTGGGTCATGGCCACTAAGCCTGTAATCTCCAGTAGCCAGACGGCTATTAAGATGGACACCACAAATGCAATGGTGCCCTCCAAAGAGCGGGAGGATTCTAAAATATTAAATCATTAAAATAATTTAAAACTTATAAAGGTTAAATACACAAACTCACTTCCCCACTTGTTGCGGCCCAGCTTCGAACCAACCACACTAGCTGCCGTATCTCCAACGCCTACTGCCAGAATACCCGAGAGCAATGCCAATGTATCACTTCCAGAACAGGGACATGGAGTCATCCAAATGGGCATTGAACAACCGATGAGAAGACAAAACGGTGTCAAAGCCAATTCACCGGCGTCTTTTTCATCTTTGAAGGAGCGGAATGCATCAGCCAGTCTGTCAGCGAATGGAGGAATCTTAAGGAGTCGCAGCAGTTCCAGGACCACAAAAGCAGCTAATGCAACGCCAGTGGCCAAGTACAGCAAGGCGCACTCAAAGACCAATCCAGGGACATAGACCATCACGATAAGCAGATGAAATATTTTCCTAACTCGCGTGTTCGCCTTGGAGGAGCTACCAATTTGCCAGGCTACAGTAACGCAGGTTAATACAACGAGTAGTAAGTAAAAGACCAAAATGCTCAGTCTATCGCGATCCCGGAGTAGGAACTGAATGAGAGCCAGCAGAGGAAGAGGTCGGGTTACCGGCATACAGGTAACGGCCAACAAGAGTTGCAGCATCCACAGGTAGAAGCGGTACGGCTTCCTCAACGATGGAAACACCACGAGAGCTAGACAGAAAACCAACAGCCAAAACAGTGCGTTCTGGGGGATAGAATTAAGTTTAATTTATTTGCAAAATAATAGTAAAGTAAACTCATCCGTACTCACCACCATGATCATATTAAGGGTCTCGAATTCATCAGTTGGCCACGAATCGCCGCAGAAGAAACCGCCCAGTCTGTAGATGGCACTTATAGAGAAGAGTACCAATCCCTGGACGAAAACCGACGCTTCTCCATAGCTAAAGGACCTCGCGAAGCCTCTCAATGTGTAAATATAGATTTGCTGATATGCGGAGGTCATCGCAAATCCCACGATTACGGCAAAAATGGCTGATGTGTTCACCAGCACATATAAGCTCAAGCTGATGGCCACTCCTGGCAACAGGCTCACCAAACACTTGACCAATATACCAGTCTTCACAAAGGCGTAGATAAAGAAGCAGAGGGTTTCCAAGGCCATTCCGCCGGCGGAAACAGTGAGGAGCCACTGCATCTTGGACTGTTCCTCGCATTTTGGTGGTGCATGCAACAGGCGGATGCTAAATGCCAACGGTAGAAGTAGACATAGCCAACCGCCTGGTCCGGCATTAGGTCTACATAAGGGTCAGATAACATTTACTGATAAGGGAAACTTTGGACTCTCCTCTAGACATTACTCACCTAGGCGCCATGGCCTTGAGACTAAATACATCCGAACGATAGGTGCTCCGTCGCTGGTGGCGAATCCCTCCCAATCCACTGGACTGACTGTCCGTCGAGGATCCACTGGAATCCGATTCCGAGTGTTCACTGTCCGTTTCTGGGCTCCTCATTATCAGGTCACTCAATACATGACTTTTGGGAATTTCGAAAGTCTTCTGTGTATCCGCAAATGGGTCAAGGTGGGGAGAAAAGCCCACGCTTTTCCTCCAAACTTCGGCACATTAGTGGTGTTTTGGATGCACTGGACCAGCTGGTCGTACTTTGTTGTTGGGAAACTGTTGATTCGGGTTTGAAATGCACTTCGGATTTTAAAGCGTTCGACGGTGAGGTAACACTAAATGTTAGTGGAAAGTGTGGCCAGATTATATTAACACAGAAAATGCAGTTTGGCGGGAAATAAGTTAAAAGTGTTTTTTAAAAAATTAACTACAAAGTAAGCCTACAAATTTCATTCACATTGTAATAGTTTTTTTTTGAGAATGAAAATATTTTGCGCTTACCCTGACTTTTTACCACCCAATATATCCCAGTTAATTAAAAAATTCCCTATGTTTAATTTTTTGTATGTATTTATATTGTAAAACCAAACCTCATACAAATTGCATTTAGCATAAATAACATTGAGAAAATGTTGAACTACTGGGGAAATATTGCTCAGCGTCTTAAAGCAGTCCAAACAAGTAATAGAGAACGGGCAGGACAAGAGCTGCCTTGGCGGTTGAAATTCCGGTAATGCAGACAATCAGTTTGAAGATTCCATACCAAAATGAGAGTTGCAGTGCCACATGAAGACCCAGGAGACTAATATAAAGGTAGGTTAATAGTAGTTTTAAGTAGTATTATTAAATGATCTTACATTTTGTCCTTGCGACGTGCTTTTTCCAGGTTCTTTGGCGGCTCCTTGCTGAGATACTGACGCACTCCAAGGATCGTGTTAGCAAAGTACTCATCCCATGTCAGCTCACCGATGTCGATGAAGAACTTCTTTTTGTCCACGATATTCAAAGTCTTTGAAAGCGCCAATAGACGTTTGCTGTCGAAGTGCCATTCCGTGAAGATGAACTTTTCCAGGGTATTAAGAGAGTTCCAAACGTTCTTGTGCAGACGAACCAAGCTAAAAAAAGATTAGAATAATTTTAGAAATTAAAAGAGAAATATAACCAATATGCCTTCTGGGAATATTAATAATTAACCCACGTATACTCACATTGGCCTTCCGCCTCCAATCTTAGTAACCAGATCCAGGATAATAGCAGGAATGAAATGGAACAGAATGGCGCTCAGTCGGAACACCCAGAGGCTCTTGACCAGACGCAGATTGGGATACCAAACGGCACTGTTCAGTGGATAGTCGTGCAGGTAGCCATTGATTTTGTCAGCCATAAGCTCAAACCGGAATGGCTTGTATGTGCTGGAGGTCAGGTGGAAGATTTGCAGTTCGGCTGGACGACCTCCGTTTTTCGCTTGAAGCGAGTTGACATAGTAACCGGTAGTTATGATTCCATTGACCACCACATCGATGGGTATGTAGTCCATGATAATGCTGGGGTCCAAGGGAAGACGACGCAGCACACCCTTTGAGGCGCCCATGAAGAAGCCCTGAGGACCGTTCTTAGAAATGGTCCATCCAGGAAGTGGTTCCTTCCAAGCAGCGGTGACTATAAAAGGATGACGATTTTTATTAGTTTCTTTGATGATATCCAAATCTCTATTTCACACTCACTCATGCTGGGACGAACGATGCCGCAGGGGAATTTACTGGCTACATTTGCCACCTCGTGCTCCGCCAAGTGCTTCGTGAAGGTGTAGGTATTCGGGTGATCCTTGAGAAGTCTGTATGAAGAGTAACCTTTATATATATGATCCTTTAAAATATGTAAATATTGCTCACTTTGGTTCAAGTTCTTTGAGAGCCTCATCGTTGAGGGTCTCCGACAGCTGAATGATCTTCTCGGGATCTTCGGGCGAGGGATATAGCTTCTCTTCGACCTTGGTTAGGTAGGCATTCACGTAGGCGCTGGACACATGGACCAAAGAATCCAAATTCTTGAGCTGTTGGCACAGCTCCACCACTCGCCTTGTGCCCCTCAAATTGATGTTGGTGGTCTCTTTCAGAGATTGGAAGAAGTCCAACGTGGCAGCCGAATGGAAGACAACATTTACATTGTCGATTAGAATCTGACGATCCTTGGGCGAGATGCCTAGATTTTCTAGACCCACATCACCCTCGATTGGAACGATCTTGGAAAGGCGTGACTCTAGCTGCAGCTCCTTAAACTTGTCAAAGACGGAGTTCTTTTTTAGCTCCTCCAATCGTTCCTGAACATTTTTGCCCTTTTTGGCTCGCATCAGCAGGTACAGTGTGCCCACGTTCGGTACGTCGCGTAGGAGTTTCTCCACAATGGTGACGCCCACGAAGCCAGTGGCTCCAGTAATGAACACATTGCGACCCGCATAGAAGTCTGTGATGGGGGAGCTGAAATAGTAAGAGTTTTCCAATCAGTTCGGCGCCGTCTTTTGTGTTTATATAACTAATACGACTATATTTACAGACGTCATAAAAGATGAACCAAAACTTTCTCTCATCGCCCATTCAAATGGCCCAATGAAGGCGAAGTTGCTGCTTACGACACATGTTCACCCATAAAAACCTCCAAGGCAGGGCATCTTAACTGTTTGCCAGACTGAAAACCCGTTTTCCTCTGTGGGTTCCGAGTTCTAAGTGCCTATTGTATATCCTCTAATATTGATATAACTAATGATTTGCTAGCAGGTGTTGACTGGTGGGTCAATGTTGGATTTCTAATCCATCTTGTGGGTGTACACCTATTCTTGGCACTTTGGAATCTTGGCTATCGACTGGAAACTAGTCGTGCGATCGTGCAAGTCAAGAAATTATATGATTTGATATGATTTTCGACCTAGGAAGATTGTTTTTCAGACCCCTTTTGATTTTCTAATAATGGATTTTCGATACTTGAAACATATTTCGAGGCGTTGTTATAATGTAAACTGTTTTAGCTTACATTTAACTTCAAGTTTAAGAGCTAAAGAGGAAACTATAAGCACAAACTTATTATTTTTATGTAAAGGTTTTCATGTGAGTAAAGTTTTATTTATGAAAAGAGTTAAATATATTGTACAAAGTCTCTTTTTTAATACTGAGTGTTGTTTATACTTGTTTTTTTTTCATATTTAGAAAAAATTTTTATTGCCTCAGTGCACTAAAGTATTTAGTTAAGGCTCTTTACGTTCGGGAAACCCCATTTTTTACTTACTGTCTAATAATTTCTCAACCATTTCGATCGAATTACCAAACATATGGGAGCCCCTGCAAACACGCAACATGATCATTCAATTAGCCGAGTCTGGCGCATTTCTCTTTTAATGACCTCCATCGGACTTCGCTGTCTCCATTTTTTCGTTATGCCAAATGATTTTATAATGACAATCATTGAAGATGATTTCTGTGTTTTTATTTGCCCCCCTCCAAACGATCTGTGATATAATTTCTGCATAACAAATGACATTTGAATGGCGGCGAATGTGTTGCATTCACAATTCCTACGTATTTGAATATGCAAGAGATGAATGCAAATTGTCTTTCAAGCAATTAAAGGAGACCCTCGAGACGCAAGCCCATCAGAAATAAATAAAGTGCAGTTGAAGCCTCTGCAGGTGCTCATATTTACACATGCGAAAAGGCAAGTCACCGTTTTGGCCAGGCTCACAGTTCAAGAGCTCGTTGGCAAGCCAAAATGAGCTTTCACTTTGTGGTCCAGCGATTTGGAGGAGAGAAAAAAAGCAAAAGCGGAAGGGACAGGTGACCCAATCAAGACAAACGGCCAATAACTCATCGAGCAGATTTGCTTAATTTATAAAGTTTTCCTTAGCCAACTCTTTCACTGTTGCAAATTAACTTTCTTATCAGTCTTATATCAACTTCGGAGATTAGATTTTTCTGTTGGTTAGTTTGGGGACTTATCTCGGGTAATTAAGTGGCCCGATTTATGGTGGCATTGCTACTTGAAATTTGTTTCAAATTAGGTTTTGCTTTACCTTGGGAGTAGCATTACTATAAAAATAAAAAGGGTAGTCTCGTATAGCAAAAAGCTTTTAATATAAAACTAGCCGAGAAAATAGGAAATAATAAAGTCATATGAATTATTTTTAATACACGACTTAGTAGCCTTAATGCCTTGCATATTTCAGTATCAGTTGCAACAGTTTACAGCAAGTCTTAACGACTGGCGTTAAGAACTCACATATCATTAGCTTGCACATAAACTTAAATGCATGCCAGCCTCGGCAATTAAGCCACCACTCGACTGTGAGTAACTGACCCTACCAACTGCACTCAACAGTCTTGGCCCATAAATCTCTTGGCATATTATTATTATTAATATTCGTCCCGAAACTGTTTAGCAAGCTGTCAGGATGCGATGGCTATAATATGTAATGATCTTGCTCCCCTTCGATTCCTTTTTATTCCATAACCTGTAATTTTCCACTTGATTTCCTGCTTGCCCAGCATTGAATATCATTGACGTCATATTGTTGAAAATGGAACTTAAGATTTCCAAAGGAGGGGTATCAAGTGGGTCAAAGTTTGAGTTTGAAAACTGGAATGTCTAAGCCTATTTGCATCTCTCTCTTACTTTCTATTACATGCACAGTCGCATTCTACACAGGTTAATGAAATTTTCCATTGTTCTCAAATGCAAGGCGTCTCTCAGGTGATAGATTCTCATTGAGGAAAGAAAGTGTCTGGCTAAATGACCCACTGCCAGTTCGTAATGAAATAGAATTAGTCGCCAACGCAAGTGTTAATTATAATACAGTATGACCCAAATAACTTGAACTATAGTCTTGAGGTTGAAATATTATATATAATTTTAAATATCATAAATAAGACTAATGAATGTGATTTTTAATGATGTTATTATAGGAGTTGAAAGTTCAAACTTCAGGGTAATTTGAATTGAAAAATGTTGTCCTGTAGAATTTCGAATTACATGAGAAATTGGGAAGTAAGAAGGTACTAAAATTGTTAAATTTACTTCCTATCTGAGTTACTGGTTCACTTTTCTGTAGGTACTTTTCCTTATTTATTTCAATATTTTGCAGTTAAACTCTCGGCCAAATGACCAGTTCAAATCAAAGATACGCTTCACACCCAATATTAGTCTTAAGTCGAACTTTGCACTGTCTTTCTAACCTCACAAAAAGGCGCTCGAAAGCGGAGAAAAGTGAATAAAAAAGCAGGTCGAAAGTTGTCAAACATGCTACCAAAATTAAATACAACAGAAAATCACCACCAGAAACCGTTGTTTGGATCCAAATTAAGTAAGACTTACCTGGCCATGGTTTCTCAGCAGGTGTGGTAATTGCCAATAATAATGCCAGTTGCAGTCTATCCGTTCGTTCCGAATAATTATCTTTTAAGTCTAAAAACTCAGCTTAGAACGTCCAAATTTCTCTTTTCCACGTATTTCTCTTCGGTTTTTTTATCGGCCTCCTCTTCTTATTTATTCCGTCTTTCTATATTTTACTCCACTGTTTTTGTTGTTGTTGCGATGCGACTGTAAACAAAGTACCAACACAAGTGCAACGGCACTCGTGTGTGTATTATGTTATGGCTAAGTGTGAGTTGAACGTGAGAGTTTATCTATATCTCCGATCCTCCGATTTTCGAACGTTAGCCGGCAACAGTAAAACTTCAACTGAATCTTTATGCCGTCAATGGCCACAGAAATGTGCTCGGCTACAACCCGACGATATGGTAAATGATCATTAACTACGCTCCACGGGTCGTAATCATAACGAACACACGATCGTCGGGTAAACCAGTTATTCAGTGGCGTCTCAAAATAGGGGGTCTGTCACATAATTAATTACCTACTTCGGTTAACCCCTTTATTTTTATTTTCCTTTATCTTGGCAGATACTCTATTTGTCGCACTCGGTGTATATTACTGTCAGAATTCTCCGAGGGAAGAGATACGCGAAGAGTAATTTCTATAGATACATTTTTTACTTATCCTATAGATACTTTTGACAAGTCAAGCGGTAAATGTTCTCTCTTCTCTTTAGGGATTTCTAGTTGTCAGCGCCAATGGCGGAAGATTACGGAACTAAACCATGAAGAAATGTAGAAAATGTGTAGAAAATATGTAAAATACATAAAAAATTACGAGTACAAATAATTTGTTTCGTGAACCTTTATCTCTCTACCTTTCTGTATTGTAATTAATTTTATTTTGAAGAATCCAACAAATTATTTCTCATAATAGTTGAGATTATTTTCTTGAAAATAATGTCGGCCAACATAAAAACATGGATGTAGTTCGACAAAGTACGTAGGTGTCGCCCCTCAGAAATGTCGAAATTTATGTAGACTAAATTCTCTTATGACAAGTCTAAAAAGTTTTTAACCCTTACACTTGATATACAAACTCTCCCCAAAAAGCAACACATTAATTTTCCTTAATATTAAAATCATATTTATTTGAATAATAGTTACATATTTAATCATTTAAAGTTTAGTTCTCGTATTTCTTCGACTATTTGACTATAAACCGGTTGATTATTACAACAATCTATAATTGTTCATTTTTGTTTTTTACATTTAGTGTTTAGTTAATGTGACTAAGTTTTGGGCTACTTTTGCATTGCTGTGTGAATAGATTCATGTCTTGTGTTGCTTTGATTGTTAATTAATTATGATACACTTTCTTTTTGACTTGTACTTGGCTTGTGTGAAAGGACTTAAAAGTAAAATACGTGATACCCTACTAAGAACAAACTACGGATGGAAACGAACAACCATGTGGGAAAGGATCGGACTTGGAGTGGGAATATTGCACAATCCAACGGTTGGCTATCCAGAAAGCGGGCTACAACCAGACGAGGAATCCCCAGATCAGGACAGCCAACGTAAGGCCGATTTGCAGGCCCAGAGTTAGAGTAAAGACGAAGTACAGGACGGCAAAGATGACAACATAGCCGGCGTAGTATAGGAAGTTGAAGCTAGAGGTAGGAAAGTATTAATAATTAATTAATTATTTGATTCTATATACTTACACCTTCCAGTAGTTACGATGCCAATCCGTAGTCACTGCCGACTCCTTGAAGTAGAAACGTCGGATACCAATAAGACAACGATCAATAAACTCCGACCAATCACATTGACTGGCATCGAAATTATAACGCCTTCGATCGCTTTCTGGTATTAAGGCTGATATACGCAGCGCATTCTTCAAGGAGTATCGGAAATCCTTGTCCAGGAAGTAGTCAAAGGCCTTGGTTCCCTTTTGGAAAACTCGCATGTACTCGTAGGCTCTAAAAAGTGAAGGAATATCAATGGTTTTTAATAAAAATATATTTTGAAATACTTACGTGTGCTGTGGCATTCCGATTCCGAATAGCTTCTCTGGTATGATAAAGACCAGCGCTGGCAGCAAATGGAAGAGATAGAAGAACAGATTGTAACGCCATCCATTGCGCAACTTCGTCGCCGGTTTCCAAACGAAACTGTTTGGTGGATGCCGCTCCACGCTGTCATTGATGATTGTGCAGAATTCAGCGAGATTCAAAGGATTAACCTCTCCGGAAGTACAATGAATGATCTCCGGCTGCTCCATTTTTCTGGTGCCCACATACCAGCCCATGACCAGTGATGAGTTGATCACATAGTCACATGGTATGATGTCGATCACAGCATTAGCATTACCGCACATTGTACGGAAAATTCCCTTCACAAAGCCGGCCAAAAAGCCCAGGTGACCAGAGTTCGCATTACCCACCCATCCTTTCATCGGGTGCTCCAAGGTTCCATAAACTGGAAGTAAAGGAAATAAATAAGTTTTTATTTTCTTAAGGCTTTCCAAGTGATAACTTACCAATTGATGGCCTTACTATGGCAGCCGGTAGTCCCGTCATCTCGGCCATCAGTAGATTTTCTGAGAGATTCTTGGTAAACGTATAAGTATTGGGATGATCCCGGATATAGCCCTTGCACTTCTGATCAGTGAAATCCTCCCAGGCGGAATCATCCTCAGCCATTTTCATCATTTCATACGGATCGAACTGTGACTTATACACCTCTTCGGCAATAAGGCCACGATTATTGCTATTGCAGAAGGCCGTGGAGCAATAGATGTAGGCAGCCAGTTGCTTTAATTGCTTGGCCAACTCAATGGTGCGCATCGTTCCCGTGAGATTGGTGCGAATGGCTGTGCGCAGCGGGGAGCTGAACTTGATAGTGGCGGCACTGTGGTAGATCACATTGACCCGGTCGATCAGCTCCTGCAGGAGCTCAGGACCAAAACCAAAGTTGGGTTCACTGAGTTCACCAACGACAGGGACCACCTTTGATAGAGTCTTTTCTGAATACTTTTCAAAAATCTGAAAAAGTATATAGAGTGGAATTTTTACTACCAAATAATAAATTACAGGCAAACAATAATCAATCAATGAAAGTTTTGTAGGATTTGATTCTTAATTTTTTGAGTATACAATTTTTAAGCATTAGAAAATATCAACACATTACAAGTGATTTTATGATCTTTAATTACAGGTCATTAAAATTTGGTACACTATTTTCACGTATTAAAACCACTCGTAGACCTATAATTTTCTCTCCCTGTAGACACGGATGTTGCAAATTAATTTCTCTACCGTCTGGAGGTCAGCTTGGTAAGTATCCACGCCCACAATATACCCAAAAAATTATGATTGTTAGCGCTAAGTGTTTTCTTCTTTATTTTTACCTTTTTGGGAAATACTCGTAAGTAAGCAATTTCTTAAGCAAACAACATTTGGTGTTAGCTGCTTTTTGTTATGCCATTAAAAACGCGTTTAAAATTATAATTAACATTATGTGCAGATGTCCGTAGGAAAATAAAGTGAAAGAGCTAACATAATGGATTGACTGGCTTTTTTCGGACAAAGATTTAAGTACTCTTTAAATGTTTAAACAAATGTATGTGGTTAAAAGCTATGAGTTTTAAATCTATTTTTGGATCAACGCCTACTATGAAGATACTTGAAAAACGTGGAAAATTCCACCTAAGAATTAAACTAATATATTTTTGTTTTTTTTTTTTAAGTTTTTAAAAAATAAACAAATAAATATGGTATATAGGAATCTCTGGAAAGTGTAATATAAAGCTAGTAAATGAAAAGAGAAAACAAAAGCAAAGGAAATAAGCAACACCTATCGCGGTTGGCAGCGGAAGAGGTCGGTGAGGTTACGACTTTGACAAATTAACGCTCCATAAAGAGTCTCGTAATTGGCTTTAATGATACACCTGGTAGACGGCGCGTTTGGGGGCACTTTCGTGTCAGCGGGGCGTGGCCAGGTGCTGCCCCCTTTCAACTGGTCACCCGTAGCTAAGAAAAATGCCACTAGACTTACCGGCTTCTGGAGCAGTCGACGAATTCGCTCGTTTGGATCAAACTTGCGCTTGCCTCGGACCAATACGTAAATGGTTCCAATGTCAGGATGTGTATCCAAAAGTGCTTCGATGAGGACAGTGCCCAAGAATCCAGTTCCTCCGGTAACGAAGATATTCTTGTGGGCAAAGAATTCCGGAATGGTTAGAGATGTGCTCAACTGATGACCATTAACCCGGAGTTTTCCATTTCCGATGCTATTGTTGTTTTCCGGAGGAGAGGTGGTGCCGCCATGTTCCGTGATGACAGCCATGGTGTAGGGCTCGAGATTCGTTGGTGGCGCCAATTTGCTGCTGAGATTGGAAGTCGGTTGGGCAAGCTGAGAAAGAGAAATGAAACAAGGAAACACGCCGTGACATCGGTTAGTTCAAGTTCATTTGTCCAACTGGATCGGTGTGACATTAAAATTAAAGACAGCGATCGAGGGCAGTGCCGAAACAAAAACCAGCTAGAGACCTCCTCAGTGTGTCAAGTTGAGCTTGCGGCGGAAGTGCATCATAAATCTGTTATCAAAATTAGATGGAAGTGGAGTGCACGATGCGGAAAGCAGACAACCTCACAGGGTTAATGTCTAACGAAGATTGATGCTGAATATTTAAACTTTCCACACTTTCCCATTTTCGGTGTGAAAACCTAATGGATTTGTACTTCAAAGATTAACCGCTTGCACTATGAGATAAATCTTTAAGACGAGGTTTTCTACAGTTTCCGGTTTGTAGAAGAATACAAGCGGAAGGAAATGAAATAAAATCTATCATCGAATACTATTTATTGGATATTAGAGTAATTTAGTTTCTACCAATATTTTGTCTGAGAACTCTATAAAAAATAATAAAAATTTAAAAATTTTACTTAGTAGGTCATGCTGACTTGCTCGATTTTTGGTTTTAGTTGAGTTAGCATTGCCTTTTACTTCCTGGGAAAAGTCATCAGCGTATTCATAATACTCCCGGTTTGCCAAGCAGTTAGTTCCCTAAATTTTCGGTCATTTCATTTTTGGAGTTGAAAATTTGTGGCTTTCAAAATTGAAAATTCCAAAATTTAGTCGACTTTTATTTGTAGACACCGCTTTGCGACACGTACCTAGTGGACGGCATCAAAATTATTAGTTTCTGAATAAAAGGGGGAGTTCAAACGAAGACGAATCTTTCGCAAGATGAATACCACTTTTAAAGTGGCTCGATTGAGCCTGAATTACGGTTGGCGTTTTGTTAGCCAAAAGGCGCGGAGTGACGTTCCCGGTCTGCGGCGATTACCAGCTTTTTCTGGCCAAAGGCGTCGCTATGCCGATCGATATACATTCGAGGACCAGACACAGGCACAAATAGAGGGCCGGAACAGGTTGATGGCCGATGTTCCGACTCCCAAAGAGGCTCCTTGGCGCGATGGCGAATGGACCGCCGATTTTCCCGAACGTTTGGATGAGTTGGGCCACGAATCGCATTGCAACGATCGCCTGTACATTGCGAAAAACAAAAACCGTCACGAACTGGAACAATATCGTATGGAACGTGAGGAGAGGCGCACGGAGGCCCAGCAAAGGATTCGTAGTCACTTTGCTCGAGGTTCCGAGGTTCCGGAAATGACTCGTAGACGGTTCATTATCCAGGATCCCGCTGATCATCAGAAACGACAGGCGGCGATCATTGAACAGAATCGCCGCAAGTGGCTGAGTCGCCCGGAATCGAGGAGGGAGACGAATACTTCGGGAATAACCTATCGCCCAGATGCCCAAAAGGAGAAGTATTTCGAGGAGAAAGCACAAAAGGAATTAGAGGACATCAGGCGTACACGAGAAGGTGCTCAGAAAAAGGAGGAAACTGTCGATAGTCAGACGGTAGTCTATGATCCCAATCGACCCGCTGAAGCGTGGTTAAAGAAGCGTCAGGAGGAGAACGAGGCACAGTACTGGCACACCTGGAGCACGTGTCCCGGATCCCGGGAATCTGAGACCACCGAAGAGGTGAAACCACATCTGAAGCGCAAGAAGGTAGTGGGTGTCCCGCCCTCATATCCACGGGATTATCAGCGACGTGGCTTTCATCAGATCGCTCCACCAGCATATCGCCTGAAAGCCAAGACCACAGTGCTGATCCAAAAACGTCGAGCTTCTGGCATCGATAAGCAGTATCATAAGTTTGCCCGGAAACTGGCGACTCCTTGGGAACACAATTTGCTCCAAACTTCCGACAATGCTCAACCAATGCCAAGACCTCAGGTTGTGCCCAAAAAGGAGGAGAAAAAGAAGCCTAAGAAGAAAGAACGTCGATCTGTTGAGCCTCCAAAGTTCCGTATGGTTGTCAAAGCCCGTACTCCAGTTTCCCGTCCTGTGACTCCCGTTTATAGTTACTCCAGACCCAGTGTCTATATGGAATCTCTTCGTACCTACTCCACCGGAAGCCCCAAATAGGTTATTTTATTGCCCTTTTATTGCAGAGTTAATTTTTGATTACGAATACATTTGGCTGAGCTCCTTGCGGAGTTCTGGGATATTATAGTAAACTTTAATATTATTGACGTTGAATGAAGTCTGGTTAAAATAATATTGGGGGTTCCAATTAATGGAAGAGGAAAATTGTTCATAGAAAATTCATTACGGAAATTACAGAAAACGTAAATCTTTCCATTTGGAATTGTTTACATCGATAGTCAAGTCAGAAAACTGACTAATCTAGCACGACGAACTAGATAGAGCAGATAGGCAACCTGAGCTCTATTAGTAAACAAGTTATCTCTGAAGTAATGGCAAATTAAACCTGACGCGTGTAGCTATTATAATAAAAAACAGATAATTAAATGTGTTTATAACATGTGATAAAAGTTAGGAGATTTTTATGGGGTTCTGAAAAGTTTATATTGAAAAGTGCCTAATTTGTATGATATTTATAAGATTGTCTTCATTCCCACAGTAAAGCCAAAACATTGACCAGCAATGGTAAGCAAATCAACCAAAGAACTTGTGGTTTATTATTACCTTTAAACTTTCCCACACTTAAGGCCAATTAGCCTTTTACTTTAATCACCAGATAGATTAGACTGGCTAAGTTTGCATTAATTAATACCCTCGAAGACTTTCGAAGTGTGGCAGCTTAACAATCAAATCCATGGCCGTTGCCCAACACTGTTAACTGTACTTTCCCGCCGAAATGACTGCAAAACCATTCACAAAGCCGCCTTTTGTTCGCTCCATCCAAAAACCATCAATAGCTCGACTAATTAATGGCAAATGACGCGTATATCCGAAAAAAAAAGAAACCGAAAAGCCTCGACAAAATACTCGCATATATATAAAAAAGAAATCAAACCAAGGTATAACCAATGTAGTTAGATCTCACACGGCGCATTGCCCAAGCTCTGAGTACAGGTGGAAAACATAATTAACGAAATGCGTAACAATTTGTTGGAGGAGAGATTAATTTCGAACATTTTCGGTGTGATTTCAAATTTGTGTCAAGGCCGACCAGGTGGAGATCTCAAGTGGAGTTTGTTATAGGTCGTAGACGAGGAGGAGGAGGAGGAGGAGATCTATAGGCCCACCAATATATATTCGGAGTTTGGCCGGACAAACCAACAGAAACAGAAAGAAACAAAAACTTAGCTCAATCAAAATGCACGGTCACGGTCAGATCTGTGTTGATCTCTAAAGATCGTCGAGCTGCGCTGTCTTCGTATGCAGATGAATCCAACGGATCGAACATGGAATAGATCTCTCTATAAGTTATACAAATCTTATAACCAAGAGATTTCAGTGTTTTTTGGGGGCTAACACCCAGGCGCTAATTGATTCGCTTGTAATTGACCAACTGACAGATCGGACAGCCCACCAAAAAACCTTCGCCAACTTGACTTTTCCTGACTCAACACATTTTGCTCAATGGCATTTCGCTTTCGAAAAAACAAAATTCCGCCATGTGGCCCGATCTTAAATCCAGAATTATGTAAATTATGTTCTCTGGATCTGAGACAGAATGCCGCCACCAAGATTTGGCCAACATTGACTTGATCGGAGTTAACTGGTTTTCGTTTGCTCTTGGCCTGGCCCCCATCTAAAATGATTTGCATTTAATTTCCTCGAATTCGTAGCCACCAAGATTCATCGCCATTTTGCCCTGGCCCAGCAACATTTTTGTCATATTTTCAACTCTCATTTGTAATGCCTTTGTTTGGTTTCGTAAAGTTCTTCGCTAGATTGGGCCAACTGGTTTTTGTAGTTCGGTGACTTGGGATTGACAGTTTGAGTTATTGATGGTCTTGGGGAGAACTAACAGATCGATGAACTTGACATTTTTGTTGGGTTATATAAATTGGGACAAAGACCTTGTTTGATTTTAGATGTATTTGAGAATCTATATCCAATTATAAGGTATTGGTCCTTGAAAATAATTTGAGTTGCTATAACATAGAAATATCTTCAAGGGTGATGAGTTGAGTTTCTAATTTTTAAGGGAGTTCTATAAGCTACTTACTACTATTTGTTGTATAATAATATTTAAAAGAGATTTTCATGGTTGTTTTAAAAGATGTATTATTAATATCCCAATTAAAGACAACAACTAACGGAGAATGCAATAAAATGCTTGGAAATATCTCTGTTAGGGTCTATAACTATTGCTCACCTTTTATTTAGCATTTTTGGTGGAGAAGCACATGGACTATACTATATGAAAATAAACAATATATACAGATATTTACAGATAAAGCTGTGCCTGTATATATGCCCTAAGATTTGCATAATTTTGCTACGTCTGCGCTTTGCTTTGTTCGTAATTTTTGTTTAGACAAATGACTGAAACCCAGCTGGGTCTTTAGTTATCCAAGTATGGGTGAGTATCTATGTGCGTCGGAGTATATACAAACTGTTTCTGCATATTAAATATTTGGAAATTTCTTTTGCAGCCTCAAACTTGGCAAATATCAAATTTAAAGCCCTAGGCTAAAACCGACAAAAAAAAACACTAAGCCCTAATGGAAAAATGTTGAAAAATTAACCAAGTTAGCTGAGCAACTCTGGCTTGGACAGTAAGGGTATCCTCTAACTGTGACGAATTTTTGGCTTTTGTTTATGACTAAAGATCCATTTTGGTCACTTTCTATTTTACGACGAACAGATCTCTCTCATCTCAGTTGGCGTTCCATTGATTTCTCTTCATGTGCTGTTATGATTTTATTCCATTCAAATCGATTCCATTTGATTTGATAGCCTTTTTGCTTTATTTTATTTCCGCCTTGGCAACCAAATGTGTAACAATAATTCTGTTTTGTTTATGCTAGGCATGAACATTTCGTGCGACAGGGGAGTGGAGAGTCATTTCAATGCGCCATAAAAAAAAAACGTTGAACAAATCGCACTTGTGCTGGGCATTAGCATTAAATGACTGTGTAGACCTTAACATTGAAAGTTCCACAAAATAAACAGAAACAAAGCAGGCTGATTGAACCTTTTTTCTGTATAAAATTTTGATAATTGATATTCCATTGAATGACAATCAAAAGATTGGGAAAAGGAATGTAGGAGGAGAGTTGCTATCAAAAGACTTAAGAAACGAACTTGCCAGGAGATCTTCAATGAAAAAATTCAAGAAACAAACTTTATCTCGGCTCGTTACTTTGCTTTCAAATTTTGGACAATTGAAATTTCAAATTTGTGTCGTTTAAGTTGTTATGTCCATTAAGAAATTCTACACAACAATTGTCTTATTTATTTGTATTTCCAGAAGTTTGTCAAACCGGTTTGCGGCATAAAATTCGATGTCATTCGTAGAGGAAAAAAAAACATAATAAATTATGGAAGAAGTGTCTGACAGAAATTAGCCACGCGTCAAGTCCAGGAACTATAAAATTATATATTAATATTGCCTTTTACAACTGTGACCAAATTTTAGTAACTATAATCATAACAACGCTTGTTTTGTTTGCTTTTCTGCCCATGAAATTTCCAGCAAGCGCTGGAAAAACCACATGGGAAAACTTACTCAATCGGTGTCGCGAAAAACTGAACCAACTCAAAAACACACGAACACACAACACGACACGAACTCACGCAAAGAGAGCGGCTGAGAGCGAGGGAAACTGGAAAAGCTATAAAAACAAACATTTAAGTGAAAATCGAAGAGCTAAGTTAACTCAGCTTTTCCAATGGTTATTCCGCAAACTAAAAAAACAAAGGTAATCTTATTGTGCACTTTTCTAATAAATCAGAACTCTTTCGTCACTTCCGCTTCGATATGTTTGGCAACTGATTGGCAATTACCACGATTATTATTATTAAATTTTTTTTTTTTGTGTGTTTGTATTAATATATAGATTGCACCACCCTGCTGGGCGTTTCACTTTGCACTTGATTTCAAAGTTTTGGAGCACGACTTGGTGGGGCAGATGTTAAGGCGAAGTGCAAACTAACCAAATATGTCGGGGGCGAAAGAGTGAGAGATCGGGGGGTTGGTTGGTTCACTAAGGAGGATCCGCTTTTAGCCAACTTGCTGCCAATGCCGACGCACGCTCACTGAAGACTGATTGCGGGCTCTGGAAATAATGCGATCGCAGCTAATGCTGAAAAGCACTCACTCGCCAGTTTCTGAGTTTCTGAGTTTCAGTGTTTCAGCGTTTCCGAGTTCAGCTCGCCAAGACTTCAAGGCACGTAATGAAAATCGGAACAGAAAATAATCAAGAGCCAGCCCGAGACACAAAAATAAAACCCGCAAACTCAGCAGCAAGGCAAAAATAAAATCAAATTTATAGAAAGAAAAAACAAAACTGAGAGAGCTTTGAGTGGCCAGCGAAGCAACGATGTTTGACTTTTTGGTAACTGAGAAAGCTGACTCTCCAAATTGTGGCTATTGCTGGATCTATTACGAGTGCTTGGTATCTGTTGAGTGGATCTGGCAATGCCTCAACGACTTGGGTTCGGAGTGAGTCGGTTTAGCCACTTGAGCCAAAATATTGATTTGTGGGGACATAAGTGCTACCAAGAAACAAGTAATTACAGTTAAATGCTAGATATAGCGTCATGAAAAAATATTATAATTATTTTAAATACATAAAAATTTGATATTTTTTAAATAAGGGAATTTATTGTTTTCAAAACATTTAAGTGTTTTCATTTACTGTTAGGCACTTAGGTTACTTTTTATTAAAGGAAAACTCAGCATAATGTCAAAAGAGATTTTTGATCTCTGAAGCAAATAGTATTCCAGTTTAAGTTGATAACCCTTAAACGTAATTCGGAAAATTATATTAAATTATCTATTGCAGTAAAAACATTATTTTGTCATGCTTTCTGAATATAAATAAATGCCCCTTTAAGTCTAAAGCGTTAAAGCAGATTATTCAGGTGAAGGAACCTCTTAATTATAAGCTTAATAAAGTCTTTTTAGCTGTAAAAGTTATTTGCATTTTAATCCCCTAGAAATCTACAATTAAAGAAAAAAAATTCCCCTTAACAATTGTAGCAAATTATGCAAAAATTTTCACTTTGCCAACTTGCTTCCTGTTCTTTTATTTTCAAGCACACGAAACAGTTTTGCTGACAACTTCAATTTATTTCGGCCAGGTATACAGGTATATATATTCTGCTGATTTTGATAATTTGATTTTTGTGTCAATGATGGCATTATAAGGTAGGAAAATTACCGGTAGTGTCGCATGAGGTGTTGTCAATCACGTTATCCGATGTCTAATTATGCAAAACGAATTGTCAAGTTAATTGACTGATTGCCCCTTGGTATCGCCAATGCAAAAATGCAAATAAGTAGGCGGAGGGTTATTACAAAACTGTCGGCTAAAAAATATTTAATCTATCCGCGGAGACAAGCTTTCTAAGCTCTTTCCCCTCTGACGAGTTCAATTGCAGTTGACCTAGATGTGGTTGGCTAAAAGACAAACAAAATAAAATGGAAAATACTGAAACCAGAGTTGTAGGCCTAGGTAGCCTAGGCAGAAAAAATAAAACGCCTCGGGTGTGTACACACCTGAGCGGTAATTACAGAAGGGTATGACTCTTCGCTTAACCGAAAAAGAAATGTCAAAATTGGCAATAATTTGGGCGACACGCGAAGAAAAGTGGTCAAATATGTTAATAGGAAAGCAGAGAGAAGGGATTAAACGGGGGAAAAAATATAGGGAAGAGGAAACTGCGGTTGTAAATTAACATCTCGAATGGTTGGGTCCAAAGATAAAAATCAGGGAAGAACCTCGACAATTGCAATCAATTAAATTAACATATTTAAAGGCACTGCAAAAAATGTATAAAAAGTTTATGATTGTTAAGATATCTTTTGCGTTTCTAATTAGTAATTTCCTTGATAATTTTTAAGTTATACTGATTTTAAAGTCAATGATATGTTATTTATTTATTATTTATTTTTTAATGATAACTTTGTAACTATACTTAAAGCTTAGAATAAATATAAAATTTTGTAAGCATTTCTAAAATAGTTCAAAATTTTGTTCTGTGTAGAAAAAAATGTCAATTACCCATTGTTTTCTATTTGAAAGCCTATATGAGATAACCTTATTTGCCTTTGTCCATTTCACCCAACTCCATCCATCTCAACCGAAACCGCAAACAAATCAATAAGCCTCATTAGCAATGCAATTTTCAAACATATCAAACTCAAGTGCCTGCTAACGTGTCTTCAATTACATTTCCCTATAATAACTCCAATAACTTCAGTAGCAGGAAAACCGCAAAAAAGGCTCTTGTTAGTTAATCGCACTTCCACTTAGTCAGCGTTACTTGACTGCTTGTCTTGACGTCTTGCTGGGAATTTTCATGGCTTGCTCACATTTTTTAGTGCCCCGTCATCGCCAGTCAGTTGCAGTGGAGCAGGTTGAAAGAGGAAAAAAAACGTGGCTATGAAGATGGGGGATCTTGAGGAGCTATTGAGTCTGGGCTTGGTCAAAGCACCTTTGGGCCACAAAAACGACGTCACCCAGTGCGCATGAGTAATGAGCTTGCCTTTTGGATTTCATTTCATATTCGGCTTTTGTCTGTTTGCCGATGTCTCACCTATTTGTTATCGTTTGTCTCTGGTAATACTCTCTTTTGGGAGCGGTCAAGAGGGGTACGCTAAAATAATAATGGATTTGGCTTATGCGCGGCACTGCAAATAGTTTACATATGTTTTATTGATTTTTTTTCAACAAGACGAGTTATTTTAATAATTTATTATAATTTGAAATGTATTTTTATTATACAAAAAATGTTTTATATGGAATATAATACTTTGTTTTATTATTAACTCCTGTCGAAAATCGGCAAAAACTTTATCTTATTTTCGGAAAACATATTTTAAAATAATTTATTAACAGTTAGTTCCACTTCGTTGCCTATTTCGTACTTAGTCCCAATGTAATTTATTTATCCCATTAATATAAACGTAATTACCATTTTCATATAATTATTTTGTGATAAATTTTGTTATTTTCCCTTTTAAGAGCATTGGGTAATTCCATCTGAATATCTTTCCTATTCATTTGTCTTAATGTATTTTAAAATTGATTAATATGCAGAGTGGCACAGCAGTCATCACCCCACACCCCTTTATCTATATATCCGACAACTTAAGGCCCCACCGTCCCCATATGACAATGCATTTTTGGTTTGTTTTTGTCGTCTTTATGTTTTGATTTTCACATTTATGTTGCGGGCACTGCAATCGCTCGGCCGACCTTGCTCATTGTCCAAATATTTGGGCCGCCGAAGGTTGTAGCTTAAAGATCTCAATTTAATATAGTACAATTTGATCACGTTAATAGATTAGATTTAAGATAATATACTAGTTTTCAAGAAGTTCTTAAAATTAAACATACTAGGATCTTTGACTTATTATTAACAAAAAATGTAGTTGAAAATATTATTTGTCAAAATAATTTGACATACAATTTGTTCAGAAGGGAAATATTATGTAAATTATCTTAAAAAATACACAATTATAATAAAGTTTACAAATGTTTAAACTGCTTACAAAAATAAAAATAATGTAAAGTTGTTCACTCCACTCTTATAATTAAAATGTATTTTTTCACAAATCTCATTTGTTTTTACTAACATTTTAACAGAACTGAAATTTGAATTGTCGGAATATCTCGGCGCTAGCTTTTGAATTTCCCGCGCAGTGGCAACGCTACTCTGGCGTCGAAGTGGCATCTCTGCCGCTTATTTGAAATCCCAGCAAGCGGTGATTTGTGTGCTTAGTAGTTTTTAAATTGTGCGGAACGATAAATGTGCAAAGATTCCTTTCCTATCTTTACAATTGGAGAACGCAGGCGCAGGAAAAGCGGAAAGAAGAAGCAGAGGAGCGGAAAGGAAGAAGAACTAGACCAAAGTGGATTTCATTCAATAGGAAAACGGCAAAGGTGGTGGGAAAATCATAGCCATATCAGCCCCCAGAAAGCGTTACAGTGTGTGTGTGTATGTGCATTTGGGTGCGCGTGTGTTTCCGTTAACTCACCACCGCCGAAAAAAAGGGAGAGAACAACCGTTACAGAGAGGGTGGAGAAAGGAGAAAGCAGAGCCCGAGAGAGCAAGAGAGAGAGCGGTATTTTAATGGTGAGAATCGCAGGCGGCCCGGTTCGCCAGAAGCTTCTTCTTCCTGCTTCTTCAGTCACTTTTCGCATTTCGAGCAGTGCTGCTCTCTTCTATCCGTCGAAGACAAGGGTACATTTCCCCCACAAAAAGAAATAAGGCTGCTAAATAGAAAGAAAAAAATAGTAACAAAATAGGTAACAAACGCGACGCGAAATGCCTGGTAACGTGTGTGAGTGAGTGTGATGCCAAATAGCAAGCAAATAAATAAACCCAGAAAATAGGAAAACCACCAACTCCCGGAAAAATCCAGTTCAGTTCAAATTGCCGCAGCATCCGCACACGTTTCTAACCTCACTTTCGTTTTGGAGCCGGTACGTACACGCCCTTAAAAAATAGAAACCACGGGACATCCCCCCCCCTCAAACTACAAAGTCGAACCATTTTCTATTCCTCCTTTATTTTTAGCATATTTTTGTGGCCTAGTTTGAGCATATTTTTCTGTCCCATTTTCCTTTCTTCTTTTTTTTGCTCGCCATTTATTTTTAGCCCCCTTTTTTAGCAGCAGCCCATGTTTATAAGCAGCCCCCCTTGCTCCCTATAATAAAAAAATGTATGTCGCTGGGTTTATTATCTCATCCGGAGAATGTCGCTGCTTTTTGGCGTCGACGGTTGTAAAAAATTTAGCAGAAAATCTGACATTTCCGTTTCGCGTTTCCGTCAAAGAGAAGACAAAACTTTAAGCGAAAAGAGCAAGGTAGATAGAGCGCCAGGAGAAAGTCAGCGAAGAGCGAGGGAAAACCAGTGTTGCTGTGGTTTAGTATGCGAAAAAGAAAAGAAAATCAGCCTGAAATTATACTTAATGAAATGATTAGTTTTCCCAGAAAACGAAACCATTAGGCACCGGTGCTCGTAATTCAAATATCAGACTGATAAAAGCAATAGATAAACCCTTATCTTATCTGAAAACTTATAGAGCTGTTGAGTCAGCTGGTTGGTCATTATATAAGCAGCGAACAACCCCCCCGGAAAAGCCGGCAGACGCCCAGAAAAATAGTAGCAGAAATTTTGTAGCCAAAGAATTTCTCTTCTCTCCAGGACACCTTCTCTTCTCCTGCACATATATCTCTCTCGAAATGAGAGCAGGCGCGTGAAATAATCTTAGGAGGAAAAAAAATGAAACAGGCATTTTCCAATTGATTTTCAAGGCGGTCGACGCGAGTTCTTCTCCAGAAAGTTTCATCAAATATCTCAAATAAAATTTTCCATTATTCGCTAAACGTTGAAAATGTTTCCGAAAAAGCGTGAAAAGTGCCGTATAAATTCTGAGGACTGATATTGCATAAAACACAAAAAATAAAAGAAAACGATGTGTGAGTAGTGGCAGCGCGCCCGGAAAACTTTTATGAAACCTGAAAAGGGGTGAGGTGGTGGGAGGTTGTCAGCCCGAAAGTATGCCCCAAGATGAATGGAGCTGCTGACAACCTGGCCGTTAATTGGTCTCATAAATAATTTCGATTTTATCGTAATTTTTCCGAGCATTGTGCGTTAGTGTTGGTGTATTGTTGCACTCGACAACGAGGCGATAACATTTCAAGTGCATTATGTCATTTTACCCGTTTTGTTGTCTACCCCACGCCCCCTCAATTTCCTCCTGGCCCGACCCCCCTCTTTGACCATGTGTGTGAGTGTTTGCCATTTCACAGCCCAGAAAATGGGAAAATGAAAAGGACGAGGACGAGAACGAGAACGAGCAGGTCCTGTCAACAGGGCGCCATCTAATGCCGTAACTTTGTGTAATTAAAAAAAGAAAAATAAAAATGAACAAAGCAGCGGGCGAGAGGTGGGAGGTATATATTAAGCCTCCAAAGTGTGACACTTCAGTGACTATGATGAAAACCATACACAGCTGATAATGCTGCTTATAGAGTTTTATATATAGGTGAACTAATTTCTTAGTGATTTTTATTTAAATCAAAATATAATCGAATTCTAAACCAATACCGAAGCTATTAATATAAATTACCAAAAAAATATGAATATTTAATTGGGTTAATATGCTTGCAAACTTAAGTAAAAACTTCTGACTACCTATCCTATTTCAAAGTTAACCTTTGCCCAAATCTTTCGCTTGTCAAAGTTTTTCTACGTCAACCATCAAAGTTTCCATTAGTAAAATTTTGTAGAAGACAAACAGGCGGCTTGGGTTACAGAAATTCCATAATAATACCTCCCCCTCTTAATGTGAATATTGCCTGCCTGGCATTGAGGAAAGCAACTTTTGTTTTATGCTGCCCCATTTCCGGTCAGACGAGAATTTATTTGCTCAGCCCAAAAGTAGGCTAACATGTCCTTTCTCGCCCAGCCTCTTCGATTCCCAGCCATTTCCAATCCCATTCTTCCTCTTCACTTAACAATTTCTATAGTTTGGCCAAAAAAGTTTTGTGGCTTTGCTTGTAGTTTTTGCACTGTGAGACAAAACAGGGGAAGGTGGACTGAGTTTACTCAGACACGCTTGGCCAAGTGTTCGATTTTGAGAGTAGTTTCCGCTTTCCGTTGGCTTATTTTTGGAAGGGCGCTTGAACCCAGCTCGCAGAATGTGAGAAATAATGTATGCAAAATCAATTAAAAACTCAAATATTTGCCAAAGCTATTAGAGGGGTTTTTGGGGGCACGTGGCAGACACATCTACCAAACACACCCACCGAACGAACCACAAATTTATAATTTCCATGTGCTCATTCAATGAGAAAAGCTAACGCAGTTGTTTATGTTAGTCATCTTGATTCCTAATATCAAAACTAATAACAGCAATTTGAGTTAGTTTAAAATGATTTATTTCCCCGATTACTTATTATTTAAAATCTGACCGATCCGAATATTATTATTGGTTGTCCTAAATAAAGGTATCGATGACGTATGTTGGTGATATTTTTCTCACTAAGTGATTCATAGCTATGATATTTTTTAAGATAGCTTGTTTACATAAACTCTCTTAAATTCAACCACCAAGTAAGCCGTGTTTGCAGTTGACTATGCATTAAAGTGCTTTGTAAATTCTTAAGTGTAGATGATGATTGGTAATTAGTAGAGAAAGAACTTAACATTTGATTGGAATATTCTTTTATGCTAAATTTAGAACATAAAAATGTGGTTTAACTTGTAATGGTAGATTGGCAAAAGAACTAGTAAAACTGCATTTGAAATACATTCTACTTAATTACCTGCTTTGCATATGCAGAAGGTGGCTGATTAGTTATTGATCTTATATTAATGGTCATTAAATATACATTTTGATTATTCTTATTAATTAGTGTAAACCTATCCCACAACTCAGTCATTCTAAGTGATCATCAAATAATTACTTATAATTACCGATTTGTGCTTGCTGATTAATGATTTCAAAGTCCTTATATTGGTATTGATATATTGATATTTACCTAATTGAGATGTTAACAGGCTTAGAGCTATAAATAGACTTTTTGCTAGATTATTAAGACGTTGCGTAAACCTAAGATTTTCTATCTTATTTGAGTAATCATATTTATTTCTTTTTATTAATGTAGAATAAAATGAATTTTTCCCAGTGCAGTCAATTAGTTCTTTCAGTTAACTGTGGTGAATTAATCATCTCTCCGCCCCCTCGTTTACCCTTTTCCTAACCGCAAGTGTGACTTGCCTTTCAATTAGACACGAAAGTTTGTGTTTTTTTTTTGGTCAATTTGGGTGTTGGTGTTTCTTTTTTACTGTGTTAACTGTTACCTGGTGGCAAGTGCAAGATTATGCATGCACACGCACACGAAGGCAACGGGAGATACCTGATACTGTTGAAGCTTATGTGTGTACTTTGACCTCTTTTGGCTCTGCCAACGTCGCTGCCGGCGTTTTGTGGTAGTGGTCAATGTCAGTGCCTGACCACATATCCAATTTCTTCTCTTTCTACTTCGGTTTTCCGTTTTCCACGACTTGTTTTCCACACACACCGTTCTTTTGCGGCTTTTTCAATTAAAGCTTGTTGCATGCTGCCATCGTCGCCGTCGCTGCTTCCCGATCTGCTCTCTTTTTCTCTCTCTCTTCTGCGGATCTCTCATCTCAGATATAGTACCTATATGAAATCTCAAATCTCGCAACTGAAATCTACGTGTCCATCGCTCTCTCTTCGCGCTGCTTTCTTTTGTACGCCTTTCTTGGCAGCGCAGCTTTGAAGCCGACTGCATAAATCTTTCACTTCTTCGAGGGCCAAGTTTAGTTCAGTTCCAAACGGCCGACGAAGCGGACGCGTCGCTAAAAGATCACACATTTATATATATATATATGTATACAAAAATATATATATAAATATATATAGTATATGGTAAAGAAAAGCAGTTAAAAAAGTTAAGAAAGCGAGCCAAGAACGGTCAGCTCTTTCGCTTTAAGCGCGCTCTCCCTCTCTCTCGCGGTCGTTCGATTTCTTTGCGCCTGCGCAACGGTCATTCTTTGTCTTTCCTCTCTTCGCTCTCTCTCTCTCTGTCTGTCTCTCGCAAAAGTGAAAATATTTGGAGAAATTTCTTAAAGAAAAATAAGAAGAAGCAGCAGCAGCAACAGCCAAAGCCAAAGCAGCAGAAGAAGCAGAATTTCGGTCTGGAGTTTTTTAGTGTGTCAGGAGTGGGCATAGGTATCGGTATCATCGTATCTTGCCTTGCCAGTAGTGTCAACAACTTATTCAAGAATCGTCAACGAAAATCTTTACGTTTTTCCGTTCTCTCGTACTCAGTTTTTTTCCACGCGAACGAACGACCTTTGATAACCCAAAAACAAAACCCGCAAGTGCCAAAAGTTCCGTTTAAGCCCGAGACCATAACAAACGAATTCGCAAGTCCCCCATCAATGTCAATGACCTAAATTCGGGGCAAACTCGGAAAAACAAAGTGGGAAAAATCAAATCAAGTCAATGCAAACACGAACTGCTGCTGCAGCATCTTCAGCGTCTTCGATTTATGCCAATAGCATCGGCTGGCTATATGTTTGTCTGACATGTAAGTGCAAGCCAGGCTTGGCCCACAAATATTTGAGCTGTTTCCTTTTTGTTCGGATTATGCAATTCCCTTTTTAGCTAATATTTGACCCACCTTCAACTACAGTAAAGCTTCAATAGCCCTAGAAATAACAAATGGCATAAGGTCGAGTCAATTTTATAATATTGCGATACTTAAAATACTACGGTAATATATTCAAGCTTTGACCGAAACTGACCTCATTTAAATTTGGCGCTTAACCCTTTAAATGGGGTTAACCAATATATGTGATTGAATTCAGTGGGTTAAGAGTGTGTTTATCATAAAATATTAACTATTGGGTTAAAAAGATAAATCTTAATAAGTTTGATTTCCACAATTTATCATATACTTCAAGATTTAGAATTTAGCAACTTCAAGAATAGAAAAGTTGATTAAAATTTGTGTCACGTGGGCGTTCAATTTATAGAAGTTTGCCTGTATTAATAACCAGCTTGTTGCTGCGAGAAAGTTTTAAAAGGCAACAAATATTTTCGAAATTTTTGTTGCTGTATATTTGTAATATTAATCATTGCATATTTACAAATAAAATTTGCACACAGACGAGACAACGACTAGCGACACCGAAAACGAAAATGAAAACGATAACGACAGCGAAAAGACGATGGAGCATAATAAATAAACATGGATCATGGCCACATATACACACACTTACTGCCACAAAGAGATACTACATCTCAGATTGCAAAAAAAAAAAAAAAAACATTAAAAAAAGAAAAACCAAAAACCGAAAAAAACCAAATAGCCAAAAAACCCTCCAAAAAATGAGTGAAGACCACAATAACAACAGCGGTCGGGTTCGGCGTCGATTGTTTATTTAATTTTTACATTTACAAATATCATTACACCGATTTCTGCTTTTGTGGGGTAAATATCTGTCGCTCGGACTCGGACAATGTGTCATAATTGCGAACCCACATTGACTTGACCCACATTTCTGGCTGGGAGTGGAATGGAGTGTAGTGAAATGAAATGAGTGGACGCATGCGCAAATGCATCGACAGCAAGCGCTGAGCTCAGCCAAAAAAACGTTATTGCCACAGTCAATACGGTCTGTATAGCATATAGTATCGGGGTTTCAGATTTATATATATATATAATATATATATCTGCTCGTTCGAGAAGGCGACATATTTCTATTGATTACGTGCTTGGCCTATCAAAAAAACGTACCGAAACGAATTTCTTTTTCACTTTCGCAACTCTGGGCTAGATTCATTCTACTTGGCCACGACGGGGGCTAATGGTTCTACTCAAAATGGGTTACGGAGCCATTAAGCCAGTCACTTGGCATTCAGATCGATTGTTTATTGGGCACACACTTTCGCGGGCCTGTGACGTAAAAAGCTGAGGGGCGAAGTTTCTTTGGTAAATAAGGAATCTTTAAATATACTCTTACGCTTCCTCGAAAGGTTCGAAACTTGCCGGACTGTGTAAATAAAGCCTGGGAATTTCCACTTTTACACAGTCGCAGTATTGTGACGACCCTTAACTTATTTACTTGCTATATTTGCTAATAGGTTAAGTGTCTCTTATTTCGTAAACTACACACAAAAGCCAGTTCAGAGAGTTCTGAAAGTATTAGCATTTACATCAAGACCACCATATACTTGCATTTTCGAACAAAAAAAAACCTACTCGAGCTCGCTTTTATTTGCCATTAACCTGCATATTTTTTTGTCGTTACCATCTAGTTTTAACATCCTCATTTGTTTTTAAAGCCCAATACCCGGACGTGTTAACTGTAGTGACTTCCCACCTAATTGCAATTTAGATTACCTACTTACTACTTAGTTGTCACTCAATTTGAAATGCATTTCGAAACCTTAGCTTGAACTCGGAAAAAATTTAAATAAACTCAAGGGGATGAACCTTTTTGTGCACAGTTCATACAGTTTAGAAGAAATGGGTCTTATCTTAAGGTCTAGTCCTCCATAAATCTTCATCTTATAATTGCAAAGTCCAAATTGTTTTTGATTATTCAAATTGGCCGACTGAGGAAAGATTTTAATTACAATCTCGGACTAAAAGAATGTTTTAATTGAGACCGTAGACCGTTTGGTCTTAGCTCATGTGACCAGCCTTAAAAAAAAAACAAATATGATAAGCTGTATATTATAATTGTGAATTATTTAATATGTCTCTCTAGCTAGGTAGTGTGGGTGAGAGCGGGATAGAGGGCTAAACGCGACTCAGCTGAGCTTTTAAATTGGGTAGCTAATCTGCTGACTACCTCCAAATGACGGGGGCGGCAGGTGAGGGGGGTGTAGACGAGGGCGGGGGCGGATAAGCCGCCCCCATTATATACACAGTTAAATTTAACTTTTATGCTGTAAACTGCGAGATCGCTTTTGTTTGTTAATCAAGGCACACGAATTATGGGCAATGGGAGAAAAGGGGGAGGTGGATGGTAGACAGATCCGAGATCCGAGATCCATTCTATCCACAACCCACCCCCTACAGATTTATTCAATTACACACAAAGCATAGATATAGCTTACGATAGCCATAAGAGCACAGACCACAGACCACCGTTGACCACTGGCCACCGACAACCGGACAGTCGACAATTCCAGAGTCACCACTCAAAGGTTCAATAGAATAGAGGGCACAGACCCATTATGCGCACTAACACACTCAAATGGGTCCCCATATATCCATCCATCCACCCATCCATCCATCCACACATCTGTCCAGCATCCGCCGTAGCTCGAGGTCTACGGGTATGGGTACGGGTTTACATAATGAGAGGCCTCCCATTGTTGAAAAGTGAAAATGCATATTTGAACTTTCGTTTGTGGTCAATTCAATTCGATTCGATACGCTACGAGACGAAAGAAACCAAGCCGAAAACGAAACGAGCTACCAAATTGCCAAAACAAACAGGTTGACACCATCATCGTCAAGGGATCCCAAAACAAAAAAAGATACACCTCAGAATCGCACGACTATATAGTCTATAGTCTGCATGCGGAAGCATTCAACGCGGCTGTATGTATGTATATTATATATATATATATATATATTATATATATGGAAGCCCTGAGTGCTAAAGACTCGTAATCCGAAAGCAACAAGCTCCAAATGAGGAAACAGCAGGGCCCAAAGAGAGGAGACAGTGTAGAAAAGCTGAAAGAAGAAACGCGGCTAAAGACGGGTCTTCGACCATGGGAGAAAAATAAGACCCAAGATTTGGTCGAAACACGAGATACCCTTGAACAAGTTCCTATGACGGTTTTTGAAATCTTAGATTCTACAACAGTTAGAGGTAATTAGTGGGAGGTGGTTAATAGACAGAGACCCTCACGTAACACTTATTTTCACACTTTATAAGTGAGGCAAAGGTCATATAAGTTGCTATTCTTTAAACAGGTTAGATGTTTAAATTTATAATTATGTCTTTATTTTTATTTGTTCTTGTCGTCGATAAATAATATCAATATAAATATGATTGATTACCATTTCTCACATTACATTCTCCCTTCAGTAAGTTATTTATTTGAGATGTTTGTATTGTAAGATTACATAATCTTTGCTAGTATTAACAAGTTAATGTGAATTAGATTAACATTTTAAAATCTTAATCTTTAAATTTCAATTATATGTCATTAAAATCCATCATAATTTCCATTAAAAACCAAAGAAAGCTAGACAAAAATCTAAATAATTTAATATATTAATATTAATATTAATATTAAAAGCCTTTTAATCCTTTTGAGATAGTCACCCAAACCTTGACAGCCCTTAGGGTATATGTAAAATTTGTGAAGCGGCCGCTTCCAAATGTCCGGCAAGTCGATGCTGATGACGATGACGAGGTTGCTGATGATGATAATGCGGCACGATTATAGGAAATGGGTCAGACAATACACGGGCAGCGAAGACTGGTGTGTAACTACCTTGTCAAGGCAGGTTGAATGTTGAATGTTGAATGTTTACCGTTTAACAGCACACACGCAGATACATTTCGGTCTTCATGTTTGGTTAACACGCTCCTCCGTGAGGCGGTGGGGAGGGAGGCGTGAGGCGGGTTGGCGGGGGCTTACCCAGGGGCGTGGCTGGGCCAAAGCGATGGTTCGATGTTTCGTTCATTTGCCTCTTATGGCTGGCGCGCAAATTTTCGTTGCAGTTGGTAAGACATCAGGAGAAAAAAAAAAAAAAAAAAAAAAAATGAAAAGAGGGAGAGAAATGAAGAGAGGGCGAGTAAAAAGTTGATTTTCAAGAAATTTCACTTTAGAATGAAGAGGAACCAGTCAACGCGAAGACCTGGCCAAGTCTCAGCGTCTCGAGGCTTCATTGATAAATTTACAGTTACGTGATGAGGCCGCTCTGATTGCCGCCGCGTCTCAAAAGTTGTTTAAACTTTAATTATAGAGCTCTCTCACAGCCTCAACTAGTCCAGCGGATATAGCCCTCTGCGATTTGATAACATCGCCGCCACACAAGACGTTGGCCCGGCCAAAAGGCAAACAACCAATGTGCCAATTTCTTAACACATTTCTTGGCCGCATAGAGAAACAACAACCAAAGAGCATCGAAACATATATACATATATATATATATTTTGCCAAGTCAGCAAATGCAAATTACCAAAAAATAAAAATATAATGCCAGCCATCTGTGGCGGTAGATTTTTGTACAAACTTAAAAATTGAAAACGAAAGTTTTACCAAAAAAAAAAAAAAAAAATCCACACAACTACAAATTTAAATACATGCAAAGAAGGGAAAAAATATTGCGGAATTTAGATATTTAAAAAAGAAGAAGAAAAAACCCAAAGACCTACAAAAGATTCGAAAAATGAAAAGTGAAAGTCATGGGCAGGCAGTAGTAGTAGTTTGAACCCCCAAAAATGTATTTTAGAGACGCCGCCACGCTTTAGGCCAACATCATCATTATGATTATCATCTGAGCTTGACGTCACACCCTTTTATACTTAAATCTAACTACCAATCAATCTAGCCAAATAGATAGATAGATAGATACACACAGACACACACATATTCCCCTATTTCCTGGTTACGATCAATATTTGGTCAACAATAAATTTGAAATTCAATTAGCAAGGCATTCGGCGAATTACATGCCAGATGAGATGATGTCTGTGGGATAGACTTTCGGATGCAGAAGGGGTTCGAAGGTCAAAACCTTCCCAGATAGACTTTTGCGACGAAATGAATACAATTTGTTGTTTATCTGATAGTTTTCCTGTTAGACAGCCCTTATTGTTGTTGGCAATTGTTACCAACGTTTGTTGACATATTCATTAGGGATATTTTACAACCCTACAGTCAGGAACTACGTCGATAGCGCGAACTGCTTGTTTGAATTGGCTAAGTGTGTGCTTACCCCCTTCCGCGAGTAGGTTAACGATTCCGATTTCGATCGACAAGTATTTCCTAGAAACTTATCAAATCGTAAAGTTGGTCTTAATAAACACCCAACTTTGATATATCTTAATCTCCTTTGTGATCTCCCAATGGATCATATTTGGGGGTGCTGTAAACATTTGATTGCATAACGCTGGGCAACTACTTTGGACCTGCGGAGATATTATGACGTGTGAAACACTCTTAAGTGGCACTTGATCATGCGGGTCGCCATAGAGCAATAGAATCTCTCTACTGAGCGCAGTTAAACGCAGCTCCACTCGGCTGATGTAAAAATCGTTTAATATAGAATGAAGTGTTCCCAGACATATAGTGAGCATTCGCCAACTGTCACTGCTATCGACAGTATCGTCTTCTCGGTTCTCCGTTCTCGGTTTTCTCGGTTTCGACGGGTCTTCAGTTCTCGGTTCTCATTCCACAGTTTTCAGTCAATCACTTCTCGCCTTGTAAGCCGATTTAGGTATTAAGCGGATTTCACATACCTAGCTTTATTGTGCGTGAAATTCGATTGCGGTCTGTTGGATAACTATATGTATATATTACAGTGTATCACTTACTTATATACGTACATCCTTCGACGTCATTTGCATATCCTTTTTCGTGATGGCCGATTGCCAAGCTCTTAGACGTCATAGCTGGGATTTGGGTTGCCAATCAGCTGCGACTCAAAATGATTGCTAATTTTAGCCCGGTCCCAAGGATAAATGACGTTTTGATAGAAAGATAGATGGATATATAAATTGATAGGTGGATGGGTTGTCCGATATTAGCTAGGACTTTGATTTGGGTTTGGTGGGATATTTTGCTGTGACACAATTTCCTTGTACAATGCTAATTGGGTAAAGGAAGTAATGGAGAGTGAAGAGGGTTAATTATTAAAGGACAAAGTGATACCTACAGAAGTGGAATAAAAAGGAAAAAAGTGTTTCTAAAAGAGTGTTTAAGAACTTCTTCCTGATATATGGAGAATATAAAGCATGTTCTTAATCTTTGCTTTTTTAAGAACTTAAAATAATTAAAATATTTTTTTTATTTTTTTTTCAGTTCAGCAGTTCACACAAGCTTGGAAGTTGTCGTAAATCGGTCTTGTTCGTCCCCCACCCAACCCACAGGATACACCTGCTGAACTCTTTTTGTACAAAACCAACCTAAAGCAACCTCCAGGACAAGCGACTCATGGAAACATGGACAGACGCTCAACGGCGACAGAAGGATTTTCAACTAGCTTTTCGAAGGACTTAATTGCTTAAATTTATATGAACAATTCAGCAGCTTCCAAATAGGGAAAATCAGAGTAATAACTTCCAAACCAAAAGTATATAAATATCTATATATATATTAGAGGGAAAGGAATAGAAGGAAACGGCCCTTGGAAACTCAAGCGCACACTGCAAATAACAAAGAACTGCTTCCTACTTTAAATTAAGCGCAGGACTCGAACAAAAATACAAAATAAACAAAAATAGAAAAAGTAAAGAGAAACACAAGCAGCAGCAGCAAGGCAACAAACAATCGAACATGTCACACGCGGCAGCCAACAAAACGGAAACGGAAGCAGCCCCAAACAGCAGCCTCAAACAGTCCGCAGCCCCCCAGCCCGCAAACAGTCACGATGCCAAGCTGCTCAACGGCACTTTGGCCCGAACCAATGGAATAACCCATGCCGCCAGTGTGGCCACCTCATCCTCCTCTGGCTATGCCAGTTCGAGTGCGGTCGGTAATGGCGCGGGCTCCGGCGGTGCATCCTCCTCATTGCCAGCGGCAGCAGCGGTAGCCTCTTCAACGGCCCTGCCTTTGCCGCCCAGCAGCAATGGCCTACAGATGCCCTACGAGCGTTTTAGGGCGGATGATACTAGTTATGTGCCCATCGGACAGTTTTATGCGGGACGCAGCGTCTTCATCACAGGCGGCACTGGCTTCATGGGAAAGGTGAGTTTTTGATTTCAATTATATAAAATTAGAACCTACTTTTTTGATTCTTAAGTAAGTCTATTAAATGCGATTATATTTTGACGTAACTTAAAAGTCTAAACAATTTCAATAGATTTAATTACAAAATTACATTTTCATGAGAAAACCTAATCATTTCTCCTAAATTCATTACTCATTATAAGGGAGTGTACTTAAATATAAAATGTGATGTATATGCGTCACCATAAATTATTAAGTTAATTATATCCCTTAAATCGAAGTATATATGGTAATAGGTGGTCATTTGTAATAGAATCCTTCTTCTAAAAATCCCTCTTGTAACGTATTATCTCATTTTCCCACTAATAACCAATATTATTTGCCAATATATGGTAGAATCAAACTCCTTATGCTCCCCATTTCAAGCCCAACAAATACGACCGCAAACATGCATTGCATACTTTTGCGGGCCTTGGGCTAAACACTATCATTCACGTCACGCATACGCCGCGTGTGTTTATTGGCTTTGAATTGAACTATTGAACCCGGCGGGCCTGGTTGGGCTCGATTGAAAACTCCAAGTGTTTCTCAGTCATAAAATATGCACAAATATTTGTGTGAGCGCGCGTTGATAAACAAAAAGTTGTGGAACGAAGTGCTTTTGTGGGTGGATTCGATGGTTAGCCACCCTGAATTTTAGATGCACTTTGTATTAGCTGTTTACGGCCGATGTGCATGTGTGCATGACTGGGTTTGTTTGCCTGTTTTTTTTTTTGTTTTTTATTTTTGCTTCTTGCTTTAAAGCCGAAATGCTTGAGTTACGTTGAGCTGGCTCCACACTAGACGTTGTTGACTCATCGTCGCCTGCCATGCGAAAGCTTCATAATGGGAATATTGTGACTGCATCTATGCATTTGGCTTGGCTGGCTGGTTGCTTGGTTCTCCTTCTCCCAGTTCCGCTTAATTGTTCCTCAAGTGGTGCAGCGGACTACCCGTTTCCCTGCTCCAAATACATCCTCCTCCGGCTGTTGTGCCAATTTTTGTGCCAGCCATTGTTAAACGTATGCACACAGAGAAAAAAGTCGTTTTGGTATTAATTTACCTTTTTTTTTTTAGTAAAATTGTTAAATGTGAAATCTATAAATATTGTAAATTCTGGTAATACATAACATAATTTGTAAGAATTTCTTTTCACTCTGTGCTAGTTAATATATGAATTCACTGCCAGATTTTTCTCTCTGTGCATATTGCATGTCGGTGGCTCCTGGCTGCGTCATTATGACATGAAATCGCAGTGGCGCCGCCCAGACTCTGAGCTCACACAGTGGTGTTGTGTGTTGTTCATCGATTTTGTGCTCCTGGCACGCCCACCATCCGCAAAACCACCCACTTAACAGTCCACATAACCCACCCACACAACCCCTTTCTGTTTGTTGTCTGCCTTTGGCCTGTTGTCGCTTAATTCCGTTACAATTCTCACATCGTTTTCGGGGCGTGTCCCAGCCCCCACAGTGGCCACAGTTCCACGAACAAACTGAAGTGAAGTCAAGCCAAACCGCAGACACCACTGAAGTGGGTCAAGTGTGTCCTTGTGGGTGTAACAATAATCGTTTATTTGGTTAATGGCGATATTCAATGACTGATTGACTATACATTTACATTTCGATTTGTGCTTGTACCCTTTTGCAGGTGCTGGTGGAGAAGTTACTGCGCTCATGTCCGGACATAAGGAATATATATCTACTGATACGACCGAAACGCGGTCAAGAAGTGTCGGCACGTCTCACGGAACTACTAAATGCACCAGTAAGTTTATTAATTGATAAAGATATAGAAGATATATAATATATATCCTAAACCTTTATTAGCTTTTCGAATCACTGCGTCAGGAGAAGCCCAAGGAACTCAGCAAAGTCATACCTATTTCAGGCGATATAACATCCGAGGAACTGGGTATTTCAGAAAAAGATCAGGTGAGCTTTATGATCTTAGATTTCTTTTTTAATGACTGTAATTAATTTTGTAATTTTGCCATTTGTAGAACCTACTGTGTCGCAATGTTTCCGTTGTCTTTCATTCGGCTGCCACTGTGAAATTCGATGAGAAGCTCAAACTGTCTGTCACAATCAATATGCTGGGCACGAAACGTCTCGTCGAGCTCTGCCATCGCATGCTGTCACTGGACGTAAGTTTTGGGATAAAGAAACACCTGATCTTTGGTTATTTCTAAATCAAATTAATGCATTTACAGGCACTCATTCATGTATCTACTGCCTATTGCAATTGCGATAGAACCGATGTGTCTGAGGTCATCTATGCACCGCCCTACAATCCCGATGATATCATTTCACTAATCAACTGGCTTCCGGAGGATATACTCGATCAGGTTGGTTATTTTTAAGGTTATTAATTAAATGTTGCTTAATTTAAATATGAATTTAAATATTTTAGCTGACACCGCGCCTGATTGGCAAGCGTCCCAATACGTACACATTTACAAAAGCCTTAGCGGAGCATATGTTACTTAAGGAGGCTGGTAATCTGCCCGTTGCCATTGTGAGGCCATCGATTGGTGAGTTTACTAGATAAAAACTTTAAAGAACCATGAAAAATATTATCAAAATAATATCCTTTCTTTTCACAGTGACTGCCAGTCTAAATGAGCCGTTTGCCGGATGGGTGGACAACTTTAATGGGCCAACGGGCCTGGTTTCGGCGCTGGCCAAGGGCATGTTCCGTACGATGATGTGCGAGAAGAACTATGTGGCCGATATGGTACCTGTCGATATTGTGATTAACCTGATGATTGCCGCCGCCTGGCGCACAGCGACCCGCAAGTCCAATAACCTACTCATCTATAATTGTTGCACCGGCCAGCGTAATCCCATCATCTGGTCGGAGTTTGTCAAACATGCCATGACGAGTGTGCGCAAGCATCCCCTGGGTAAGCAGAAAACTCCCCTCTTCCCTCCTCCCCTATCCCAAAGAAGCTCCTAATGTTCTGACCATTATAACTAAAGGGAAATTGTTTATTTGTTTTTTGTTTTCTCCCAGAGGGCTGCCTGTGGTATCCGACTGGCGACCTGCGCATGAACCGCCCCATGAACACGCTGAATTGTATAGCTAAACACTTTCTACCGGCCTACATTCTGGACGGAGTGGCAAGAATCATGGGCAAGAAGCCATTGTGAGTTGTGCCGGCCGCTCCCCCAGAGCTTTTCAATTAGTTGCCTCATATAATTATACCCTTTTTATAGCGTTGTCAACGTACAAAACAAAATTGCCAAAGCTGTGGAATGCCTCGAGTACTTTGCCACACGCCAATGGCGCTTCAAGGACGACAATGTCCACGCCCTGCTGCACACGCTGAGTCCCAAGGATCGCGAGATCTTCGTCTTCGACGTGCGCCACATCAACTGGGACAAGTACGTAGAGCGCTATGTTCTGGGCTTCAGGGAGTTCCTGTTCAAGCAGCGACCAGAATCGCTGCCGGCCAGCAGAAAGCGCATGCTCAGGTAGGAAATAATTAAAAGATTTTTAGGTATATTTATCTAAAAATCAGTTTATCTTCAGATTAAAATTTAGATTTTCTTTAAAGTATTGAAATTATATTAAAAGACTTTGCCTTTTTTGACCAAAAACCGGGATAAATTGGACAAACGACCCAATTTATTATTAACATCAAACTCACAAATTAAACAAATCTATTTTGCTTTTTAATCCATAGGCTCTACTATCTGCATCAGCTGACCAAACTGGTGGCGGTGCTGCTCACCTGGCGCTTCCTGATGTCGCGCTCGAAGCGGCTGAACGACTTGTGGAGCTCCTTCCTGGAGAACGCGCTCAAAATGGCGCGTTTGATACCCTTTTTGTAATTAAGTGGAGATGGCGAAAGGTGTAGAAGCTTGGAGACAGCAGCTACGGACATATGTAAATGTGGATCTGGGATCTGGCAGGATCTGCGATGTTCTTCTTCTTTGCGATTTCTAAATGCTTTAACATGGCGTACATTTTAGAGGTTTTATAGCAAATAGTTATATTCATATTTTTTATATATGTTACAAAATGAGTAAACAAACAGCAGAAGCCACAAACAAACATCCATACAACCACGACGACGACGACGCAATGAGCGCATCATCAGCTAAACTAACAGATTTCTAAAATATATAAACATTAACGCAAATGGGGTAATTAAATGGCATCATCATCCAAAACATTTATTCAGGTGCAATGATTAGGTCAGATGGTGAGAGGCAGGGCAGGGCAGGTGTTTTTTTTGTAGAGAGCCCGTGTGTCGGAGTCGGTTGTTGTCTCCATCTATATATCTCTCTTTATCTCTCTCCTTCTGCGAGATTGTAAAATTTTTGTGAAATAATTTAAAACGCGCAAGGAGAAAGCCCAAAGTTGAAGTAAATTCCACCTTTTTGCATAAAGAGATTTGGGGATCGAGTGAATTTATGGTCGGGATTCATCGATAATGAAGCAATTTGCATGAATTAGTACATCCAAAACTATACAAAAGACAAAAACAAAAAATATATAAAAAATAAAAAATAAAAGAAATTTGAAGAGACAAACAAACAAGGCGATTAATTCAGCAATGATTAGTAAAGAGAATAAATGAAATTAAAATGAAATGGCTTGTTATTGCTTTAAAAATTACATAAACGTAACGTAAACTATGCTAATTAATTAATATTAATTATAAATATTATTACGTAACGAGCGAACATTGCATATAAATAATACGACAGAAACAACAACAACAACAAAAAAACCAACATTATTTATAATTGAATGTAGTTTTAACATTTTTACATTTACAATTAAGTTTTCAATTTATATAAAAACAAAGCAGAAGGAGCGGAAATTATATACGACAGGAGGAGACAAAACAAAACTTCAGATATACAAAATTCAATTTATGTATATGTATATGACAAAAAGCGATAAAAACACAAGCGAACAACAACAAAAAAAAAAACTACAAAAAAATCCATAATGATAATAAATTAATGAAAACAAAAATTATATTTATATATAAACATCAGAAACATAATTTCTTAGCATTTGCAGCCTAAAAACTAAATCTAAGCGTAGCCCAGAAATGGAGTTTCCAAAAAATAACAAACCTATGAATGATGTTTTTTGAGACAAACGCAATTAGTGAAACATGATTATGAAATTTATATTTAAATGCGATAAATTACAAAACAAAAAAAAAAACAAAAACCTATACAAAAAGACACACACACATACACATACAGAAACCAAGACACATATAGTAAGAACATTCCATCCAGTCAGTAGGAAATCGGGTCATCAAAACCAACTCTTCCTCCACTTTGGACTTTTGCTTCCCGTCTCGTTTGATCGATATGGGCCAGGTAATACTGGCCGGGTTAATATACGGCCAGGATATATAGTTCGTTCTCTCGGGTTCGTTTTCGTGCAATTATCAAATATCTTATGTTATGCCTAGAATTTATTATGTTTTATTTCTAAATCGATTTGTAAATTGCAGTGCATCAATAAAATACACTTCCAAAATAATAATACAACTATACCAACGCGTTCTTCTTTTTATTTTCCTCAACTCAACTCAAAAAAAAAAAAAAAAAAAAAAAAAACGTTTAATTAGCTTCTAGAAAATTATAATAAAAAAACTATCCAATAATAATATTTCGTGAGAGAAAGGGGCGAGAAACTAAAACTATACAAAATCAATTGTAAGCTAAAAAGTTTAAGTTCTTATTGGCCGTGGCAAGAAATTGACTTTAGTAATGAAATGAATAAAAAAAGATTTGAAGAAAAACAGGAAAATAATCTTAAAAAAAAAAAAACAAAAAACAAAACAAGAAATCAATAAAAGAAAAATTACAAAGAAAAATGTGTCTGGTAAATGGTTTTTAATGGTTTTTTGATATAGAAGGAATTTCCCAAAATAAATGAAAACGCATATGAAATCTTGTTTTTGTACACATGAATTTCACTTTTATTATTTTTCTCAGTTTCTCTCAGTTTTTGTTTTTTTTCTTTGCCATTTCGCTTTTCCAGCGCTTACGCGCTACCAACTTTAAAATTGTTCTCCACTCCATAGCGCCAAATATATATGCCATTAAGATATATTTATACTTTTTCGATTTTACTTTTTGTGTGAGATGGTGCTTAATGCTTAGATAATTCAAAACTCGTCCTCGCCGACTCACAAGGGAGGAAAAGCATAGAAAATGTGGAAATCCGTAGCTTTAGTGGGGGTTTTTCTTAAAGAGGTGAGTGGGTGGGTGAAAATACGAGCATGGGTAAGTGTCAGTTATACGTTTCTTAGCTGGTATTTCTCTATAGCTTAGACCGAATCGAAAATTATACTATGTGAGTGGAATTTTTAGCTTCCGGTTCGCGTTTTTCCTCCGCCACTTTTTTTGTTCTTTGTTCTTTTTTTCAGCAAGTTATGACAATAGATTCGTTTTTTACTATCGAGTATGGTAGTAGCTTCTCTAAATGGACTTTTTGCTGTTGTTTTGGTTTGCTTATGGTGTATTATATATATATATTTCGATATATATAGTACTTGCCAACAATCCATCACTCAATCGATCCAGCTTACAAAATGTTGTTTTCTAGTCTTTGCGTTTCTGTTTCTTGTTTATTATTTATTTTTTGTTTTTTTTTTTTTCGTTTCACTTTACTCTTTAAATGTAACAAAATAATTTACGATTTTAAATGAAAACCATTAATTTTGTTTTTATTTTATTAATACTTTATAGCTAGAGCTAAGTTTAAGCCTGTTTGCATGCACTAAACTTGCATTCCATTTTTTTTGTCGTTTGGTTTTTCTTGTTTTTTCTTTTTTTGAGGGGTTTTTGTAGTATATAAAAATACCATTTATTGTGTGATCGTTTTACTTAATCCATTTCTTAAATTTGTCTTTAAATATATATTAATACATATATATCATTTATGTTTATTTTTCTAAACTTCGTTGCGAATTTGTTATTGTTGAGAAATGAAGTGTATGCAAAGCTACTGATATTCCAATCGAAATCGTTAATGCCGTCAACATGAGATTTTGTATCTCGTCGGAAGTAAATGCCTTGACCTGGTTCTAAGCTTCAAAAACATTCAAATCCACGATCAGAGATAAAGAATTTAACTACTCTTTTTGAAATTCATTTTTAAACCATCTAAATTATCAAATTTATGTAAAAAAAACATGACAAACTACAGAATCGCAACGATTCAGCCACTCTTTTAAGTCCCTAACTTAATGATCACAAACCGATCTGCATTTGGAATATAGATTCCTAAGTCAAATCAAAATTCCCAAAATATTAAACTGAACCAGTGCCAACAATCAATCAATCAATCAATCAATCAACAACGATCTATGGATATATGCATATGTAACTCTTCTCATTCAGGTTGTGGGCTTTAGGTACTCAAGGTAATGTCGTCAGGGTACAAAAATGTATGGGAATCCTGTTCGCAGGATGTTCGCTGTGTATTTATACATATGCATGTATAATGGGAAGGATCTCCTAGAGATGTGTAATGCATTTGAGTAAGTTTAAGTCTCTTACTTGAGATGCCTCGGCACAACCATAATAGATAAACGTACAACGTAAAAAAAAATACTGACAAGTTTTACGACTCGATCAAGGTGTTAAGACTAAGTGTTTAAGCCGTGGATGCTGAGATATATATATATATATTCAAATATATTCGTACACTTATTGAGCATTCGATTGTGAGCATACATTGGTAGATTTTTATTTATTTCTTATTTTTTTCAATTGGGTTTTATTTCATTTTGTACATTTTTTTGTTTGGGTTCCGGTATTTTCTGTGACAAGTCGCATGTAAAGTATAATGTAAGTAGTCCGCCATTCTCTCGTTTTTAACTTTTTAAGAATTTATTAATTCAAAAACAAAAGAACGTTTGTTTATTTGGTAAATTGAGCAACTAATTATTATCTTTTTTTTGTAAAAACATAAATATTTGAAAAATTTCACAACGAATCCAAAAAACAAAAACGAGAGCCCGGCTGAGTAGACGTGTAAGATCTGTGTAATTATAAATGTAATTTACATGTTCTTTGGTTTCCGCGTATTCAGCATTTAAAATTTTTACGGTTCGCTTTAGTCGCACATACATATTGGATATATAAGTTGATTATACATATGTTTATATACGAGAATATGTTTGCGTGTATATAGATGTATGCGCATTTAACAGTAGACTTGTACATAAAGCAAAACATAGACATAACATTATCCTTCCTATATATGTTTCGGTATCATTATCTAAATATGTATATATTTATATATATATATTTTCTTTTTCGATTTGCTGTTTTAAACACACACTCAATTTTCTTAGATCTAATTATACATACATAAATGCATATGCATGTATACCTACCTCAATATATAGTAAATTAAATTGTGGCTCCCGCGAGCCTCGATCTTGTATAATTTATTTAGTTTTGTTTTCTGCTTTGGTTAAATATTATGTTGTCGCCTCACACTTGTATATCCGTTAATATATCTTTATAAAAATTATATAATTTAAAGCTTGTTTGTTACGTTCCGAACTAAATGTACAAAATTTCGAATTCTCCGATCAACACCTGAAAAAAGAGCGTTAATGATGATGAACAAATACAGGGCTGTGCTGAAAGAATATTTTACAACATTTTTTTAGCAACTCAAATCGAGCTGAAAGTCGTTGCGTCAACTTGATTTTTTGTTTTTGTTTTTTTTTTGTTTTGTTAATTCTAATTTTTGTTTTTTAAACATACAACTGAATTTTCATAAAAATCACCCTGTAAATTGTAGTTTTTCTTCTATCGCCTTTATACGCTACTGTTTTTCTTTTTCTTTTACATTTTCTTTTGGTTTTTATGTTTTATTTCCCTTAAGACTAGTCAAATACATACAATAAATATACGTAATTCGCTACGACGGAAGCTTGTTATTTACACTAAATTGAAATATCGTTCGGAGTAAAGAACAGAAGAATCGAGAATCCTAAATTAAAACATATATCCTATGTTAAAAACATATGTGTGTTGGCATATCTGTCTGACTACATTTGTGGTATTATTGCGAACTTTAAACGAGCAGTTGGCTTTGACACATTGAACTACTTTTGAGTTTGGCATCTTGGTTCCCGGTTCTGGACTGCGTATTAAAAATAAGCTAACGTTTCGCACTTTTCTTGTTTTTTTTGTTTTGCTTTTTTTTTGTTTTGTTTTACTTTAGGAATATTGTTTGGCATTTCAGTCATCAGCTTAAAACGTTAACTAAGGGTATGGTAACTAAAGATATTCAAAAAATAGTTGAATTAAATTAAGGGTAAGTGTAAAACTTAGATACAATTAATATATACAACCTCTCGCAAATTTTCATTCATTTTCATTTTGTTTACGCAAAACTAATATCTGGTAAAAAACTAAACTATTTATTCCAACTAAGTTTATGTGTTACTTGCAGTTTTTGTTTTTTGTTTTTCATAATCCGACTTTGGTTTTGTTTTTGTTTCGTTTTCACGCAATACAAATTTAAGTTTAAATTACAATACAATTTCTTTTTTTTGTGAAGTTCTCACTCGGTTTTTGTTATCCCAATTTTCGGTTTTTCTCTCTTTGTGATTCGAGAATAAATTTATTTAATGCGCCGGTGAGACGCAAGCAAAATTGTGATTGCCCCAAAACTAGACGAACTCCTCCTGGGCGCCTCACTGAGCGAAAAAGATGCTGTCTGAGATCAGGATTATAATTCAGAAATCGAAATTATTTTAGTTAATTAATAGATCCTTGATCGTTTCACTTGTTTTGTTAAAGATTTTTGAAATCTTTACAAAAATATGCAGAAACTTTTCACTTTTAATTTGGAAATTTTAGTTTAAGATCTTTGAATTAGAATCCTGACTCTAGAAAAACCATATTTCTGAGTGCCCTTTAACAACTGATTTCGGAATGATTGTTGTTGTCCTTGTATCGCTCCGCGTAGCCCTGAATGGTGAAGGGTGAATCGGCACCACCCGATCCCGTTGAGACTTCTCCGTTCATCACCGTGCCATTGCCCACCACCCCATTGATGACCTTGCCATCGGTTTCGTTTTTCACCTGAACATTGGCATACGACTGCTTGGCACTGCCATTGGGCAAATGACCCTTGGTCAGGGCCGAGGGATCCAATGTGATGCCATCTAGCTGGGAGGCAAAGGATAGGGGTGGTTGGATGGTGGTTGGTGTGGGCTGTGGTGTGTCCAAGCTGATCAGTTTGGCCTCCTCCCCGGAAGCCAGTGGGACATCATGACCACTACCAGCTACGGGTGGTTCAACCTTGGAGTTTGGTAGTATAAAGGACGTTTCCCAGCAATCTCCACTGGTCGGGGCTAAGTTCTCCACCGGCCTTGGATGTGGTGCGGCGGGTGAGGTGACCGCCGGCGGAGTGCAGGAGCTCATCTGTTGACGTTGTGACTCCGGAACATAGCCGGAACCACTGGCCACCGATGGATTACTGCTACCACCTGGTGGCAAGGGCACCAGATAATCTGGCACCGCCAAACAGAACTCCTCGCCATTGGGTGGCCTGATAACAGTGTCGTCCCTTTCGGAGGCTGTGGGGCCCAGAATGTTGGGCAATGGAGCATTCATTATGCTTGGATCCTGGGTGCAGGCGGTCAGGTGCTCCAGCAACGTAATGAATGTTGGCCGATCCTCTGGCGTGGGATTCCAGCAGTCGGCCATGACCTTGTATATGGAGACGGGACACTCGGTGGGTGACCCCAATCGACCGCCACGCACCACCAGTTCCATCACTTGAGTGTTATGCTGACCTGGATATGGTGAACGGCCCAGACTGAAGACTTCCCACAGGAGTATGCCAAAGGACCAGACATCTGTCTTGGAAGTGAATATGCCATCAAGGAAGGCTTCCGGTGGCATCCATTTGATGGGCAACATCGCTTTGCCTCCTTTACGATAGTAATCCGATCTGTAGATATCTCGGGACATGCCAAAGTCGGCGATTTTCACTACTCTACCAGGACCTTTGCTGCTCAGTAGACAATTTCTGGCGGCGATATCCCGATGGATGAATCGCTTGCTTTCCATATACCGACATCCTTTAGCCACGTCCAAGGCGCAGAATAGAAGATCTTTCATCGTTAAGAGGGAAGGTCGTTCTGGGGTATTTCTATTCTCCCTCAAGAACTTCTGTAGATCCCCGCCAGCCAGTAGTTCCAAGACTATATAATACGGCTGACGATCAAAGCAGACGCCTATCAAGTGCACCATATTCGGATGGTTGAATTTGGCCATTATGGCTGCCTCCTTAAGGAAATCCTCCTCCTTTTCTCGCTTGGGATCTTCGCGCAGGGTTTTCACTGCCACCCCCATTTCAACAGCATCTCCATCTCGATGGCGATATAGAGCCATATATACCTCTCCAAAAGCACCTTTGCCCAGGGCACTAAAAAATTAAAGTATTAGTTGGGGAAACTAGGCGATGTATTAGACTTAGTTACTCACTTAACCAACTGGAGACTATCGCGTGCCACTTGGGGTAAACTGTTGACATCGATGTGGCCATTGAGGATACCATCACATCCATAGTTGGGATTAAAGTTGTTCAGATTTGAGTCGTCGATGTTGTTCCGTAAGCGTGTCAATTGAAGATCCTGCTCCACGAGCATCTTATGGCGCTTCTTCGACTGCTTCTTTCGTTGATAGCGATTGTCTAAGGTTAAGGGAATTTAAGTAATATTAGTAATTAAATTAGACTAAACAATATCTAAAGTCTACTTACACAGCATAAAGATGAGCGCCGCAATGCAGATGAAGAGAACGGCCAGGGAGATCATTAGAATGGAGACGAGATACTGGAAGGATGACTTGCCCGCCTCCTCGCGTATCTCGCAGGCTGTATGGTTGTCTCTCTTCAAACTCCAGCCATCCGGGCAGATGCATCTCACCTTCGATCGGAACTCATCCAAAGCCACGCACCTGTAGTCGCAGCCACAGCCCTCAATCGCCGGGATAATGATGATGGCACCTGGTCCACTGCTGGCTCCTGCATGTATATCGCTTATCTCCCGGAGGCTACGGCTGGGGCTGATGTATGAACTACCTCCCTCGCCATTCGACTCGGTTAGATAGACATCTCCACCAGCGTAGCCACCACCTCCACCGCCGGTATTGCAGCCACCTCCGCCACCGCCGAAACCACCTTGGCCATGTCGGTGAACTGAAGTACCATTGTCCGCCAGTTCCACATAGCAGGAGTGACCACCACGTCCGCCCTGAAGGAGAGCAGCTCCATAGGTTGGACTCAAGGCCTGATCCTCCTTAGCCCGCCATCCACCACCAGGACCAGCTGTCTTTTTGTTCAGCGGCTCTCCATTGATCTGCCCACTTTCCGGTGCCTGCAAGGGCTTTGCCTTTTGACCATGCTGGAAGTCCTCGTCTATGTACTGTCCGATTCCGAGACCACCGCCACCACCAGCTACCAAGAGAGGTACTGCCTCGTTCTTGGCCTGATTAAGGAGGAACACGTACGATCCACCACCACCGCCACCGGCACCGTTTTCTATATAGATTTTCTTGACCATATCCTGTTTGGAACGGAAGCTATATTGGCCCAAATCCAGGTCATGATCGGTGCCACAACCAGCTTCTTTGAGGACTCCCATGGACTTGATGCAGGCATTCTCGCCCTGTTGTCCCACAAGGAAGTATAGTTCCTCGTGTTTGTGAAGCTCCAAAACAGCAACAGCCACCGATCCTCGAGAGCTGCCAACGCCACCCGAGCCGAGACCTCCACTGGCGCCCTTGGCAATGATTCTGGAAAGGATTGGTATGAAAATCATAACTAGGAAAAGTCTTGAAGAAAAGAAAGATTAACTTACGTGTAGTGTCCCTCGTGAGGAACCTTCCACTTTTGCATGCCTTTGTAGCTGCTCTGATCCTCCACCACATGGACTTCCCGAAGGACGTGAGTTTTATTTTGCTCCTTATATGCAGCTTCACATTGCGCCTGGGAAGGTCCTATCATGCCACGAGTGTCGCAGCTAGTAAGCTCAAGATCTGAAAAGAGGGTTTAAGATAAAAGATTTATATAAAGAAGATTATATAGGAGGAATATCTCAACTTACAGTTTGTGTATTCAAAGTCTTTATAGGTTGGGCTCTTTAGATTCTGTCGAACGTCCCAGTAGTTATAGCCACCGAGGTGATCTTCCGGGATATTGAGGCCAAAGCATTCGGGACTCAATGAAAAGTCATCTACAGCCACATCCGAATAGATTCTCATGCCCATTCGAGCCTCGAACTGAAGATAGTATCTAAGGGATTTTGAAAATTAATAGATTTGTTTTCCTCTTAATAATAATTTCTATTAGGAAACTCACTTGGAAGTAATGTTAGGCAGCACATATTCAGCTCTCAGCCAATCGCTGCCCTGATTCTTAGTGCTCCACCAAAGCGTTGTGGTGATGTTCTCCTTTTCTTTCATCTCCACCACGGAGAGATTAATGCTACCCGGATTCTTGCCGAATTGATGGATGAAAAACCTCACCACACAGGAGTTACGATAGGCAGAATCTGGATTTCCATGTACCGATGGAGGCGGATTGAAGGTCTTACTGACCATAATTGCATTACTGGCAAATCCTATGATCGAGTTCTTTTCCGTATTGTTCATATGCTGATTCATATTGACCAGCATATAGTAGCCACTGGTGTTGTTCTGTAAATGCTGCATCGTATGATCGCCGTCAGGTCCAGTATCGTGAGTTGGTGAGGATCCGGTGTGCCGCGACCAGGTGAGAGTGGTCTTTCCTGAGTCCCGCCAGCCACACCAGTCCTCCTCGAAGTCACAGCGTCCACCGTAGGGTATTTTATCTAATATTGATTGACAAAGATTTATTAAGATTAATTAAATATAAAGAACCAGGATCTGTTTTCCTACTTACCACACGACTGTTGCTCATCCTCCGCCTCGTCACAATCCCTGGTGATGTCGCAGATTCTCGGCAGGTGGATGCACACGGGCACCTTATTGGCAGTGCACTTAACCTGCGATGTGCTGCACTTCTCCGACTTGGTACCCTCTGGGAAACAGTTGACCATTCGCAAGTTGTCCAGCGCCACATGACCCTTTTGGCCAGGACGCAGATCGGGAACCACCTCGAAAACTATACGAAAATCGCGTGAAACGCGACCCAGACGATATACCTTCCTGGTCCATTGACGGACATTATCGCCCAGGATTTCGGCTGGCACCCAACTGCTTTCGGCCGTATGAAGTGGCTCCACTACAACCCTCGAGAGTCCATAGTTCATGTCGCTCTGATGCATATACACCTCCAGAAAACACTTCTCCATCGTTGTGCTAAATTCCGGTGAGGTGAGATTCAGAGGCCTTGAAGACGGGCTTACTCGGGCATACAGGAAGTGTCCGTTGGCATCATCGATACTATCGGCTGCAGGTCCTGGCAATAGTCCTGTCAGATTCCGCTTGGACAACTCCGTGCCGGATATAACTTGAAAGCCGTCTGTGTAGTTTCCCCAGGTCCAAGAGCACGGCGTCTCGAAATTGCATTTAACACCCAGCTCGTATTCGTACTCTGATGACGGCGTGGCATCCGTGTATGGGGCGTAGGTGTTCTAGGGGGTGTAAGAGGGGATATTAATTAGTTAATTATTTTGTCTATTCTTATTTTTTCAAAACTTAAAATAACTTTTCTAACACAAAACTTAACCTACCGCATTTGGTGGAGTTTGTCGTATGCGATCCTTGATTTCCTGTAGTGGATCTGCCGACGATGGCTGCGGATCTCCTTCAAAGTTTCCATGCGTTACCCCGCCGGCAGGCTCATCTGCCTGGTTAAGGGCCTTTTTCAGCTTGTAGAGCTCGCTTATGGAGTTCTTACGCTGATTCGGGCGCTTGGGTTGGTCGTCCACACCGTATAGAGGGGGAAACCTAGTGGAGTAGGGACCACCCTGAGGACCAGCTGTCATGGCTGCCATACCACTGGGTTGCTTGAGCTGTTCGTACAAGGATCCATAACGATCCGCAGATCCAATGCCCTGACCTAGTCCATCGATTCGGCCTATGGATGAGGTGGCAGAGTATGAAGGATAACCGGCACTTCCGCCCGATATTCCCCCGCCTGGACCACCAACCGAGGGATTCATGAGCTCTTTTCGCAGGGATTCCATGCCACGTCGCCCGCCATTACCGCTACCGGGGCGTTGAGCCATCTGGGCCAACCGTCGTTTGTTATCCCTTCGTGACCCTGGCGGTGCCATCTCGTAATCCTCGTACTGCGTGGCCACCGGCAAAGTAGGTTGCGGCAGGGGCAAAGGTTGCTCATGGAGTCTGCCATTTCGCAGCTGTTTTCCTCCGGAGGCACCTGGCCAACTGTTAAAGCTCGGGTGCTGGGACATTGGCAGCGAGCTGAAGGTGTGGTTCATGATCAGCGGTCGCTGGGCAAACGAGGGATCCACCAGGAGTAATGACAGAAGGGCCAGCACCACCGGTAGCACCGCCTCCAGCTGCTTGAGCGGTGGCATACTTAAAGCCACTCGTTTAGAAACACTTTCCAATAGTTTTTCTTTTTTGGCAAAGATTTCTTGCCAAGAAATTCGCTTGAGTTTGGTGTATATTAATGGGTTGATATTCAGTTGCTTAACTTCTGGTTAAAGATTGCGACCGCTTGGCGCATTTGAAGTTCTTCAAGTGCAGGCAGCTCATTGCTAAAGCTTTCACCCACGGGTGAGTGTGTCCTTTCGTAATTAATCTCCACCTCCGTTTGATTCTGGGGAAGCAGAAAATGTGCAAAATTTGTTAATGAAAAAGTTATAATTAATCAGGCCCATTGACGTTTGACTTTTAGGCAGAGACAGATAACCCACACATATACACACAGCCACATGCGTCCTGTTTCAAAGGACCAAAGGCCCTAGCACCCGTACACGGGAACCCCTCTCATCCTGGCAACAAATCAATGAAATTGCTGCTTCCCCGCAGGCAAGCATTTTGACAATTGAAGCCCAAAGGCCCGAAAATGCAATAAGATTGCCGTTGTTAGAGAACGTGTTTTTCGTGGAAAACCGAATTTTCCTTTTGGCTAAAAAGGAAAGCCAATCGATTGCAGGTCTTCCGTTTACCAGGCGCAATTTGGTGTAGATGCCATCCAAACGTAAAGATGCAACTGCTGATTGTGCTCAATTTGCTTGGCTTGATTTTGATTTCTAGTGAATTCTGTTGCGCCTTTATAGAAACTATTTCTAATAAGTTAATTAAGTTATTGTGAAACATTTTGCTGATTTATGCTCCAGTTAACTTTGAATGCCACAAGCTATTCATCTTAAGAGGTTTGATTTCCGGCTAAATTTTACTCACTGATTAGCTGTTAAGGGACTTTGTTTTGCAGTTCCTGGAGTTTGGTTTACTTTATGTTAAGCTTTTCCCTAAATGCATTCTCAGAACTGAGAAGGTACTCAAATATTGTTTCAGGTATAAAAAATACGTCAGAATTTTTGTTCTTTTTGTTAGGAATTCCTCTTAAAAAATCACTTAATAACAGACAAGTAATTAATTAATCAATTATTAAATTTTCGATTTATTATAAGACATTTTTTAAGTTTTAAGCACATAGCACTCTTCTTAGGAAAGTTTTCTTATATAAAGACAAATAAATTGTTGTTTCGCGTTAAATAATAAATTAAAAATTATTTATAAACTTAAAACGTTTTCTATAATAATCGTGTGCCAAGCCAATTCATTCAGAACTCATATTTTAAATATAATTTCCAATTTCCTTATCCAAAATATTGATCAGCAGATTTCTTTTGTGATTCGAAACTATTGCCAGTGGCCTGATTTTGTACTATTTAAAACTATATATACCTAATATATATATATTCTCAATAGTCGAAACCACATTTCCAAATGGATTTCTTCATAATTATTTGGCTTGTAGAACGAATCAATCTATTTTTCTTGTATAGACACGGGCATTTTCTTCTGCTCGAGGGGCGTCGTACAAAATCACTTTTAACATTTCGCTTTTCCACAAAAACACTCATACACACGCACATACACGCTACTAGCATGCACACATACACAATCGGATACTGGTATTTTCTCGCATTTTCTTTTCGGGATTTATTTCGCTTGCCGAATGACAACTGCATTTATTTTATTTGATTTTTCCTGTTTTTTTTTCTTTTCTTTTCTTGTGGATACTAGACTTAGAAATAGACAAGTGGAAGGGGGATAGAACGATGGTAAAGGAAAGTGCGAGAGAGAGGGTTTTGGAAAATGTTGCTGTTGTTGTTGCTGTTGGCCTTTCGCTTTTCGCATTTTCTATTATTTTGGCAAACAGAAAAGTACATATATATTCCATATTGGGAAAGCGAAAAAGTTGGGAAATTTTTCCACACAAATAAAAAAGAAAGTCCGCTGGTACGAGTATGTGTGTGTGTAACTTCATAGTACGCAAAGTATGCTGTACAAAATGGCTGTCGCGAAAACAACAACAAAACGGAATTGTAAATACACACACACACACACACACTCGCACACTCAAAGAGGGCCAAAACACGACTCGTAAAAAAAGTAGACAAAAAAAAAACGAAAATGGGAAAAGCAGCGAGAACTCGAGAGTTTCCACCCACCACCCTGGCTCATTCTCTTTGGAGAATTGCAGCGAGTGCAGAAAAACGGAAACGCAACTGAAGCTGAAAGTCCTGCGAGTAACGGTGAAGCGGGAAATCGAGAAGCTGGAAAAGCCGTAAGCCAAACTAGCTGAAACTACACATGCATGCAAAATGCCCACCCTGCTCCTCACATTTTGAAAACAGGAAGCGAACTCGAGCTGAGGCAAAAGTTCAAGACACGGACAAGTGCAAGAAGTTACGAGGATTACCCGACATGGTTAGCGAATTCCACTCGAAAACTTGTTCTAATGGCTATTCTTTATTTGGAGCATGATTGGGCTGGAAGAAAATTCATTTTCATCTCACAGATCAATTTGGAAATTTTAAATCGCTGGTATAAGATAGTATAGCCAAATCAATAAGAAGATGATATCAAGATATCTTTTTAATTTATAAACATAAACAAAAACTTTTCAGTACGTGAAAGATTGAATGTACAATATTAGTTAGTTATTATTTGAAGGTTCTAAACAAAGCTCTTTGTACAGAAAATATTAATTGAATGCCTAATGATAAAATATTTCTAAAATTACAGGCAATTTCATTTTTAATACCAATTAAAATATTTCTCTAATTAACAATAATTTCATTGAGTAAACGTAAAGATTTTGCAAATTTATTTTCAATTAAACAAAAATAATGATTTGTGATTAATAAATTTCAGTGCTTATGATTGAAGTTATAGAAAAATGTTTAATTTTCTTAGTATTTCCGTCTCAATTACATTGGCTGATATTAATGTTTTTTAGTTACTGAAATCACAACTCCATAATATACGAGTATAACCTAGCCCAATCTAGTTAAAATATATTCTACTCTTTATTCCTTATAAAGTTTAGTAAACTTAATATGTAATTAATAAAGAAAACATAATAAAAAGTAATAATTAATCTAAAACAAGTTTACCTGTGCAAAACTTAACTTATAGTTACTCCTTACTACTCTAGTTGTTTTTGGATCAACATAAGAACCAAGCACATGGACATTATCCTTGGTCCTGTATTTTTGTGTATTTTGCAGATACACACACAGTGCTGCCACAGGAGCAACAACAACAGCAACACCAACAACAACAACGGCAGCAGAAGCAGCAAAAACAACATTAAAAGGAGCGAGTGGAGGCTGCGTCAACGTCGCAAATATTGCGCTGCCCTCGGATTCCCCCGACTCCGTTTTGCAGATGGATGGTTGGTTTTGGATGGCAAGGATTTGCCAGGATGCCAGGATGCGAGACGCAGCTTCGGTATCGTTGACTGCGCAGGATACACACACACACACACAGACATAGGACACACTCTTCGCTACTAATGGCGCAGACAAATTGTTTTGCGTATCTCACAGATACAGAGGAGCCGAGGCGCACAAAAGATACTATACAAAAAACACACACACACACACACACAGAGGCTTTGGAAGTAACGAAATTTTCCTGCAGCTCAACAAATTTTTCATTAGATTTAGGATTAGTTTTCACACGATTATATATACGTTTTAGCCAAGGATTTCCATTTGATTATTGAAAATACAATCACTTTTACCATAAAACGAACTCATTTTTGGGTTCCCGAAGAGTTGCAAAAGCTGCTGCTGCCTTTGAATTATGTATAGAGCTGGAGGAAAATATGTGTTTTTTTCCTTTTAGCTTTTTTGCTGAAGAAAATGATGGAGTTTTCAGTTACACTTTGCACGTTTGCGTTTCTTTTTCATTGGTTTTATTGGTTTTTTTTGCCCTCGAATTTGGTTGTATATTGTTTTTTCTTCAGATTTTACTTTCTTTTTGTTCTGGGTATATCTTGTTGTTTTTTTTATTGTTTTTTTTTTTTTTTTTTGGAGGCCGTCTATCCGCGTATCTGAGGGATACTTGCGCGCACGACGCTCGGCAAACGAAGACTAAAATGTGGGGAAATTCGTTAAAGCCCGGCCAGCATCCATGGCATCGGCATCTCGCGTCGGCGGCTAAACGAATATCCTGCGCCTGAAATCGAGCCACAGGATACACGAGCACACAGCTACAGATGCGTTTGCAAAATGAGGAAATTTCTCCCTCGACTCGCTGGATTTTCCACAGCATTCACTCGCCATAGCGCTCTCTTTCTCTATCTTTCTCAAACAGCGAAAGCTGTTGCTGTTTTTGATTGAATGTGAAAGTAGGGAGGGAAAAGTGTGGGAGGGGTAATCGGGGGCGGAAAGTGAGTGGCGCACTCTGGCGGTCGGCATAAGCCGGGAAATTAATGCAAACTACTGGAAATTGAATTTAGCTACATCAGCCGCTGCAGTGGCAAAGAGCCCCCCCCTCATTTTTCGAGGGAAAGAGAAGAGGGGGGCAATGGGCCTGCTTGTGCGTCAGTTTCAGTCGTAGCTGCGTTTCCTCTTTCAATTTGCAGTGCATTAAGGCCCCCCCACATCATCCTGCACATCCTGTGTCCTTTGGTCCTGCGATGTAATATCACCTAATCAGCGCCACGGATGCGAAACAAATGCATTTATCTTGTTCCTATTTCACCCCACAGAGATGGTGACGTGCCAGCTTATAAGCCGGACACTTGTAATTTAAGTAAGCCTCGCCTAGGTGCTATTGTCTGGAAGCCAACAGGTGCTCTTGGCCAGGCTTAAAGTGGATGGTTCGCATTGGAATTTTTATAATTTGCCATAATTCGTTGACTGGTAATCCGTCAATTAAGTCATGATAAAAGGCCAAATGGTCATTCGCTAAATATAGAAATATATAACGGACTTTATGCAACTGCAAAGTCCCTTGAAACTTTGTGATTTCCTGAAATGTCTTGTCTAAATCAGATAACATTTTGAAATGGTTAGTTTAGTGACTTTTCTGCCTTTCATGCAGACCTCGTAAATTCTGTCGTAGTATATTTCTTAGAAAAATCACTCTTCGCTACAATTACACAGCCATACCTCCTATTTGCCCAATATTATTATTTTTATTTGACATAAACAACATCAACTAATGACGACAACAAACGGAAATGGACGACACAGACGTGGCGACAAGTAAGCAAAAATTAATATAGAATCGCGCAGATGAAAGTACATGCGCCGATATACGTACAATAGTATATCTGTAGAACAGGCTAATATATGCGAATATATATTTATAAGTGTCGGCGGCAGCTGTAGAAAATCTCCGACAGAGAGAGAAGAAAAGAGAAAGACTGGGATGATCACAAGAAAACCTCAGCATCCACTTTGAAGACTAACAGCGTAACGAATTGCCCTGCATTTAAGATATACTTTAAGTTAAGAACTTTATGTTAATATTCTTCATGATCAAAATTTTAGGTTTATATTCCAACAATATACTTTAAGTTTACTTGGAAGCCTTATGGAGAAGATTATATTTATCTTAGATCTATATAAATACAATTTCCATCTTTCGATGTTTTTTTTTTTATTTTGGCAAGGAAAACGATGCCTTAAAATGTTTAGAGATGCGCCAATTTTCCGCGAAGTGCTCCCAAAATGGCACATAAAATATTCAGTAAGAGCCTTTAGCATCTAGCAGATGCACTTTGCCAGTATAAGTATATATATTTAAAAATAGCTTCTAGATTATATACATATATATATACATATATATATATACATATCTATAAGTATCGGGGTGAAACTCACTCAGATTTTACGAGGGAAGTGCGATCGGCACGTGTCGCGGTTGAAGAAATAAAGAGTTTATCCCACTATTTATATCACTCTTGGTCTTCAATTATATTCACTTAAAGCCGCACCGCACACGAGCGTGTATCTCGTGGATAGCATTTAGTTTTGTGTTTCTTGAACTACACGAACGAAGAAGATTTTGTCTCGTGGATATGGGTGTTCCTTATTTTTGTTTTGTACGCGACATCCGCTGATGCGAGAGATACGAACGTTCGACGACGACTGACAAGAGTTGAGATCGGCCAGAAGCTAAAGACCGATGCGGAGGCGTCGTCCGAAGATGCTGAAGAACTCGAATCCGAACCCAGACCATCTCATCATCTGGCGTCTTGTGTGCGAGATGTATCTGCTATCTTTATCGTTTTTCTCACGGCTACCGCATCCTTGAGTTCGTTTGGTCGTTCGTGTTTGTTCGTTTGTTTGTTTATTTGTTTTCGTCGCGACGTGTCAAGTGGTAATGCAATTGAAATTGACTTGTGCGTTTCACCAATCGCCGCGGGGCGGTGGCGTCAGAGCCTGGACATTGTGCAGTCTGACCCCTGACCTACGGCTAGCCTACCTGCTACTCCTGCTATCTAACTATAGCCTTTCGATATGGGCAGTCCGATCAGCTGGAAGATTTATGTCCGCTTCGTTGCGAGGGGAGTTATTTTTAGAAGGGCACTGAGACCGTTTTTCTCCTGCCTTGAGTTTTCCGGTTGGGGCAGCTGCGAAAGTAAATAATGATTCTACGACTGAAGCTGCTATCGTTGGTGCAAAACGGAAGTTGGCGAACTGTGCAGATCACAGTGGGGCAAAAACATAGAGCAAAAACGGCGTATTGATAAGCTTGATGTTGATCTTAAAAGATTTTTGGAGGCGTATTTTATTTCAGTTCGGGTAACTCAATTAATAAAGATTAAATGCTAAAGAAATTATGTTAGACATAAATAAATAAAAGTCTATGTCAACCATGCTGAAATTTTTACAAACACAAAAATTGAAAATGAAAATTGTTATTTATAATAATTAAGAGGTTTACATCCTATAATCCGATTCTCCGTTTTGTTTAGTTAAATTCTTTCTTAAAAGTAGTTTCTGTTAAAAAAAAAAATTGTGTTAGATAATTTAGTTAGATTCCAGCTTCCGCCTACTCTGGTCCCCCTACCCAAATGCCAAGAACGCCCCCCAAAATTTGGGTATTTGGATTTACGCCCCGAAACTAATTATATTATTTGGAAATAAATTTATATTCAGTTCATCTCAGACTTTCGCTCGTCGTGGATCTAGAACTGTAAAATGCTGAAACTAAAATCGTATTTTGTACTCGCGTTTTTCGCCTGCAACCTCAACGGAATGGTCAAGTCTCAGGATAATACTAATACCCAGTGTATTCTGACGGATGCACCGAATCAGTGCGGAGCATTTTGTCTTTCAGCACTTCGTCCAATCTATGAACACATTGCTAATCTTGGACGACAACTTGAAACACATAAGGAAAATCAAGACAATTTTCAAAATGAAACAATTAGGATATTAAACGAAATTCGAGAGTATAAAATGAAGAACCCAGAAAAAACTGAGATTTTACCTGCTAGAATAGGAGATTTTGAGCTTATTGGAACAAGATATTTTTATATCGAACGAAATATAATGTTAAACTGGACTGATGCCGATAGTTTTTGTCGTGAAAAGAAAGGCTACCTTGCGGCTTTTCAAAATAATGAGGAGCTTGATGCGATCGATGAGAAACTTGACAATTATCACGTTTACTGGCTTGGTATTAACAAACTAGCTAATCAACAAGATTTTTTATCGGCTGCATCCGGAAAACCAGCGTTTTTAAAGTGGGCATTAAATAGGAATCCAATCGATACAAATTTGAATTGCGTTTATGTGTACAGTAAAGCTATGAATACATTTTATTGTCAAGATAAACTTTATTTTATTTGCCAATTGGACAATCTAATTTAAATAAAAATAAAAATAAACAGAAGATAATTTTCCATAAAAACACGCAATAAATCAATTAATTTTGCTATATAAAAAGCAAACACAAAATAATAAAATTTAATTAAAATTAGAAAATGAGACGTCATAGCTTCAAAAAAAAATACAAAAACTAAACTTTGCAAATTGTTTGATAAAATTTTTTGATAAAATGTAAAGCTTATAATTATTACATTATATTATATTATTATATTATATTTTTATATTATATTAAACTGGTTTTAAAATATATTCTCAAAGCCAAAAGAAGAAAAGTTTTTTTTTCTGATTAATTTCCAAGGATTCCACTTGAAGTTCCCTGCAGTTAAGCTGATCCTTTGGTGGTGGTTGGTTTTTTTTTTTCAAGTGTTTCAAGAGTTGCCACCGCTTACCGAAAACGGAAACCCTGGGCGGCTGTCTGGTGGCGAAAGGCGCCTGCGGAGCGCATGTCAAGTGGACGCGTTTGGCCAACTGTCAACTGTCAGTGGTTAGCTGTCATTTATTGGGCTTGGACATTGTTTATGTTTGGAGGAGCATGCGCATTGTCGAGATAAACACGCGATGATTCAAACAAGTGGCTGTGGGCCACGTTGCGCTGGCCAGGATATCAGAGGACACCACCACCACCACTACCAACACAAAAACCAGCACTAGCACCACCGAAGCGGATCGATTGACGAGGCACATGCGCTGTGGTGCTGTGGTCACGAAAAGGACTCCTCCTCAGATGTAGACACCAGTATTTCGGCCAGAACGCTGCTGTGCCTCGTGCAAAACGGTTCATTTCTCGTCCAGCTAACGCTTCTGCTTTCTGTGTGGGTGGTTGTGAGTGTGCGTGCTGGCCAAATGTCTGAGTAGAGAAAAAAACATAGTTATTGGCCATAAAGCTTTTAGCACACAGCACTTGTTGTTTTTTGCGAATAGAAAATTTTTGTAGCAAAACGATTTTTCGCACTTGTCGCGGAGTTTTGTGTAAGGAGTGCAAGGACGAGTGATTGTGTTCAGTGTCGCTTCTGTTGCCTTGGTTGCCTCACCAGCACACACGCACACACAAAGCATACAAGCTCACTTCATCACACATACACACACTCACACTCACATTACCATCCTTGGAGAAAAGTGAAAGTGAGACGCCCCAGCGACCCGGAAATCGGACAGCTCGGTATTTTTCGCATTTGGCGCACAACTTGGCTGGAAAAAAGTTAGTGGAAAACCCCCAGCTGCGAAAGTTTCAACAAATTTTCCACACGTTAACCGAAATCCAATCAAATTTTACCCCCCCCCTAAGTCCACATCTTCTATCTCCTTCTCAACTTTCTCTTTTACTCTCTCTTTTTGATTTATGCGTGGCACATACAACATTTTCTTACTTTTTTTCATTTTCATTTTTCTTTTTTTTTTTTGTTTTTTGGCACACACTTATACACAGCACAATTTTGGTATCCAACACCCCTCCGCCCACAAACCCTTTTTAACCTTCAATTTTTTAGCATGCTGTAAATTGTACCGAAAAACACGAGAGTTTTTATTCAATTTTACCAAATCACTTTTTTGTAAATATGTATTGTTTTAAATATTGTCTTGGCGCAATGGTTTTTGTATACGATTTTTCCTACTTTGCTCACCTTTTTTTGGAATTGCAGTCGAAATGATTTAATATTAAGTTAGCAAACGGATTTCAGCAATCCGTTGCTGAAAACATTAATAAACTAAAAAAAAAAAGAAAGATGTATGTGTAAAATAAGAAGAAGACGTTTAATATAAAAGAAAGAAAATATCTGAGGGAGAGGGGCCAGAAATCGAATTCACACTGCAACAGGTAAGTTTGAGGGTGAGTTATATGATTAGAAAACTTTCGAAGTAATTTTATTTGATCGATATTTGATAATAAGCAAACAGGTAAATGCAACTTCTTTTTCCACCGCTCGGACAAAACTTTTCCAATTTCCAATGCATGCTCATTTTACCGTGTAACGTCGTAAACTCGTCCCAAAGTATGCAGTGAATTTTCTCCATTGTCTAGAGTGAAAATCAGTCGAGCAACTCACCCATTCACCTTGCAACTACCACCCAACGCCAACAGCAAGGCTGCTGCCACGCCCACTCGTTGATATTTGTTGTTGTTTTGTGCGTAGCCGATTGCGGCAGGACCTTGTCTGTTGCCATTTGAGGTTGCCTTTTTACCTTTTTACCTTTTGCCCTTCTTTTCTCATCCACTGTCTTTATGGTAATTGTAATTTAGTTGTCATTTAGCCATGTTCAAGGACAGAATCGGAGGCTGTAGAGGTTTCTGTAGGGTCTTGCGGGGATTAAAGTGGTTTTAAGCTTGGTTTCTGAGGAAGGGGAAGGGCAGAATATTGGCATGGATGTGGGGCTTGGCAGGCGCAGACGCGTGCCTGCGGTAAGTCAATTTCTGTGAGGCTAAAAGTTGAAGTGAATTACAATTTAATTACCAGCAGATCTCAACGGCTCAATGCCGGGCTTTGTGCTCCATCACCCAGGATAATAGCAAAAACTTATTTATAGAAATTTCCATTGAGCTCGTATTGCCATGGCATAAAATGTCGCCTTGAACAGGGAATTGAGTTTTGGTTTGGAAGGAAGAGAAGTCTTAGTTTCGAACAGAAAGTTTAGATGACCACTATATACATATATATATATACTCGTATAGAGAGCGAGTAAGGTTAACTTACTTATTATCCCAAAAATTCACCTTGAATAAAGAAAGAAAGTTAGTTCAAGATCTATTACAGACAAGCAGGATATTTTTTTACTACTAAATTCGCACAAAATCTATTTCTAACTTTTCAAAATATAAATGCATGGTAAAAAGTCTTTTAATATATAGAAATTTTTAATAATTTTCTAAAAATTTTACATTAAGATTGAATTGATCTTCTTAGAAAGATATTTTCTAACTTTATTATTGTTATTATTTAATATCCACGATTGCAGTAAACCCAGATGCCCGAGGCATTGATTCTACCCGGCATGGCTGACGCAGAGCCGGACCTCTCGACGTTCGAGAACAAGACGGGCCTGGCGGAGGACATGAAGTTCCTGGCCTCTATGCCCGAGCTGTGTGACGTAACGTTCCTGGTGGGGGACACCCGTGAGCCCGTCTGCGCCGTAAAGGTTTGTCTTGTGCTTTGCACTCGCATTTTTCTAAAGTGTACTCTTGTATTCTCTGGGGATGGGCTTTTAAATCAGGTCACTGCGTAATCGCCACTCTGGTCCTCTACATAATTGACCCCATTGAATTGCAAAGAATGCGTCTGCCCTTTGAATAATCCCAGAGCTGAATAACTTCATACACTGCTAGTAAAATTTTGAAATTTTTATGATGTTTCCGACCTACGAGTATAAATACAAGTCTTTAAACTTTAAAATATAATATCTTAAGAAATAAAACTTAACTGATGATTCTTAATATTTACCTATATAGGCTGTTCTGGCATCCCGTTCCCGGGTGTTTGCCAAGATGCTCTATGCTGCCCCCTCGCCGCAGCGGAAAAGGGAGACCTCCACCAAAGAGAACAAGCTGCGCCTCTTCCTGAAACGCTCTTCGGAGCCCCTGCTCAATTTGCAGAATGCCGCACAACAGGTTCGTATTCGCAGATGTGTTCTATATTCATCCATAATCGATTACCTAATCGGGGGGGAATATCGTATGTGATGTGTACGGTGTGTGTGTGTGTATGTGTGTGCCTGGGTGTATGAGTGCCGGTGTGATTTTGCATTTTGCCATGTGGGTTCTGCATCATTGGGTCTATTTTCGTATCAACCTTTTTCAGTTCATTTCAATTCAGTTGAGTTCAGTTCATAGCCATACCTTCCTTCTCTTTTGTGTGTGTTTTTAAATACGTCGTGAGTGCCAGCAAAAGCCATTTAACTGATATCAATGTTCTCGTGCCTTCTCTGTTGTGACAACCACCATTCCTCATCGTACTCGTTATCCCGCAACCCATATCCGTAATCATAGAGAACCGGTTTCACCCAACAATTAGCTCCGATACCCGAGGTAACCAAGCATCAAAAATACTCGTACTGCCTCTGTGCGTGTATGTGTAACTGTAGCTGTGTCGCTCTGTAACTGTAACTGTAACTGTGTGGGTGTCGTAATTGATGGAAGTCCTTTGATGTCCTTGCAGAGAGTATCATTATAATAACTTCTTTTTACTTTATTTTTGCATTTTTTAATACAAAGAAACAATAAAAATTTCATTTTTTATGATTAAAACCTTTGCAAGGACATTAGGAACTTCGGACTTTCGAAGCTACTCCCTTTTCCTTGTAAAAACTATTAGTATGCGTATTGTTATTGGCCAAATTAGTTGTCTTACTGAGTGTGCACTTAACAAAATGTCTTAAAGAAATTGTTGCCTTGAATGGTGAATGCGGTTAAGAAACTAGTTTAACTCTATTACTTCCCTGAATGATTCCTAGTTAATTTTCATAGTTCTTGTATCTAGAGTTTATGTATCCTTAAAACTTAACCTGTTTTCTTCTAAACTTGTTCTGGAAAAACTTTTAAAACACTGTCTGTAACTCTCTAATAACTGTCTTTAACTTTTCTTATTAAAAAACCAAAAATCTGAATAACTTAGTTCTGGGTTGCCTCACAATTGGAATGCCTATAAAAAATTATAACCTCTGCACCTGTCTCTGCAAGCCAAGTGGTTAATTTGCTGTTAGCTTACGTAATGAACTATAATTCTTTTTACCAATGCTGACTTTTTGTAAATTTAGCCCTCAGGTCAGCAGCATCAGACACTGATCATTGAGGAGTTCGAACCGGATGTGTTCCGCCAACTGATCGAGTATATCCACACGGGCTGTGTCACCCTGCAGCCTCGGACTCTGCTGGGTAAGAAAGAATACTAAAAATAATGAATATATAGACTTAAGGTGTAATCTGATTTCAGGTGTCATGAATGCTGCTGATTATTATGGCCTTGAGGAACTGCGTCGCGCCTGTGCAGGATTTGTGCAGTGCTGCATCAATGTGGACACTGTTTGCGCCCTTTTGGCCTCCGCAGAGCGTTATATCCAGTACAAGTGCACGAAGACCTTGGTGCAAAAGGTTTTGGAGTTTGTAGATGAACATGGAACTGAGGTCCTCAACCTGGGCAGCTTCACCCTGCTGCCACAGCATGTGGTTCGCCTGATTTTGGCCAGGGAGGAGCTGCGCGCCGATGAGTTCACAAAGTTCCAGGCGGCACTGATGTGGAGCAAGAAGTATTACGATAACAATCCGGTAAGGAGTTAGTTTTATAATATTTCCTTTGAAGATCTGTCCCTAATCTATATCTCTATCGTATAGAACATTGACATTAAGGAGATTCTGGGGACATTCTGCGAGTACATCCAGTTCCACAAGATTCCTGCTAATGTGCTGATGCGGGAAATCCATCCGCTGAATCTCGTTCCATATGCGATCATCATGAACGCTTTGGCTTACCAGGTGGGTTGCATTGTGCTTCTCGATTGCTTTGCGCTGCTTCCTTGGTGTTTAACTCAGTCACTCATTCCATCATCTGTCCATCTATCTGTCCGCCTGTCTTTCTCTCCGTCCATCCAACCATCCAACCAACCGCCACCGCCACCCATGCGCTCCATTCCGTCCATCCATCCTGTTGTCCCCTTTATGTCTGATTCTACAAATTGCAGGCAGACCCAGAAAGCATCGACCCCGGAAAGCTGTCTCCCAACTCTAGCCGAGTGAGGCGTGCCCGTCAGAATCAGGGTCGTTCGATGTCGGTCCAGAGCTCCCTGGATCCGTATGGATCGAACACCACCCTCAGCTCCAGCGGCAGCAGCGACCCGACGAGTGGTCCGCACCACAGCAACTAACATAAGTTGAACGGCCCCTCCTCCTCCTCGTCGTCCCAGCAGCAGCACCATCGCCACCGTCACCACCACCAGTCGTTGCCCAAGATCCGAAAGGCCAAATCGCAGTCCTTCCGCACGCGACGCAGTCCCTCGGAACGGCGGAGTCCTAATAATGCCCCAAATCTCACCCTGAATACCTCGCTGTCCTCCGGCAATGGCGAGAAGAAGCGCAGCCCCTTGACACCGAAGAGTCCGGTAATGCCAGTTCCAGAGTCTAAAAGTCCGGGCAGCAGTTCCCAGAAGACGCCCACGTCGCTATCACGCCAGGGAACTTTGCGTGCCTCGAATCGACGAAAGAACAGTGGACAGCTTTCCATATCTCTGGGTAACCAAGGTCGGCGTAGTCCTGTGGGTCTCAACGATCGCAGTCCACAAGGACGTCGAAGTCCGCTCTTCCCAGGCAGTGGATTGAGGTCACCAAATGATCCGATGACCAGTCCCACACTTAGAAGTCCCACTGGAGAGCCTCGGAGAAGTAGTCCCACATTCAGTGTGCACACACAGGAACGCCGTTCGCCATTGGGTGCAGTGGCTCCCACAGATTTCGGTTGCCAATTTGGATTACCTAGCACTCGCAGAAGTCCCACATCGACAGTTCATGTCCAGGACATGGCGACTGAGCCGGAAGAGGCAGGATTCGTTGGTCTTAAGCGGCCATCGATCAGCCTCTTCACACCCATATATTTTGCCAGCGAGAAACGCTCTCCAATGGGTCCGATACCACCAATAACAGTCTCTAATCCCGCCGAGACTTACAAAAGCGCAGAACGCGAAAGAGAGGCGGCTGAGGCAGCTGCCCGGGAAAAGGAGAAGGAGAAGGAAAAGGAGGCAGCCCAGCCGCAGGAGAAGAAGAGTGTGATGCGTGAGATTCTGGCCTTTGTGAGGAAACCATCGAAACATCTAAGTAGCCGAACCAACCGATTTGCCAATGCCTTTACGCGAGCGGAATCCGGTTCTTCCGGTGGTCCCTTGATCCGGCAGAGTACATTCTCAGCCAGTCCAGCGGCTTCTTCAACAGCTGCCAAGAGTGCTGTTCAAAAGCAAATGTCCGAGGTGGGCTTTGAGCCGAAGATATCCCAGAAGTTCACCCACTACGCCAAGATGTCTCTGAGGCTAAGGAGATCGACGAAACGCGACGACGACGAGAAGGAGAAACAAAAGCAGAGTTCAGCCTCCGGATCCAAGAGACCCAGTGCGGATCTGAGTCAGGTCAACACGGAGCAACAGGTAGGTGGAGCATCGGACGAACTGCCCTTCGAGCTGGCCAATGTCCACTTCGAGAAGGTAGGTGAGTCCTATATCAAGCATGAGAGACTCCGTGAATTGCAAGAACCCGAGGCCGAGAAGGAGGAGGACACCGAAAAGGAAGCGGAAGCCGAAACGGAGGTGGAACAAACCGATGCAGCCATGGCCCAGTTCGTTGAAGAGGTCACCAATTCGCTAAAAGTAGTCGCACTCAACGGAGAGGGCGGGGCTGCTGCAGTGCATCATTTTACCCGACGATCGGAGAGCCGGGAACCCATTGAGCCGCGTATTAGCGAGGAAAGAGAATCAGATTCCAATGATTTAATGATACCCGATGAAATGCGCGCAGAACTGGTAGAGATCTTGAAGGCCTACGCCCCAGAACCAATTTATGTGAATCTGCAGGCACTGCGGCGGGAGACCGAAGATGGGGATCTGGCCATCGCCCAAGCTGAAGCCGCAGCTTTGGCGGCGTCTGAGCCCGTTAAGAAGCCGCTGCAGTGTCCTACCATCGAGTTTGAGCCGCCGTCACGACGCTCCTCCTTCGATCCACCGCGTTCCCCATTTCTCGAACAGCTTCGCAGTCCCGGAGTGGACACGGAAACTGATCTGATTAATCTCCAACGTCTGGATTCCGGGGGCGATAGCTTTGAGCTAGTGGAGAGCAAATGGAGCAAGTCCAGTCGCGGGGAATCTAGTTTCGATTGTCCTTATTCCTCCAGAGACACCAGCTTTGATGTTTCCATTTCGAGGTATCAGTCCACTAGCTATGACGATCAGACCTCTAGCTTTGAGATCGTAGATACCGATGAGAAAGGTCAGGGCAGAAGACCCGTGGACTTAAGAAAAAGCTCCATTGAGCTGGTTGATGCGGAGACCTTTCAAAGATCAGGTTCCTCCTGTGGTGGTCGCAAGTCCTCGCTGGAGACTCACTTTGATTACACGCCCACCGAGGGCGGAGGTCGTTCGCCCAGCCTTCCATTTCCGGCGATGAGCAAGAAACAGCGCACGGAGAACTTCCGCCAGCTGCATGTCTCCCAGTTTAGTGCCTTCTCCCGGGCACGTAGTCCGTTGTCCCAGCAGACCTCCTCGAACTATAGCTCCAGGGATAGCTACGATTCCAGTGGCTCCTATCCCCATGGCTATGGCTATCCCCCGGAACCCCAGAGGAGTCCATATGGTGACCCGAGTCGCAAACATTTTCCCCTAACAGTCCGACAAAAGGGCGAGGAGGAGCGGGAAGTACGCACATTCCTTTGCACGGATCAAAGATGTGCCTCGATCTTCGAGCCGCGCCCCAGTTCCGTGCTAACCCAGCAGTTGTCCACCGGGTCCATGTCCACGCCATCGGGCTATACAAATGGTACACCCAGAGTTCCAGGCGCTGCTGCGGTTGGACCAGTTCCCCTGCCTCATCCCGTGGGACCGCTCTCCTCTTGCGGCTTCTCCAGCGGCAGTGAATTCGAGCCACCGTCTCCTCGACGGGCGGCCAGCGCCTCGCCCAAGCACACCTTCACATTCCGCATTGTAATGAAGAAGGTGGACAGTTCACCAGAGGCGTTGTGCCCAGAAAGACATCGCTCGAGGATTATAGATCGTTACAGAAGGCGCGACAGTCGCAGGAAGCGCATCCATGATGCGGGAAAAAGCTTCTAATGGGGGAAGTAGGGAATGGAATGTGGGTGGCAACCAGTGATGGGAATGGTAATTTAGATAGGAAACATAACCACGAAGGGCAATATAGTTAAATATAAATCAAAATATTTGTCGATCCACAGAAAGTTGATTAAATTTAATTCCAAAAGTTAGTTTTAACAATAACTGCCTTTTATGTCCCCACAAGGGATATTATAATAATATTCCAAAAATATGCAATAATCACAACCGTAATTAAAAACATTAAATCAAATCAAAAGCTGGGTATTTAAAGCCGAAAACCTTTAAATCTAATAGCATATTGCTAGGGAAGCAAACTAAACCCATTAAGAAGCCTTTCAATGTTCAATATACATAAGATAAACATAACTTATAAAATCCGAATTAAAACTTAAATCTAAATGATTGAATTTCAAGTACCTGTAATGTATGCTTATATACGAAAAGTCATAAAATACCATGATTTGTCGGTTATAGGAATAATGAATTTCATTTTTAGCTAGCTCCCAACTTCCCATCACTGGTAACAAACAAGTTGAACCTCAAAATACTAGAAACATTCGCGGCAATCTCTTGATATCTCTACGATACGCATATATTTTTGACAATCTCAGTGTTGAATCTATATATATATATAGGACCTCTTATAATCGTAATCTTCTAGGATTAAGAACGACACCGAACTACAGGCAATTCGGTAATCAAACTTTATAAAATGGTTCTGGTTTTTAGGCCGTTTCAAAAGCTCTACCAAAAGCATGAACTTCGGCCCACCGAAGTCAGTCGATCCAGTTAATCCCGCCTTATCGGGTATATCTGGTACTTATGATCTCTGCTGATTTTGTGAAGCAAACACTCATTAGATCCATGGTTGGTTATAACCAAAACCAATGGCAGCTAGGCAGCTAAACTTAGATTATATCAAATGTACATTCTAAATAATTAACAAACTTATGCGCAACAATAATTCCTCCCACGATTTACCTGACTACTATTTAAACAAACAATAGATCAAAAGTTTATATGTATACATGTGCATAAGAGTTCACACTTCGATGTTGTAATTAATGTGTAATTAAATGTGGAAACCGAAATCAGAAACAGAAATCAGAAAGAGATAATATTCTAAGTATTTGTGCATTTTTACGTGGTTCCTGTTATATAGCTATAATTATATGCGTTATCAAACGCGAGTATTACAAATTTTTGATGGCATAATATAATCGATATACATTACATATATGATTCTAAAATAACCTAAGGATTATTACAAATTTAAATCTAACCGAACTGCGCTGCTATTGCAAGAGGTCAGAAAAGTTTTTCTAGTTCACATCCTAAGACTAAGATCAGAGCAAAATGATGCGCATATCATCTGGTATGCGCATGTTTGTATATTAAAGCTGGATTTGGGGCCGTACTTAAATCTAAATAAAAATTTAGGAAAAAAGAGGAATCAACTTTAAAAAGAATAAAGAAAGTTAGAGGTGGATAAAAATTGTATTACCAAATTAATATTTATTGTTAAACTCTGAGCAAGATTTTTGGACTCTGTGTTTGTTAGTTAAAAAATTAAACCCTCTATGTAAAATTCTAAATTTAAGAATGGATTATCTACAGAATCATAATTTACAAAGTATATACATCGTATGTAATATTGTAAGAGATAAATGATACGTTGGCTTTTTAGCAAATTACTCGTAAGAAGAAAGATATCAGCATTTTACAGGTAATTACGCTTCATGAGCATTTAATTCCATCTGAATGGTAACTAAACGTAATGATAACCACACATCAATTGCCACCAGCCGACATCTTGGATCTGGGAGAATCCATCGATCCAGATACTCAAGATTCTACACTCGTAACTAATCGGAATGCCAGTAGTAGAAACGTTGATATTTTGATTTGTAGTTGCTTGTTTTGAAAACTAACCAACAGTCGCTGACCAAATCGCTTGATCGCAGTTATATTTTCAATCGATTTTCCTTTACTCCTCTGAATGCTTGTGAGAGGTAGTCGAGTGGTAATAATGGTGACTTGTAGCGATTCGAATCTCGGACAGAGCACCCAACTACAATTTCACAATGCCAACTTCTTCTATTTGCAGAGCCAGTTTACGTTTACAGTGTTCCAGATGGATCGGATGTGGATTTAGCCCAGATTCCTTGCTCCAGCATATATACCACGTTATTTAGTATACCCTTTGTCCGGGTTTTTGCATTCAGAGGATGTCGTTGTCGTGGCATTTGTTAGACTAAGTCAAGTTCCAGTTCAAATCGAATCGCGTTAAATGTCTTACTTTGCATTTCTACTGCTATTGTTACCGCTCATACATACATACATATATCGAATAGTTAGAGCTAAAACCTCCATACATTATGTGCGTTCGTTTTTATTGTAATTTGAGACAAAAAATAAAGCCCAGATTTCTGTGTTACCTTTAATTAAACCTTGGCATCTACATGCAGGGCCAAAACACCATCAAAGTCATCGGATCCAATATGGATATAGCCGTGTCCATGATCGTTTACTGTGACTGATTTACCGGTACAAGAACCATTAATCAGACTGCCAGAGATCACATCACAATAGGTTCCGGCAGGCAGGCAGGTGTTCAGATCCTGTGACAGATCGTACAGGTTGTTGTTCACAGCCAGGAAGCCCTTGTTGCCACGACAGAAGGAGATCTGATTGTCACCATTGTCCCACCAATCGGACATCTCTGTATCGCGGACAGCATTCTTGAAGCCCACCATGGCATAGATCTGACGCCAACGGTGCTCGCAAATCCAGCCATTCACGCAGGCTCCATCCTCATCGAACTCGGGAGAAATAATCCTCTCCTGTGCATCCTGTGGCGGTGGGGTATCATGGTCATCGAAGGCAAACGAGCTCATCACGCGACTGATGCCATAGGGATAGGCCAAATGGAAGGCTGTTGCCATTTTGTACTGCCGGGGGGACTTGTAGTTCAGCACGGAGCCTCCATCTCTTTGGTTATCATGGTTGTCCACAAAGGTCAGGGCCTGAGTGGTGGGCAGGAAGCCCCAACCAGTGCCCCAGCTCTGCAGCCACTTCAATGCATTGTTGCCACGGAAGGCGTTACCAATCTCCTCGGAGAAACGGAACTCGGTGACGGCACCCAGATCTTTGTATTCATCACGGGAAACGGTTTCGTGACCATGGTCGATCACCTCCTGGTAGATGAAGGGCCGGGAATTGTGGGGGAAACCGTGATCGATGTTCAGGTTGCTCAGGCTGCCATAGATGTACTGCATAGAAGGTTTCATAAGTAACCAATACTATAGGCTGATCATCATAAAAACTCACCTCGAGATCCTCCGAAGCCATGTGCTTGGCGGCATCCACTCGGAAACCGGCAACACCCAGTTCAATAAGGTGATCCAAGAACTCAATCAGCTTGCCCCTCACCCAATCGTTGCTCTGGTCAAGATCCTTGAGGCCAACCAACTCACACTGTTGTACCTGGAAGCGATCGTTCCAATCGGTGATCTCACAGGTGGGATGGAAGTCCAGGGAACTGTAGGGAACACCCGGAAAGGATTTCTTGCTTGGTTCTGCCTCCGTTCCGCCAGTACCCACAGCGATTCCATCAAAATCGCCGGACATATGATTCAGCAGCACATCCACGTAGATACGAACCCCCACTTCATTGCAACGACGGACCATGTCACCGAACTCCTCTTCATTTCCTGATCGAGTGGTAAGCTTGTAGGAGATGGATTGGTATCTCTCCCACCAAGGACGACCCGACGAAATTATATTCTCATTCACAGGGCTAACTTGTACTCCGGCGAATCCTCGAGGTCCCAGGAAATTCTCACACTCCAGTGCAATATCCGTCCATTTCCATTCGAACAAGTGGACGATGGTGTTGCGATTGCCCCACCAATGGGGATTGTGCTGGGCCAGCGAAAGGCTGCTCGCCAAGCAAAGTGTCAAAGCTAGAGCGAACTTGAACATGACCGTAAACTGTAAGTAATCCCCAAAGGCATTTCCCCTTTTATACCCCACGGACAATCTTATCGCGGATTCACTTCGCTTGGGTCCAATTTACGACTAGCAGATGGTCGCCACCCGATTTGGCGTAGATTTACAATGCCCATCGACTGACCTATGGCAATATGCGATAGTGCGTTAAAGATTCGCAAGTCGCGGGCGTATTGGCTTTCCCAGGAGATAATGAGGCATAGAGATAAGATTTTGTTGATACTTATGATACCCTTTCTAGTTGTTGGTTGGCTTTGAAATAACTTTAATATAATAATGAATTTTTAACTCATAAATTGGTTAAAACAGGACAGCTAACGATGCAAACTTACCATTTCAGTCATTGTCGGACTGATTCTGGGAATTTAATTTTTTGCCCATTTTTTGAATTTCTGATAAGGGGTTGCATCAACATTTTTTGTGAAAAATGAAATTGCACATTTTGAGGTGTAAATAGATTAGAAATTTAATTACGAGTTTAACGAGGTATTTCATTCTATATTTTGACCATTTTTTGGCATTGTGTGAAAAATCAGGATTACGAATGATGACCAAAATGTGGAATATTTTTCTAGGTTTTTGTTCATAAATTGGCCAAAACAAGACATACAGATAAAAGAACGACTGTTTTGAGTAGCTAACGACCCAAACTTAACATTTCTATCATTGTCGGTCGGATTCAGGTAATTTGATTTTTTCCCCATTTTTCGTATTTTTGATAAGGGGTTACATCATTAATTTTTGTGAAAAGTGTCCAGAAATGACCAGTTTTAGGTGTGAATAGAGTTGTACAGGAAATTCAATTTCAAACTCAACGAGATATGGCATTCCATATTCCGACCATTATTCGCTGTTTTATGATCAAAATACAGACTTTTGGGAAGAGATTAGGGCAGACCGAAATTCGTATTTTCGGAAAGGGGTAACATCATCAAAATTTGCAAAAAAATTACATTTTTAGGTGTGAACACCAGTCGACTAGAAATTTAATTACGAGTTCAACGAGGTATTACACTCCATATTCTGACCATTTCTTGGCATTGTTTTTGTCAAAAAACAGATTTTTAGACTGAAAAAACAAGAAAATAAACAGGTTCACTGACATGTATTTGCTGTTTGAATTCAATTTTATTGCGTTAATTTATGGTCATATTTTTTGCATTCTGCCTCTGTGCTGATTACGATTTCTGAATTATGAATTATGATTTGGGTTGTTTATTATGAGTCTCATTTGCTTTGGGCCAGGCAAACTTTGGCCCCTTACGAAGCATCTTGTTGCGCGTTTCACATTCCAAATTATAGTTTTTGCGCAGAATTACCGAAAAATAGTAGATTATCTCCACCACCGAGAGCATACTCATGCCAATAAAGAGACTAAAGGCACTGCCAAGATTAGCTGGAAATTAACTTATTAAGTTAAGAGTTGTCTGGGATTTTTTTTAATCAACTTACAAACCAAAGTAACCATATTAGAAAGCAAGTCACGTCTTAAGCGTCGATAGCTAAAGGAATTGATAAAGACATGCAGTATCCCATCGTTTTTGGCTATTCCTGAGCTAAAATTGGAGTTAGTCATTTAAACTTTAAATGTTAAAATTAAGTTTTATATTTACTAGAAGTTATCCGCAACTGGCATGTTTAGTTCGAGAGGAAAATTGGATATCTGGACATCATAGTCAAAGTGTTCACAGGTTAGAGGGCAATAGCATTGGGTGCTCTTTTTCCTTGTAATTATATTAGCTGAACGAAAAGTTTTGAGTTCTTAATAGCTTCTGTTAACTTAATAACATACCAAAATTATCCACCAGACAGTGAATATCTCTGAAAGTACAAATTCGATCCGTGGTTCGATTAAAGTCAAAGAAGTACGTGTGACAGCCGCAGAACTTGACCATATTGGTTACTCTGCAGTTTAGCTCGCAATTGGGATAAACATAATTCGAAAAATAACGCAAATGGAACTCATTTTGAAAAACACAATTTCTTTCCTTAATGGTTAAGGCCTTGACAGCTGCAGAGCAAAAGGTTTCCTGAGGTCTGAGGGCAGCAAAAGTCTCCGTGTTGAAGGCTATAAATTTAGCAGCAGCATGGGCACTGGGAAAGGCATCAACTTCCTGGATTAGCAGCTTTACTCCGTAAGAATACGATTGTACCGGATCATAGCTGTCATCTTTATAACGTAGAATTAGGGAAAGCCCATATTTCATACCTCCTATAGCTCGTTGGGCTGTAAAGTTAAGACTATATAGAAAACGGTTATTAAAACTTGTTGAATATAATTTTAAGATGAAATTGAAAACCAACCCCTTCTGCCGCAAATTAAACGAACAACAGTGACCAAAGAATGTCTTCGATAACTGAAAAATCTTTGAGCAATCCAAAATATTGCCATTAAATCGGCAGCGATATAGAATTTCATTACAGTCCCAACGTAGGTGTTCCACAAATTGTTGAATTGTGAGATTGTTCAAGGAAAGCACAGATTCCATTTGATCAATATCCTCCTTAGAATATCGCTCATCGTCTAACATAAAACCATAGAAAATGTGAAGTTTTCGAAGAATTCCTTTCAACTCAGCTCCTGGCGGTAGTTGTCTGGCAAAATAAAATATTATTCCCCTATATTCCTTATAATAATGTTAGCTTACAGAGTTTTTAAGAAAGCCTCCGACTTTTGCATATTAAAAAGTACATCTGGACAAATAGTGATTGGTGGAAAGTATAGATTATTGACTGGCGTGTGATCACTATCCACGTTCATTCGCGTTGGACTGCTGCGATAGTCCATGTAGAAGGTGTGCGCCATAACAACAGCACAAATGAACATCACAAGCGAAATCAGCAGCCATACCAGGTGCACAATTTTATTGGTGTCCTCATCGCGGGTATATCTCAATCCATGGATACTGCTGGTGGAACAAAAGTCATTCCAAGTGCGACGAAGGGAACCCACAAAGGGCGATACTTTCAGATCCACTTCCTCCGGTGTCAGCTCCTCTTCGTGACCCATTTGAACTTCGAACTGATGGCTGGTTCTTGATTCCTTCCATTTAAATACTAGATAGAGGAGATGGTTCTACTCGATATCCTGACAAGTGCTTATTATTATCGAATTAGTCTTCAAGGGCAAGTTAGTCACCCTAAAACTGTTTAAAAGAATTTCGGGTTGTCCTTAGACTGAAGGGGATTGTGTAGTAGGTTTCGGGGACAGTTAGTCCCGTGAATTCAGTCTTCAGAGGTATGTCTTAAGTGATGAAGGGATGAAGAACCCCCTTCCCGAATCCCATAAATACTCATATATTGGTTGTTCCTTAAACTAGTAGTTTTTAATGGTTTTCATACATTTGGTGGCTTGCTTAACAATCTTCGCTTGAGCGGATTATTTAATTTCAAAACAAATTAGTGAGAGAACTAAACTCTGTCGCTATCACAATAAGATAAGAAAACTACACATTTGCAATGGTAGACCTCGATTTTTCCCTAACTAAACTTGACGATTTGTGCTCGATTTGGTGTGGTTTTCGTTTTGGATTCCCCAATTTATTTACAATTGGAAGCTAATTGTCTTTTTTCTTTAGCGGTGTTTATGCAGATATAGGAATAGATCAAAGGCTAACTATCAATATTAACAACATTTGGCTTAATGAATAGATAACTAAAACGAGAACTAAACTACGTATTTCGTATAGTGTACGGGTTAATGGTAATGACGCACGACTACGGCTAATACTACGGCCTTCTTTTTTTTTGGAGTCTTAAGAGCTGGAGATGGCCGCTGGCGGCGTGCTGCCATTGCTTAGCCTTTGTGGGGTGGTGGTGCTGGTCGTTTGAAGAGCAGGCTTCTGCTCATCATCCTCGGGATTGTCCCAGAACTGACGTTCACCGGATCCGAAGATGTTGTAGAATGTACCACAGATGATGTACACAAAGGCAGCGATGAAGAACACGATCTGCCACTGACCCATCATGGGCTGGAATAGAAAATAGTTACATAAGTAAATTGATAGAAAAGTTTTTAAATATATAAGATTGCAGTATAAAGTTGTAGTAAATCTCAAAAAAAAAGCTTCACAAACTCACCTTGCTGGGATCAGAGATGAGGTGACCCGCTGCAATGGGCGCTAGCAGACCAGCCAAATTGGCCGAGCAATTCGTGATGGACATTAAAAAGCCGGCGAAACGCGGGGTGAGGTCCAAGTGGTTGATCTTAAAGCCGGAGTAGATACCTCCGTTCAGGCCCACTCCAATGGTGAGAATGGCCAAAGTCAAAGCACGATCGCAGCCCGTGTAAGAAGCGGCAATCAGAGCGATTCCAGGACCATATTGACCAATACTGTTGATAAGTTTCCTGGTGGCCGTATGCGAGAATCTCTTTGAGCTGATCATCCAATCGGCAACCACTGAGATGAACATGGAGAAGAGCCACATAGCCAAGTAGGGCAGGGAGCTGAGCAGACCATTGGACTTCAGGGAGAAGCGGAGCACCTGCTTCATATAGGTGGGCAGCTCGGTCATCAGAGTCTCATAGCCGTAGTTGTGACCCATGTGGGCGAACAGAATGGCGTAGAAGGGCAGCGACTTAATGATGGCCTTGAACGGAATTGGAGGGCTCTAAGAAATAAGAAATTAATTAATAAACTTCTTTCATATCCCAGAAAAATCAAGAACCCACCTTGACCACATCGGATCCCCAGAGGGCATCATTGATGTACTTCTTCTCGCGCTCATCAATAGTGGGATGGGAAGAGGGATCCTCGTATACAAAGATCAGGAAGGCGATGGACCAAACGGTTCCAACAATTCCAAACACATAGAAGATCGATGGCCAGCCACCATCGAAACCGTATTCAGCCAGCAACCCGGAGAGTGGCATCGAGATGATGGTTCCAAATTGAGCACCAGCATAGACAGCAGCACCCATTCGTGATCTCTCGTTGGGTGGGATCCATTTGGCCAACATGGCGTGGGTGCAGGGCACAATTGGACCCTCACCCAGACCCTGGATAAAACGCACCGCACACAGACCCCAAACACCACCTCCACGAGCAGCCACCGGGACTAGGAAAGCAAACACTGAGTTGATCAGCATGCCATAGCCCAGGAAGCGAAGGGAACCATATTTCTTGGCCAATATGCCAAAGGGTATCTGAGTGATCACATAGCCATAGAAGAAGGATGACAGGATATAGCCCTGCAGAGCTGAACTCCAGGCGAACTCGCCATCCTGGGAATCATCCTTTAAAGGGGGAATAAAACATCAATAAATGAACATAAAAAGATTAATGTTATAGTTAACTTACAATGGGTATATCCCGATCTCCACACTCATCATCATACTCCTCTTCACCGGTCTTGATAGCCGTGTGATTTACCATGGCCACAATGGCCACCGACATGTTGGTGCGCATCACATACGCATTGGCCATGCCCAGGAAAAGCATGAAGGTCACAAAGTACCGGGTGGCAAAGCATCCTAGAAAAATTCAAAAGAAATTCAAAAGAAAATTAGTAAAATAAAAATACCAAGAGAGAGAGCTTAGAAAACCAAAATATATCGCTCTGAGAATGTGATTTATCTTGCTAAATCAGTGAATGCGTCACTTAGCCATAAGCATGCATAAAATAATTCATCGAAGGCAAGCGGAAGTCTTGTCAACAACTATAAATGTTAGCTGGCAAATTATACATATATAATTCGGAAACGCAGAAATAACCCAAATATATCGGGGTTACAAGCGAGATATGAATATATAATCTTTTCTGGGGTTTGCTTAGCTCAAGGTTCATTGCTCGTAATCGTGATAAGGTTCTCGGCAAGCTTGCTTAATGAATCATTTGAGATTGCAGACCCTAGATAATAATTTTCTCAAATTTCATTTATTATTTCGGTTTAACATTGATTATTTCTTTCCTATTGGAAACCCAACTGAATTTTCTCTTGAATTTCACATTTGTTTGAGGTAATTTAAACCCCTCCCTTTATTTATTTGATTTTATGGCCCCGAAGTCATATTAGGAGATCGCTTTTTGTTATGACGATGAAAGCAATTGTTTACGCTGGGGTGCTTGAGTGACTGTAATTTCAGTTTTACTGCCGTTTGTGTCATTTGTCAAACGTGAATCGTCGGCATTTCCAGTAATTTTCACGGCCATGAAACACGTGATGTTACCCAGAATTCCTAATTTGCCGTACAGTTGTGTTTTACTTTCTAGGCTTTGGGCCTGGGCTTGGGTATTTATGGTTTAATTAGAAGGTGACGCATAGAAAGCTCAAGGCTAGCTAGCTAAGCAGAAGTAATTAAGGCAATTTACTTTCAAAACTAATGAACTTTGACCACTGAATCAAAAAACGAGCACGATAAGCTTTTTGTGTTCAATAACCCGAAAGATTCATTGGAATTTACTTCGCTATTTTTCGGGAAAAACAAAAATTTTGACATAAACAATGGCCCAAAACCGCCAAATTGCTGAATCGAATTTAATTTTAAAAATATTGTTATTCGCTCGCCGTTTATTTTTGCTCACGCAGCATTAAATCGCGCGATTTGCTCGTTTTTTTTTCTCTGGTTTCCCCGGCAATTTCCACCAACGTCTCGTGTTGCACAATCACTTGCTTTTGCTTTCGTTGGCAGCAATCTGACGATGAGGCAAAGCACGTGTATATCACGAGAAATCAGTCCAAGGGGAAAAAGCCGGTCGGCCGGGGTTGGGATGTGTGTTTAAAAGGGGAACGAACGCACTGTGCCTAACAACAATATGCTTCGCCTATTATTACGCATACGCAGGGTGGCCATTAGGAAAAAATGTTAATGAAGGGGAATGGTTTAGGAAAAATAAGAACAACTAGTTAGTGTGGTCAATAATATTTGTGATTTAGGGAAAAACTATTTCTCTATCTTCTATTATCTGCAATTTTCAGCTTAGCTTACTCTGCGGCTGTTGCTCCAAAGACTCGTGGAGGTTCCTCTGATTCCACACCAAAACATGACCATCGCGATGGCGATGATTTAGACTGCTGCGTCGAAAGGGCATGGTGTTCGTTACAACCCTTAACGTAACTTAAATTCGAATTTTTCTAGTTCGGTTTTTCTTCTCGAGTTCAAGACTTTTTGCGCACACGCTTAAACCATTTCATTGTCTATCTGTCGACTTGGCCGGCTAAAGACCGTAACATATCGCGGGCTGGGTAACTCGAAGGCTTGTTTAAGGAAAAACTATCGGAAAATTGTCTGAGACCCAATGTGTTCTGCCACCGACGTTGAACGGTCAACTACTGACTCGGTAATGTTCCGCTCTCGCTTGTTGCTTTTAGATTTTTCTACTGAGCGCCAACTGTTGCGTCGCCTTCATTTATAAACTTCTGTGGGTACGGTGTATGAGTATATCTGCGGCTATTGGGTTCGGATTCGGATATAGAATGAGTGTGTACGGTTATGCGAATGTACATACGGCTATGGCTCTGCGCCGGCGTCGCTCTCTCCGCCGCCGCTTGTTGATTACATCAGTTTTAGTGTTCAGATTTCGACTAATTAAGTGAGGCGATGGAAAATTCTACCCTGAAAAATGCATCATTTCGTAGCGGACGATTGATGTCAATTGATAGAGTGAACTCAGTGGGACCCAAAGTCAAAGAAATCGCACCAGCCACCTATACATAGTATATATGTCTAATTATATCGGATGGACGTAAGCAATGGTGCTGGTACACATTCTCATCTCGTGACTTTCGGCACATGGAAGACGAGGTACACGCGCTGACTAAAATATGCACAGCTAAGTGATTATGGTAACATCAGTGGACTCTTTTGAGTATTGGGGAAAATACTAAGTAAGTTTTCGGCTTTCTTTTACGTGTTTTGAGGTCATTTATTAGAAAAAACTAATATATTTGTGCATACTACGAAAGAAAGAAAACTCAATGATCAGCTTTTTTAGTTCAACGTTTCTTTGAGCTTTCCTAGCCACTCATAGGAATAGTAAATGAGACATTCATATGTAAATATGCCTAAAGACCCAGGATGAAGTCATAGAAATGCGTCGCCCTTAAATGGAGGCGCCCCCACAAGGTGCACAATGTATATAAATTATTTCTGTGTAATTACTGGTCACGCCAAAATATATACTCTATTTTAATCGTTTTGACAAGTTGTTGCTAAATTTGACATGGGCCGAAAGATAGAACAAAACCGCATACCATTTCCATTATTCTTTTGATTTTATCATTATTTATTATTTCAACAAACCGCAGAGCGAGACCAAAGTTGAAACTGTAAAAATAGCTACAGTCACGCTTGACTCGCACAAGTGATTGTTTATATATAGGAGTGGATGTCGAGCTCGCTCTGAAAAGCCGCCGCCGGCTGAGACAGACACGTGTTTGTCGCCTGTCTCTGCTCACAAGTTCAAATTGCCAATTCAATGCGATCACAACGACTAGTGAGTGAGCTTCTATGTAGAAGTGGATATCGTTTTGGATTGCAAGACAAGATGGTTGTAAGACCATAACTTTACAGTGCTATATAATAAACACAAATTCTTGTATTAATATAAAATGTTTTTAATAATGTATATTAAACATTAATTATAAGATTTCTCAACTTTAATAGCTAAATACACTCAACAAGTCTAAGAATTCATATATTCGAGATTTCGCCAAAGAACTTAGTTAAGTCCCCTTTCACTTTCCTGCCTTTTAATTATGGTTCCTTTTGTGTTAATTGTGGTTAGCTGACATTGAGCGTGTCTGTCGGACTCTCGTGACAAATAAAAAGAGAAGCCATTCACAGTGTCTAGTTTGATGCATACCATATTCTAATTATTTAAGTGTATGTAGGGTGTATTTTTGGCAAATCCCCTAATGGAATACTTTATGGCTAGGCAGCGGTACAGTTGTGCGCGCCCAAAGCAATTAAGTGATTTTTCATTTTGTCTGCCAACTATTGCGATCTATTTTAGTTTGGCAACAAGATGGAATATAATAATATATTGATAATTGCTTATATGGGCATTTGAAAGAGTTAACTATTTTACATATAATCTACATGAGGTCTACAAGCTTTCCTTACGTTTTCATTGCATGCTTTTGGGGTGAGCTTTGCTGCGTAACGTAATGTTCAAATGTTACGTAAGTAAAATAAGTAACGACTTTAAAAGGGTTTTTCTATGGATTTTAAGCATTCTTTTTTAAATATTTAACTTGTAATTTAATGAAGAAATTTGTGAAAACATTCTGGGGAATTCTGGCTGTATAATAATCCCCGATTTGCCATAGCAACTCGCCATAATAAAGAACAATTGACGTTTATTTGTCTTTCAACTCAATTTAAACATAAACAACGAGTACTTGTCGCATTTGAGGTTTCCCGGTATTGAATATCTTGAAAGGTGTCAAAGAGTAGTGCAAATATTTGCGGCTATAAAAGAGGTAGCTTTGTTTTCGCAGAAGGTCAGACTGAAGTCGGTCGTAGATTATTTGCCCAACTTCATCAGATAAATCCGATTCACATCTATGGCATTGGGTTAATTGCTCTGTAATTTCTATTTTGGTTTCCCTTTTTGCAGGTAAACCCGCAGATAACATTCGCTGAATGAATGTCTCGTCTATTTTCGTGGTAATTGTAATCTACAAAAATAGTAACAAGCACACTTAAGAGATGAGATGACTAATTGGAATGCCACTCACTGTAGAAAAAAAAAAGTGGAAATAAATAAAAAATGTAAATACTATTCTGAGAAAACGTCGCAAAAGTCACGATCTTAAAAAAAATATAAAAGGAATTTCAACTGTCCAAATTGAAAAGTTTATTTTGTCTGCCATCTCACTTGCTCCCATTAAAATTTAAACCTACTTTGTAAAGAGCAATTTTTCAATTTAGCAAGTTGAGCTGAGATGGCCCGCAAATCGGATTACGCCAGTGCCTCTAGACGTCAACAATACTATATGCGTGTAGATATATATACATATCAGATATATCCCATGGAAATATAGAACGGATATGGGGCCTCCAGTCGAGCGCATCGTGGCTTTCATACCCTGCCTTCCTATTGTTAAATTACTGGGGGGTTATTTTTTATGATGAGACACCCACCTCTCACATATGATTCCAAACTGCGGGGGCGTTGCCTGGGAAATTGTATAGATAATATATTCACCGTTTCAACCAATTAACCGATGACATGTTGCAAAATGACAAATCCAAAGGGGCCACCAATTCTAGTGTCAATATCAGGGCCAAAAAGCCATCGACTTGAGGCAAAACGAAAAAACTTGGCAATTGGCCAGACTGAAAATCGCTCTCATTTCGAAATTGTCGACACGAAAAGCTAACATAGCTCTGTAATCTGTAATCGCTAATGAAAGCACAAAAAAAAAAAAAGTGAAAAGTTCTCATCGGAATCTCAAGGCGAATGCATTTCCCCAACTGACCTTAACCGCTAATCTTGCGGGGGTAAAACGAGTTCTGACAGAGTTCATTTGCACAGTTATAAACACGTACAGTATTTGGAATTTGTTGCGATTTATGGCTATGTTTTGTTGGCCATTTTCGGGCCTTTGCCGGTAACCGGTTTTTGTCAGTTGATACCAAGCTATTTGGCCACGAAAATGGCAATCCGGGAACTCAAACAAACTGTGTCAAGTGTCGAGCAGATGACTTCTGTGTACAATTTATAATAAGGAAGCAAAGACAGCGTAAACAAACCACTTGGTCTGCCCGCTAATGGCACAATAATAGGCAAATTAGGCAAGATGTTGACTCAACTGTATTAACAGCAACTAAAATAAAAATGAAATTTCAAAGAAATAATTTAAGCTTAACTAAAAAGGCTGCTAAAGAGTGCAGTTAGTGCTAAAGAATAACTATATGGCTAAAACTATAAACCTTAAAGCCACGAAATGCTAAACTTCAATTTTAGTTTCATAATTTCCATTTAAAATTAAATTTTCTTTTATATTCTTTCAAATAAAAATACACTTCTTAATTCATAACAATTATTTGTCATCCACAAACATGAAAAACTTTTCCCGCTTGCCAAACTCAAACTCTGTGTCACACGTTAATTGTGAATTTGGCTCACGCATTGGCGACTCTTGTTAATAATGGATTTTATTTTTCTCCTCATTTTTGTTGCATAACAAATAACTTCCGTTTACCGGCAACCTTCTCGTCCATTTTCGGGCGGATTTCGTTTATTTAAATCAAGTGGATTCCCGGAGAAGCAATGAGAGGCCCATTCAATCGACTTGAAGTGTAATTTTTGAGTTTAACGATTGCCAAATAGCCGGTCGAGTACGTGTGCACACGTTTTTTTTCAGCTTTAGGTTCTGTTCTGCTAATTTGCTTAGTATTTCGAGCAAGTAATAAATAAATAAATTATATGGCTCAGCGATTGGGACACATATCCGAGTGAATTGTCGTTTGCAATAAATGGGGCAATTACCCGGCATCTGAAATCATAGACTGAGGCTATGCATCAGATGGATTACAAGCCCAGCGGGTAATTGTTCGAAGAAAAGAAAGCTAAGGCGTATATAGGCATATTACTAAGATCACTGATCATTAATTCGAGATTTAAATTACTTCCTAAGGCTGAATCTTATGAGCTTAAGTTCAAGAAGTTAATTACTGGTGTTAGCAATAAGTACTTCCCACTACTACTTTGTTGTATTACTAACTTTAATATTCTCAATGGAATAAAGATATTTTCCCAAGATAATTTAGGAGAATTAAATAAGATACAAGGTTATTAACTCACCCCCTTTTATATTTATATTTTAATTATCTTATTAGCTTTTGTATTTATGATGTTTTTGTCACATCCCTATCAGTCCCTTGATAATTGGCAAACAAAAAGTGCAATCACAATTGGGCTTTATCTCAGTCATAAGTGTAATGAGAATTGTGAATTATCTCTGTTATAATTAGTAAACATTACACCATTTTATAGTGCTACTTTGGCACGCTTTTCTTCTGTAAAATGTAGTAAGGCAAACTCACCCAATGCTGGCTTCTCCAGATCCTTTTCGGTGCTCCCACAAATGGCCTCCTTTGACGCGGACATCTTGCTAATTGTTGTTTTACGAGTGCAGGCTTTGTAAGTTTAAGGGCTTTGTTTAAGTTAAACACAGAGTGTTAAAACAAATTGATTACGACGACGCTGCAGGTGGCGCGTTTAAATATCACAATACTGCATACAATGCAGAAAAAACAAACTTTTGCGGGGGTGTAGGCAATGTTGTTTATGGAGTATTTGCGGTTTAACTTTTGTCGGGGAATTTCATCCCACCACCTATATGGTATTTATTATGATTATTTGCACAATGATCTTGTGCTGCTGGGGATCTTCAAGAGGATCTTCAGCTGGAACTTTCAGATTACTTCACTCGCGATCTACTGCCGTCGGCAGTTGGATTTGTTCTGATTGACAGACAGCGTTTTGTGGGCCTTTAAATAAGCCCCGATTCAGGTTCCAAGTCGTCGTCAGACGTCTGCTGTTTGCACGATTTATTCGCCGTTTTGCCGGGCTTGTTGACACTGTTGACTCTTTGGGGGATGTATGGATGTATGGATAGTCCCTTTCCGCCTCTCCAGCAGTTTCTTTACTTTTCTGGCTGGCTAGCTGGCTGGGTGGCTGGCTGATCACAGATCGGCAGATCAAGCTGTTAATCTGAAAGCAGAGAGCGGTAAATAAATTAGTTTGATAAATTTAGCAGGCTATCGGCATCAATTGGTTAGACAAACGTGAAAATGTCCATCGTCATCCCGTCGAGTTTGACATTTGATTTTCGAGATCTCACGAGTCAGTCTCCCTACGCACGTTTTCCCAGTTAACAGTGACTGGCGATCAAATATTTGACACAGTGAATTGACAAATATAAAATATATATATTTATCTCTCATATAACCATATCCATAAGCTCAAAATGAACTGGGGTACAGTTTGGCACTGTGATTTCTTAGCCAGTTCTGTGAGGAGACCTTGGTTGGCTTTACGTTTAATATGTTATAAAAGGCATTGCAAGGCTAGTTTAATATTTGCATTTATATCTCACATTGGCAATGTAATTAACCTTACAGCTATCTACTTATCTCATTCGAAGTTTAACCACTCATACATTGACAATTTTTCGGGGCACCCTGGTGATGTAATATTTGTTTGTTTTTTATTTTTTGGTTGCCCGCAAATACTACCGAAAATCAAAACAATGTTTTTCTTTTCACGAAACTGGTTACGTTGTTTTGCCTGGCAAGATTTCCAGGTAAATTGATTATAACAGGGCTTTGATTCTACATATATTTAAAATTAAAAGCCCCGAACAAAAACCCAGTTGCGTACTTGAGTTTCTGTGTGAGCCGAATTTCAATTGTCGTTCGAATTGTTTGCACGTCAGAGCAAGCCCATAAGAGCAGAGAAAGAGAAAAATAAAACGTTTTTGGAAAGTTTCATAAGTCGTTGGGGCAACCTGTTGATGTGTTTGCGCAGATTTCTTAGAAATTGAGCCCACACAATGCCTTAAATTGGTCTGTTATTTGAATGCCAAAGTCGGCAAGTTCGGCAAACAAAAAAATCACAATAAACATGTCAAGTGGTCACCTCACTAATTACACTCGAAATGCCTTTAAATCTCCATAAGATAAGCTCAAATTCTTAGAAATAGTTGTATTCGATAAACCAGTATAAGTTCTAACATTTTGAACATTTTATTTGAATACAATGTCATGATATATTTACATTTTATTTGCATTATAAACTTTATTACTTTCAAGTAGATTTATAAATAAGCTCGTTGTGTAATTAATGAGCCCCGTTGCACTGCAGAAATATTCAGTGTTTGCTTGGCTTTATCTCTTTATTAGCCGGTGATCAAAAATAGAAACGTGATTTCTGTGATTACTTAATAAGATCACTCGGTAGAGTAGCGCAGATCTCGAGTTTCCTTTGCCGCATTTCTGTCACAAATATTGATCAATTTAAACAATTAGCAATCTGACATTTCGTTAAACATTCGGGCTATCAAACTTGGATAGAGTGATTTTGCATTTTACGGCCGCTAAACGACCGCAGATCGCTAAAAGCAGTCGCCAGCGATGGTTGCCCTACTCCTGGCACGGATCTGAGTTATAAATACTAACTAGGTATTATATAATAGATTGAAATTAACTTAATAATTGTGAAATTAACATCCACTCATGCATAAATTGTGAAAAAGTCCCCTAAGGGAGCCAAGGGATCTCCAACTCTCCATAAATAATGGCCATAAGTATAAATTGCAATTGTTTATTGCTAATTGTTGATTGCGTCGCAACTGTCAGTTGTCTATGGTTTATAACTGCATTTTGTCGGCATTAAAAGTGCATTACTAAATAATAATAAAAGCCCAGAATTTATAGAGGGCCATATTTAATGCCGTATGTAGGGACCAAATAAAAAATATATGAATCTAATCGCAATCGCTAATGCCTCTTAATCGGATTCAAAACCAAACAGAGGCGCTAAAAATGTGCTCAAGTGGCGGAAATTTGGGCAAGATAAGTCGCTTTAGCACTGAGAGAGAAGCTGCCAAAGTTCGAATTGGCCAATAGAATACTTTTCCTGGCCAAAACCAAGAAAAAAAATAATAATAACCCGAGTGCTCATAAATTCCCAGTCAGACAGATTTATTGACAGATTGCCGTTCGAGTTCTTCTTCTCGAACAGGTTGCCATGAGGCTATACTACGACCGTAAATCAAAAACGCTTATCTAAGAGCACTCGTCGAGTGGGGGAGGGTGGCACCTCTCATAGATTGTACGGTAATACGAACTCCGGACTCGAAACGAGATACTACTTCCTTTTGGCCACGAAACACGTGCTAATTACACTTCATTCAGCCTTTCTTCGGCTGACTGAAAGATGCCGCCATAAAGGAACCCCGAAACGACTGGCATCATATTGCCTTAATTATATCATAATTGGACATTATCGCTGGTCCATAAACCAGTATTCGTCGTTTATACGATGGATCCGTGACAAGGCAATGGCAAATTTTCCACCCAACGAACGTAGTAGATTGGCATTTTAAGTGGAGAGGGATGGGTTTTACTCTTAATTTATTTTAATGCCATTCACTATTTGTTCCAATTGTTGGCAACATTTTCTAAACCATTTCCAGTTCCAATTCAATTTTCAATTTCATTTCCACTGGCTGTAGCTAGTGTTTGCATTCAGCTTTTCAAGTTCAAGTTCAGGCCCGCGACTCAACCTCAACTCACATTCACATTCGATGCGGCCGACTGGCTGTACACCTGGGAAAAACTAGCTATCTAAGGTTGGATATGATATTCTCTTTTTAATGTATTTTACTACATTTTTTTTAATAACTTTGACTAATTCCTAATATTTTTAGATATGTATTACTATGCCAGTGGTAATCAAAAGAAGGCTATCAAATATTAACAAGTGATGGAAGACCAAACTTCACATTCTGCATTTTGCATTAATCAAGTACATACATTATTTTCTTTCAGTGCAACTGTTATTATCACAATCTTAACATTGTTTTCACTGTTCTCGAGCAGTGGGAAACTGTTTGGATCAGTGGACTTGTGCGTTCTCAAGGGGCATGTCTCTTGGCCGGACTTATCTGCTTATCGGTGCGCATTTTTGCACTTGAGTTTGGCTATCGAATTGGGATTCGAAACGAAAGTAAATAGGGTGTTTTGTAATCTCATTAATCACCCAACCACTTGTCTGCGCAGTGGAAGTGAATGTTATGGTTACACAAAATATGTGCTTAATTCGTAATCGTAAATCATTCACTTCGATCGAGTTCCTTGACAATAAGAAACCGTACCTTTTGTTCTGCTTAACTCGTTTTTTATTTACATATATTTTATTGCCCCTTTGTTTAACATTTTAATTCGATACAGAGAGGTTTTAAAACATATTTTTAAATTTGTTTATGGATTTAATTGGTTGTGCGGTTTTAATCAGAAACTCACTCACCTCACACCGAAAGCAGCAGAAAAAACGCGGGCACAGGAAAAACAACTTTTTAAAAATACAAATCAGCTGTTTTAAGTTATCTGTTTTTAATAAGATATTTACACTTTTTACTCTTTACTCTCCTTTTTTTTGCAGTGGAGGCCAATTAACTGGATCTCAGCGAATTAACAGACAAAAACAAAGGGAAGAGCGAAGTAAAGTGGACAGCACAGCGAAATTCTATCGACTTAAACTCTAGATTTACCACTCACTTTTGATGAACTGCCGCTGCGGGTGCTTAGGGTTTAGTCTTATGGGTTGAATTTTCCACGCACAGCCGATGGAAAACTTTCTTCTTGTGAAGTTTTTCACTCGCTCTTTTCGCCACGAGCGTTGGCACTGTAATGACTTACTACCTCGGCTAATTGAACGTTTTTATAATTCTGTTACTGTTTTTTTTTTTTTCTGTTTTGTTTGTCGTTTTTACTCGCAGAGCAGTAAAGTCAACAGAGGCAGCGACGTCGACGCTGGGAAACACGAAGCTCTCAATTTTAATTCACCGGACGAGCTTCGTTTTGCTGATAATTTACCTGTTGGGACAGGTGATAATGCCACATTGTGATAATAAAACAGCATTATAAACCACTGCCAAATGCTATAATAGGGTTGACTGGCGAGGATCTCACTCCCACTTCCAGCTGACCCTGTCAATTGGCTGGCTTTATGTGAGTTAACCGGTTAAAGAGAGAGAGAGAGAGAGAGTAATTACAATTAACTCTCTTTAGAGAGGATATGTACTCAGTTTGCAAAATGCAAAAATCGTGTGCCGCTCACGTGAGCACACTCGCACTTTCTGGCAAATTATTATTTAATTATTCTCTCGCCCGCATGAGAAACACATGGCGGTGCATGGATAGAGACTTTTACGATATTGACAAATTGACAAGCCCCATAAGGAGATTTATAGAAGGAGGAATTGACGTCAAGAAAGGGTTATCGACTCGAACGAAATATGATACATCCAGACGCGCTAAGAAACAGTTTTAAAGAAGACTCTGTCACTGACACCGTGAAAACGGATTATACAAGTGTTTTATAATCTGCACTATTCTCGAAATAATCAAAAGTATATATTTTTGGCTTAGTTTGAATTTAAAAACATTTTTAGTATACTTTTGGTTGGTTTTGTTTTGGGGAAAAAAGATTCTTATATATTTAAAGAGCACAGATTTGCTTTTTTCTTTTCATCAAAAATCGATGCTTAAAATCTCCATTATGGAAAAACCATTATTTTTATTGAAAGACATTGGAACAGGATAATCGAAAGAATTTATAACACAATTTTATTATATCCTCATTATACCAATAAACTCCATAAACCGTCTATGGTTGCGATAAGTCTAAGGCCAGTTCTGTTCTCCAGGTAGCCAATATCAACTGATTTTGGTTCTATAAAGAGTCGTAAAACACAATCTTGACCAGCAGTAGTCCGGTTATACTATATATATAGTGCCGCCCCATGAATGAGCGAACTACTTAAGAACGGGAAAAACTTAGTCACATGATTTCGGATTGTGGTTAGCGGATTAACCGAGCAACCCAACAACGGACTCTGCATAACCTTTCAGAGATCTCTTATCACCAGGGGCCATAAGTATGACATCTTCAAGTGCCATTCAATTGGCCATGCCAAATCATATTTAACCCAACTGTTTTACTTTTTAGTACCTGAGAATTATCTCGCTATTAATTGTATTTCAGAACTCGAGATAGGAGGTCTTTTTGATGACGGAATTGCTGGATCGATGAAGATATTTCAGCGCCACATTTGATCTGTTAACATTTCTTTTTGGGGCCCGTCGTTTTGCGCTGTCATGGGTTTGGTTTGGATTTCCATCTTTTTTTCACTGATGATAAGAAATCGCTTTTTGCGGGCTATTAACAATTTGGAAATAGATTGCATTTTCTCAGGTGCAAACAAAACGGTAAAAGTATTTGAAATTATCTATGATGAAATTCCAGGTAAATTTCTATTGAGTCGAAAGATGAGTCACAAAACTAAGGAGATAGCCAATCTAGGAGAGCAATAGAGTTGCCATTTAAAGTTAATTACGATTAACTCGAAATATCTTATCATCTATAAAAGACTAGACAGCTTGGAAGTATACCAACCTATGAGATGACAGGATTTCTTATTGACTTCTTGAAAATAAATTTATTAAGAATTCAGGCAGGCACAGAGTCACAAATTAATCCAACTGATAGGATCAGTTTTATATATTTAAGTTATTTATTATTAACTTTGCTTAATCTGATAGCAAGTCCTAAGAGCTGAAGCTTTTAAATTATGGTGTTAGTCATTCGATTTATGGGGTTTCTATATTTATAATAAAAGGAAGAGTGATTTACATTAACTATTAAGAACTTTAAGTAACATTTTGCAAGTAGAAGAGGTATTACTTTACATGACTATCCAAGATAACTACTTTCAAATGACTTAAGTAAAAATTCTTATAATCTTCATTGTTTATCTGCCAGGAGGAGCGCTAAAACTAGTTACTAAATCTATTGCACTTTCCATTGCCCTAACACCTAAGTACCAATTGACCAATTTTAGAGCCCAAATCTTTCAAATTATATCTCTTACTAAAAGTGTTATCAAACCAATTCCTTAAAAAATAGAACTATAGGCTACACTAGCCATCGTATTGAAAACAACACATAATCGCTATTATTTTTGCAAACATAATAAATTCTAGTGCAAAAAATAAAAAGGAAATAAATCAGTGTCGCGCTGAACATTGGATGGCTCGATTAGTAGGCGCGCCCTGGAGAGGAGGTAAATATGGTCATAAAACTTGGAGCCCCGGCGACAATATCGCAAATGGCCCCCATTGCAATCGAGTGCCTAGATAAGAAACGTGCCGCAAATCGGCCGAGTAACTTGCTCACGTTCACGTGATGTGCACGCCGATCCATCCGGCCGGGTACATCTACAGCAACCCAACCAACAGGTAAATCAGCACACAGGTAAAACCACAACAGCCCAACGACATCGACGATAATGAATAACGAGCACAATTAACAGCGGACGATGTGCTAAATGTTGATACAAAAAGGCTTATCTTGTCAACGATATTTGGCTCAGACAACCGGGGAAGCTTTACTAATGATCATGGAACGTTGGCCATTTATGATGCCTCAGGTGAAAGAATCCGACTAAACAGAGTTAAGTTACAGCAAACAGCGCCAATCATCGTTGTTTGAGCTGTCCGAGAGCGGCAAATAAATAACTTAGTGCTGTGAAATGTGTGCCAGTGAAAAATATTGGGTCTGTCATTACTCATACGACGCGTGTGCCAGCAAAAGAGCTGATTACATTTGCCATGAATGCCTAAAAGTAGACATCGGTTTCGAAACGTGGTGAAATCGAGGTGGGTTTATAAATATTTGTTATCTTTGAATTATCAATACTTGTTTTCGGAACATGTTTCTCGGTCAAATTTATCTAGTATCCTTTTATTTTTCTTGCATTCCTTAAACAAACATAAAACCTTTAACATATAACATCATTTTCATACAAAACTGCACACCAACATTTTAATTTAAACATAATTTACTCATAGTTAAAAATTTAATAACTTATCGCTTACCAAAACACAACAAAATGCCTTGCAGAGTCGGTGATATCGATTCGATTTCTTCCAGGTTCCAGCCTAGTGTAAGAATTGGAAACTGGGTAGAAGAAAACTGTCTGGAGGAGGTAAGATATTAAAAATAAGTATATAAATATAAGCAGTTAGTTATATAAACATTTAATCTAGGACAAAATAGTGAACTTCAAGAGACAACGCGATCGAGGCGAACTTCTGGTGGAAAAGGCACGCACACTATATGATAATTTCCACAAGGAGATCGTTTTGGCCGCCCCCAAACAGACCATTATTTTTGGAGCTATTGTCCAATTAATGCCCATCTATATGAACATCGGTGATATGGAGACATCCGATCTGAATGCCGCTTTGTCAGTGGTTATCAATGAAAAGGTGGTGCGAAAGAGTCAATCGGTGAATGAGGATTGCGAACTAACTGTGGCGCCGTCGAAGAAGCCCTGTGTACGGAACTCTTTTAAGATAATCAGTGGAGATGGTCGGGATCGCACTGGGGAGAACATCAAGTACGGCCAACGATTCCAGCTGCAGTGCATGGCCTCGGAAAGCGATCCCATTGTAGTGTACAGTGGGCCCAAGGGGCAAAATCTGCAGCAGGGCGTTAAGGCCACTTATTTGTCGCACAAGCACGGGGAGCTAAATCTCAATCTGGGACTTGCTCATCGAAGTGTAAGTACTAGTTTTAATCTATATATATATATATACACAGATCTCCTTTAGAGATTTAGCTGTCCGGACAACGACATACCCTTGGCCTATACGAATTGGTTCTGCAGGCATGTTGACCCAAAGCAGCGTTTTGAAAGCGAAGGAGAAGATATTCCTGTAAATAAAAAATTCTAACTATATTAAGATAATATTGAAATCTACTCTACTACAGAGTAACACCCCTTTGGTGATTGTACACGCAACCACAAATCGAAATCTAGCTGCGGAAAATGTTCTAATTCAAACCCTTTTTGGCCCGGAATTTCTGGTATCCGTACAAAACTATCGTAACATCTATAAGCACGAGATCTGGAAAAACGTGTGGATGATCAGCAATGGACATCATGGACATGGAAGTTCTACGTCTCACTGAGTTCCTAAAGTATAAAGAGTTTTAAGAACATAACATATTCCAAGGAAAACGGGCACAGCAATTAAGTGCTGTGTGAACTTGATTTTTATGTGGCGAAAATTTAAATTTCGCACATAAACATTGCTGGGCCGAGCCCCTGCTGTTTGGCCTAGATAGAAATTGGCATTTGTCGGGCTAATTTAAAGAGAAACCAACTTTAACTGGAACGGTACTTAAGATAATTGGTAGATTCGGTTTAAATTTAAGATTTTGATTATATTCTTTGGGGTCATAAGCCAACCCTAACAGAATATATGTTAAATTTCTAATATTAGAAAACTGGCAAATATTTAACAATCGATTGACGTATTTTTTTGGCCTCTCTAAATTAATAAAACAATCTAACAACGAAAATAAATGACCCCCCACCTAGTTTCCCCGCCTTATCAGAGCTTCTTCCCACACAAAGTGTGCCATTCAGGCGATAAAACCACTCGAACGTAACACCAAACCAGACCTATAAATAGAGAATAACAGAACGACATTCAACACACTCAACCTTTGCCATGTCTTCGGTTAACAATCTAGTAAAACTTTCGATCCTACTCCTCGTGGTGACTTTTGTTCACTGTGAAATGGATATGGCCGAAGAGTCACGGATTATTGGTGGACAGTTTGCTTCGCCTGGGCAATTCCCGCATCAGGTGTCGCTACAATTGAATGGTCGTCATCATTGCGGTGGTTCCCTGATCTCTGAGACGATGATCGTGACAGCTGCCCACTGCACTATGGGTCAGAATCCGGGTCAGATGAAGGCCATTGTAGGAACCAACGATCTGAGTGCCGGAAATGGTCAAACCTTCAGCATTGCCCAATTCATCATCCATCCGCAGTACAATCCGCAGAGTCAGGACTTCGATATGTCACTGATAAGGTTGAGCAGCCCGGTTCCAATGGGAGGTGCTGTGAAGACCATTCAATTGGCGGATTCGGACTCAAATTACGCCGCCGATACGATGGCCATGATAAGCGGTTTCGGCGCCATCAACCAGAACCTTCAACTGCCCAATCGTCTTAAGTTCGCCCAGGTCCAATTGTGGAGTCGTGATTACTGCAATGCCCAGAATATTCCTGGTCTCACCGATCGCATGGTATGTGCCGGGCATCCTAGTGGACAAGTCAGCTCTTGCCAGGGTGACTCTGGTGGCCCACTGACCGTCGATGGCAAGCTGTTCGGTGTGGTGTCCTGGGGATTCGGCTGTGGGGCTAAGGGACGTCCGGCCATGTACACCTATGTGGGTGCTCTGAGGTCCTGGATCAAACAGAATGCAAATGTGTAATTGGAAAAAGGAATTGGTTAATCATTCACTAATCGGCTTGACTAAAACTTAATGCAATACTACTAATCTGTGTTTTATTTTTATATTTCTGTTGATATTCAGATTTTAGTTCCAATGGTATGGTATTCATATAAATTGAAATTTTCTTATATGGTGGCGATGATACGGTTTTTGTTTTATTAATATTTTTGGAAATCTTTCACATTTGCTTTAAAGAGTTAGCCTTGAAGTTTTTAATGAGTAATTTGGAATAATTCTGATTGCTTTAATTTCACATTTTTCCAAGTATGCACAATTCCTAAAATTACAGCATGACTTAATGTGTATAACAATCAACTTCTTAGGCCAAAAAACTTTACACAAATAACACTTCATAATCAAAAAAAGGAAATACATAAACATTATCGTAGAGTCAAGTTTGCTTCCTTTATTATTATAAAAAACTAAATAATATAAAAATAGCTTGAGAAATATAAAAAATGTATTTATTTCATTAAGATAATAAACTTATTAGTAAAGTTTTTTTTTAATTTGTGGGAAACCTAGGTCATTTTTAGGTGTTTTTACACATTTACATTTGTAATACACTTGGAACTATATTTAAAATACTAGCAGAATGTTTCCGCAGATGTTGCAAATCTCTTTTTCTACAGCTTAAGTCTTCTCCTTAAAAACAGCATTGTTTTGTTATTTTTTACTGGAACGCATTTTATTTTCCTAGTTGACCGGGCCAGGTATTGTACCGAACGCACCAAGCGCACCGCTTTCGCCTTCTTTTTCCATTCGATCCACAATCATTCCGATAATAGCACACTCCTGTACAAGCAGAACAACATGCGACTATATACTGACTTTGTCCTTCCTGAGGAAGGATCATAAGGACGCCGACTAAGGCCAAAAGGACAATCTAGGAAGGATGCTAATTATTTTTGGGTTATTTTATTCTCTATTTCACTGTACTGACCAATAATTTCATGCTGGCTTATAATTTGGAACTGAAGTGGATTGCAGAGGGGACCTCTATTTTATACACCATTTGAGGAATGGGTTGGGAATGTATTTCGTCTAAATCCGGGTACCCTCGATAAGATTCTTATGAAAGCTCCACTTTCAAAGAAATAACTTCATCATAAAATGTTGTATAAAATTATCAGGGTATTCTTTGAAACTGCTAGAAACCTACCACGAAACTAGATTTGTATACCAATCATTTTTTCTTATGAAAGCTCCAATTTCAAAGAAATAACTTAATCATAAAATGTTGTATAAAATTATCAGGGTATTCTTTAAAACTGCTAGAAACCTACCACGAAACTAGATTTGTATACCAATCATTTCTAATAATAAGAGATAAATAAAAAATTCAAATTTTAAAATCTTACAATGCAATGCAAATTCAATGTCTCTTCTAGGAGAAGTCAAAAAAATCAACCGTTTCTAGGAAATGTTTTTATTTTTTCAAGTGAATAAAATGTTTAAGGAGAACTATTTTTATACATTTTTACACAACACACCTCTACAGATATGTATATAAAAATTACCATTCGAAAGCCCCAGCAGCTTTGGCTATTCTCTTTTTCCCATACCTTAGCCCAAGCAAATCCAATAAAAAACAAATAAAAATCCAAATGTAACAGCATTGTTTTAATGTTAATGAAACAAACAAGACTATCGGTCTGTTTTCATCTTGAACGCAAATTATTTTCCCTGACGCCCGGGGTAGTGGCCATAGCACCAAGCGCATCGCTTTCGCCTTCTTTTTCCATACGATCCACAATCATTAGAATAATAGCACTCTCCCTCACAATAAGAACAAGATACGACTATATACTGACTTTGTCCTTCCTGGGGAAGGATCATAAGGACGCCGACTAAGGCCAAAAGGACAGTCTAGGAAGGATGCCAATTATTTTTGGGATACTTTATTTGCTTTCACTGTACTCACCAATAATTTCATGCTGGTTTATAATTTAGAACTGAAGTGGATTGAAGAGAGACCTGTATTTTATACCTAATTTGAGGAATGTGCTTGGAATGTCGTTGGTCCAAATGGAAGAACCCGCGATAAGAATTGTATGATGGCTCCACTTTCAAAAAATAACCTGGTCATTAAATATGGAATAAAATTCTTATGGTATTCTTTAGAACTACTACTTACCTACTACCGAATTAGATCTGTAAACCAATCAGTCCTAATAATAAAAAATAATAATTATAACAATTCAAATTTTACAAATGAAATGTATTGTAAGAAGCAAAGAAATCAAAAAATTTGTTTTAGGTTTCAATACCCATTATTTTACTAACACTAAAATTTTTTAAGTGTATATAATTTTTAAGATAAATGTAAGCTAAAAATAAGTTTCAAATAAAACATAAAATATATGGCATATTCTTATCGGGACATTATCCGCTTATAAAGGAATTTTGAAGACTGAATTTGTCCCACGGATTAGAATAATCATTGAATTGCTTATTAAACATAATATTTTAGTTTTTAGCTTGTGTCTGTTTATTCGCTTTAATTTGGTTATTTATGTTATTAAAACGGATCATTACAAAAATGTATACCAAAAGCCGAAAGTATCTTAGCCTTATTTAATCTTCTAATGTTTCATCCCAAGACTACCATTTTTCAGGATCGGACATCCGGGAAAAAAGAAAAATAGTACTGTTTTGAGGAGGGGATTAGTTTATGCCACCCTTTTTATAAATAATTTATAATTTATAACTTTACGAAAAAGCGGTGCCGTTACGTTGTTAAAGAAAAGGCTGAAAGATTTGAATTTGATTGCTTTATTTTCGCAGCGATGTGACTGTCTTTCTACAGAGATAAAAAGGGAATGTTAAGACGAGCCGAGAAATCTAACACATAATTCAGCATACACTTGTTCTTGTCAGTGATGCTGACCAAATAGTAAGAAGTGATTTAAACTTTAGCTAGGTGACTGCTCTCGACAAATACTTTGAATCAAACAGCTCAGTTATTTTAAGTGCAATGACATCGACATGGAAACCAGTGCTAAAGGCCTTTCATGTGACCTACCATTAAGTTCAGACTTATTGTGTTTTATATGTTTCAAGATCTATTGTTCGAATGATATACACCAGGGATGCTCAACGCCTATGCTCAAAATGCTCATTTGTTTTTGTAAATGCTCGAAGCATAGCGGCTTGTTAGCCCATAAGCTTTCAGCGCTCGCCGCAAAATCTGAACACATTTTATTTTCCTCCAAAGTTTGTTAAGTGGAAATTTAGTCTATCAAATTCTCTTCATGGACAATAAGACTCTAAATATTTTATAGTGAATAGAATATAAAACATTTCAAGAAATATGCTTATCAATTTATGTGCTAAAAAATGCAAAGTATTTCAAATTAGGGTTGTTGATAATAGACATAACATGTGGCAATGGAATGCGAAAAATATGAAAGATTTTTTAATATTTAGAAGCGAGCAGCTCACTTATGTACATTAAGTCTAGCGACATGAGCAGTCGAGAAGTAGAACTTATCAGTGCTAAAGGCATGTCGGCTGCAACTTCAAACGTAGGTTGTTTCATATGTGGCAAGTTCTTTTGTTCGACAGACAGTATTTATGCCACTAAAAAATGTGGACACGTCTTCCACAAGGATTGCCTACTGCGGTGTCTAAGCAAATCGGTCTCGTGCCCCCAGTGTCATTCTCCCTGCCACAATCATCTTATCCACAAACTTAACCTGAACTTTGGCGATGCAACGAATCTCTACAGCACAGAGTCTAGTACTTTCTATTTCGAGTGGATGTTATTGGATCTGGTTGGGGAGGACAGTACGATCCAATCCCATCTGCCCCCTGAGGGTGCTATTGAATGTGGTCTCAGCGAGAATGGACATCCCACATTTGTAGCACGAACTTACTTTAAAGACGATTGCCTCCCGGCCCAATATGTGCCCAGTGAAAAGAGGGCCTATTTGAGTCGGAATGGTCGCGCTTATATAAGTCGCACAGTTGTGGAGTTGCTGGTGTTAAAAGATTGTGACTACAATTGGGTGGCTGGTCGGCATGGTACTCATCCGTACGATGCGCTGCCCACCGGATACTCGCATCTCGGCGAGGTGACCTACACAGGACGCAGCCTTTTCGGTGGAGTCATCCGTCTGGGCAAGGTTTATCCGTCTTACAAAAAGATGTTCATACCACACCAGCGACAGGAGATGGGTCTAGATTCCTACGAGGTTCTAGTGGTTACTCCACGAGAGCAGGTCGACCGCTAATACAACAAAGATAAAAATGTTTTTGTATGAAGATAAAAAAGAATACAAAATATTTTGTAAAATATAAAAGTATTACCAAATTTAATCGCATTCGAATTTGTCCATTGATAGATAGGTAGAGCAAGTAAGTTTATTTAATCCCGCAAGTCTCTATCCCCAATCCCCCAATAAATATGTTTATTTTATAAATTTATATTCTCAAAACCAAAATTCGTTGGCTCTCTTATCGTAAGAGAAGTGTTTTTCATTAGGTAAGTGTTGGCTCTCTTAACACCCGAAAAATGTATAAAAACAAAAATAAGATTATAGTCAAGTGATTCGAACAGAGCATACCCCTTACTCTGCTTACCAATATATCTATATATTTAGTCATGTATAAAGACTTTATCCCTATTTTACCTAATTTTTTTTTATCGAGTTCTCAGCCTCCATACGGGCAAACCTGCAGACTGACGGACATGCCTAAATATTTTCTAAACCCTTCCTTCTCTTCATAACATATTTTCCAACATGCTCAATATACCCTTTAACTGTACAAGCAATAGGTGCTTTGGAACTTGTTATTTTCTACGCGTTATAGCTTAGTCAGTCAGGCAGAGAGCTGCGACATGGAGAGCCAAAAAGTTGAGACTACCAGCGCGGATGACACAATCTCCGCGGCTGACTCATCGCCGGCGTTGAATGTTTTGTGTTCCATATGTGACGCGTTCCTTAGAGCGAACGACATTGTTTGTAACACCAACAAGTGCGGTCACGTTTTCCACAAGAACTGCCTAACTTCTTGGCTAGATAGTTCCCTCACCTGCCCACAGTGCCAGACCCCATGCGACCAAAATCTCATCACCAGAATATACCTTAACTTTGCCGAAGCCACAAAGGCCTGCGATGAGACCCCTTCCGTTACGAAGTTCTATAAAATGGATACCCATTTCGAGTGGGTCCCCATGAATCTCGATGAGGATAGCCGTACGGAGGACTCGCATCTGACCCCCGCTGGAGCTCTACGATGTGGGGTCAACGAGAAGGGGCATCCCACATATGTGGCTCGTGCCTATTTCAATAACGATCGCCTGCCGGCTCACTATGTACCGAAGGAAAAGGTTGCCTATGGAGGATGGGATGGTCATGCCTATGCTTTAACAGATGGCGTTGAGGTTCTGGTGCTGAAAGATTGTGACCACGAGTGGGTGGATGGTAATGATGGATCCTATCCGGAAGATTCTTTGCCAACTGGATATTCCCATTGGGGTGAGGTCACATACACGGGACGCGGCTGGCACGAGGGAGTGCTCCGACTGGGCAAGGTCCATCCTTCCCACAAGAAAATGTTCGTACCACACCAGGATGAGGAGGTTGGCCTTAAGGAGTACGAAGTTTTGGTGATCACGCCACGGCAGCTTTCATATTCTTAATCATTATGTTTTTTACAGCTACGTACACAAAATTATAACTTGTTCAGCTTTTAAAAAAATATAAAATTGTGTGATATTTTCGTAAAATATTTTAAATTAGTTTGATTAAATAAAGTTTTGTTTTAAAATCGGTTTGGGTTCAGTTTAATTGTATGTTTTATGTCAGCTAACAACTATTGTTTACCATATGAATATTTAGACCGCACTTGTACATAAATATAGAGAACTGATTAGTAATCTGGCTGATAATTCCATAGCTCATTTTTGAGATTGTCATTTTCTCAACGCTCATATTAAACCATCTTTTCTCATCTCGATTTTGTTGGTCACATAAATATGTAGAACCACATTTGTTTTATTATATGAGTTGATAAATATATAATAAACCTATGTAGAAAATACTTCTGAGAACAGCTCCCTACACGGTTCGTTTACTCAGTACTAAAATTGTCCACTAGGTTGAGCTGATTTGTTTAGCTGCCGTCCCATGGATTCAGCGCACTCCAGCAGTTCGGGAAAAATTCAAACACAAATTGATACGTAATTTTAATTTATCTTAATTCTATTGGAGAGTAAAAGAAGGAAGGTGGAACATGGAACTCACCTTCAACTCCAAACGTAGGGTGTATCAGGATTTTTTTAAAAATGAAGCAAGCAAGACTTATGATTTATCACAATGCATTATCGTTTATTTGCTTTTTGCATAGAAATCTGGAATATTTTTTCTTGAGTACAAATTATTTTCCTAATTTGGGATTGGATGGAAATTCGATTCCTGAATCCCAGACTATCACATGCCGTTTAACTCTTGTCCGTAGAAAACGAGGATAATTGCACTCTGCGTTAAAAATGCAGCAAAGTACCTCCTAAGGAGCGATCATAATACCTCCGACTAAAGCCAAAAGGACAATCTAGGAAGCCAACCATTTACTTTTCGTATACTTGATTGATTATTTTTCCATACGTACCAATAATTTCATGTTGCTTATATTTTGGAACTGAACTGAATTGCAAAGAAGACATATATTTTATGCCCCATTTAGAAACGCGCGCTCAGCTAAATCGGTAGACCGTTGATAAGACTTTATAGAATCTCTACACTTAAAATAATAACAAAGTAATTCATTATTGATTAGAAGTTCCAGAGCATTCTTCGAAACTACTACTGGGCTACCATGAAATTCGTTTTACATGTCTTTAAATATATTAAAGCTTATATAATATATTTCAAGAGACATACTTATCCCATTATGTGCTTCGAATATAAAATATATATGTGTTTAAAAATCATAGAAATTAAGAGATAGTATAGTATAATAATATATAAGACATATTAATAATATATAAGACATGTGGCGATGGTAACCGAAAAGTGTGTGGCATGTTCTATGGTTCCAATGGCTGCTTTTTTTCTATGAAAAAATGTTATAAGAAATAATAATACATACATAAAACTATGAGTATTGATGTATGCGGATGGTTTATCGTTTATTTAAATGAAAATTAAAATCATTAACATTTTGGTTTTAAACGTTCGGTGGTGGATATCGGATTACTAAAATCTAGGAATAAAACCACTTATTTTTTAGATACTTTATTCCCTATTTCATTGTACTCACCAATAATTTCATGTTGGTTTATAATTTGGAACTGAACTAAATTGCAAAGGGGACCACAATTTTATACCGAATTTAAGAATTTGGGAAATACCAGTACCAGAATAAAGAGCGTATAAACTACTTCTAGCTTACTGCGAAATTCAATTTTTATGTCATTAATAATTTTGATGTTGTTCATGCTTGTCATATATTTTGCTCCAAGTTCATGGAAATAAAAAAATATTTCACTTTATGTGCTAAAAATTTATAGAATTTGATAACCAAGGTTATTGACCAAATGGGGTCAAATCTTATACAAAGAAGTATGTCTGTCTGCTGTTCCTAAAAACTTACATATACCAGAATTGTATTTAAAATGTAACAACTTAAGATTTTTAATTTATCTCAATGGATATTCGTTTATTTAGCTTTTGCATTAAAGTCTGAAAGGGTTTTTTCTTGAAAATATATCATTTTCCCCGATTGCTGTTAGGTGGAAATAGAATTTTGTTAGATTTCCAGACGTAAAGTCCTAATTTAAAACTGTGGTGAAGTAAGCCACTTTGTCCTTCCTGAGCAAGGATCATAAGAACACCGACTAAGACCAAGAACACAATCTAGGAAAACGATCTAATCGGTTTTTAGGATCCTTGATACTGTATTTCACTGTACTCACCAATAATTTCATTTCGTTCTATAATTTGGAACTGAAGTGAATTGCAAAAGAGACCCCAATTTTATACCCGATTAGATGAGATGAGTAGAGATGAGTATGACATTATGTGCTACAAATTTATAGAAACTGATAACCAAGGTTATTGATTATATATATGGCATGAGGAGTGAGCATCCGAAAAATATGCAGCAAGTTCTATTGTTCGAATGGCAGAATTTTTTCCCACATATATCAAATCTTCTACAAATATGTATCTGTATCTGCTGTGCCTAAAAACTTACATATACCATTCATACCTGTATTTAAACTATTATTTTTTCTCTATAATTTATGCTTTATTTACTTTTTGCAGTAAAAACTGTAGTAATTTTTTCTTGAAAATATATTATTTTCCCCGATGCCTGCGAGATGGATATGAGATATTTCCGACCCAGACCTCAACTGCTCTATGAATTCTCTTATGCAGTAAGCCACTTTGTCCTTCCTGAGGAAGGATCATAAGAACACCGACTATGACCAAAAAGACAATCTAGGGAGTAGACCAATTATTTTTGGTATCCTTGGAAATCTCTTTCACTGTACTCACCAATAATTTCATGTTGGTTTATGATTTGATACTGAACCGAATTGCAAAAGGAACCTTAATTTTATAATTCATATTGCGACAGAACCAAAAGTTCATCGATAAGGCTCTTCTACATTGTTGTTGATTAAAAGAACCAGAGCAATCTACGAAATTGTTTCTATGTTTTTCGTAATTCAATTTATATGTCTTAAAATATTTTAAGGTGTATATGATATATTTCAAGAGTCATTCTCATCACATTATGAAATACAATGGTGTTGATAATATTTATATTTCGTGCCACAGTAACATTCGAAAAAGAATGTGTCATACTGGATGTGGAGGTCGTATAAACGGGACTCAATCGGTACAAGGGTTTGCTCCATCTGGACAAGATTCATCCACGAAAGCTCCAAGAATCTCAAAAATTATAAAGAGATTCCTTTGCGAAACATTCATGTATATTTCTCGTACATCTACGGACATAACTATATAACTTGTTGAGCCTTAAACAGAGTGTCTGTACATATGTAGGTATTAAAAACCTTGACTATTAATTCTATTGCTTATATTTGTGATTAACATTTTTTCAACGCTCATAATAAATAATACCTATTCACCCCAAATATATAAATTTGTATAACGTAAATATTTCGACATGTAAGGTGAGCTATCTACATGAGTTGGGCATACATAACCAAAATTATCTGCAAGGTTGCGCTGATTGTTCAGCTGTCATCCCATAGATGGCGACAATAAAGCGAGCCTTAAAATCACGAAGTAAATTTAAGGTAATCGATGTAATTCATTCTAAGTTGAAAAATTAACATTTAAGCTAGAGAAGTACTTAAAACTACTACTAGTCAACACGGAAATTCAATGTATAAAGGTTATACTATAAACCTTTTTATATTTTTAAGTGTATATAACATATTTAATGAGACATTTCTCTCAATGAATTATCCTTTATTTATTTCTTGCATTAAAAACTATAGTAATTTCTTCTTGAAAATAATTTATCTTCCCAGTTGTCTGTCAGGTGGAAATGGGACTCTTGGGTCCCAATTCAGCGCTTCTATACTAAATTTATTAATAATATTGTAATGTAAGCCAGAACGCCGACTAAGACCAAAAGGAAAATATGGGAAGGAGACCAATAGTTTTTAGGGATCCTTGAATCTTTATTACACTGTACTCACCAATAATTTGATTTTGGTTTATAATTAGAAACTGAACTGATTAGCAAAGGGGACCTTACTTTTATACCCGATTTAAGAAATTATGTCATTAAAAATTTTGTTGTGGTTCATGCTTATAATATTATTACATATTAAGACTTTTAATTTTTTTTTAATGGATTATCGTTTATTTACTTTTTTCATTAAAGTCTGAAATGGTTTTTTCTTGAAAATTTATTATTTTCCCAGATGGGTTATAGGGTATCTGGTATCTACGGCCCAGGCTGAATAGACACTTGTTTCTTCCTGAGCAGGGATCATTGGCTTGAAGTCACTTTGTCCTTCCTGAGCATGGATCATTGGCTTAAAGTAACTTTGTCCTTCCTGAGCAAGGATCATTGGCTTAAAGTAACTTTGTCCTTCCTGAGCAAGGATCATTGGCTTAAAGTAACTTTGTCCTTCCTGAGCAAGGATCATAAGAACGCCGACTAAGACCAACAAGACAATCTAGGAAAAAGACCGATTATTTTTGGGATACTTTATTCTCTATTTCTCTGTACTCACCAATAATTTCATTTTGGTTTATAATTTGGAACTGAACTGAATTGCAAAGGGGACCTCACTTTTATATCCGATTTAAGAAGTGGGGAAATACCAGTACCAGACTAAGAAATAAGATTTATATGTCATTAAATATTTTGATTTGGTTCATGCTTATCATATTATGTGCTCTAAGTTGTTGGAATTTTAAAAAAAAGCAATAACATTTAAAAATATATTTTAAATTTTTAACCAGAAATGAGTATAACATTATGTGCTAAAAATTTATAGAACTTGATAACCAAGGTTATTGATAATATATACGGCTTGAGGAGTTAGCAACCGAAAAATGTGTAGCAAGTTTTTATATTCGGATGACAGAATTTTTCGCACTAAAGATGTGGGCATATCTTCTACAAAGATGTAAAATAGAACAATTTTAAAGTGTATATAATGTAAGTCATGCTTATCACATTATGAGAAACAATGGTTTTGATAATATACATACATATTTCGTGTGACAATAACATTTGAAAAAGATGTAGACAATTCTACTGTTTTATAATATTATAAATAATTATGAAGATCTTCCTTTGAGGAAGGCTACGGACATAACAATAAAAATCTAAAAACAATTCACTTGTAAAATATTTTTACCATCTGTACAAAGGTATTAAAAGCCTTTGAACATTCACATTAAAATTTTTCAACGCTCATAATAAATAATCTCTTTTCACCCCAAGTATATATTTAATCAGTATCTTACAAATATTTCAACAAGTAAAATATGCTATCTACTTAAGTTTGGTATACATAACCAAAACTATCCGCAATGTTGCCCTGATTGTTCAGCTGCCATCCCATAGATGGCGACAGTAAATCAAAGTAATTCAATCCAAGTTGAAAAATTCATGTTTAGGCTATATTTTTAGATACTCACGCTGCGATATGTACAAATTATCCAAATTTGAAAGACATACAAACATTTTCAATTCACATAGTTTTATTTATAACTGTATCTGATTTCTTGCACAATTTTTGCTTCCTTACTACACATTTACTACGGTCTTAGTTAACTATTGTAAGTTTAGTTTAAAAAAAGATTATCGACCACTTCCTATGGCTTTTGGTTTCGTATGTTAAATGTAAATGCCGCCTACAGTGAAGCTCGCTGGCTGGAATAAAACATAGCAAATGAAAAACAACGCGCAACTCTCTTGGCTATCATGCGGATATAATATGTACGTTTTAGTCTTGAATAAAACAGTATATTTAATCATAGTTATGTACACATTCTGCAGGATGCGATATGAAATTGTACAGTACAGTATATACACAGTCGCTGTGATTGTGACCTAGCCTAAATCTAGAAGAGTTCGATGAACGATTACGGAGTAACATACAAATCTGTGTAAGAATGCGTCCGTTATAAATAGAAGGCACTATGCACATTTGCATTAAGGACTAACCACTATAGACTAACGCTATATATATATATATATCTTGTGTGATATCGGTAGTTTGGAAACTGATATATGTAAGTACTACAAGCTGGCTTTGTCCAACAAATAGGATATGTTGTCGTTTTGAGAATCCAACGAAGGGAAATGCAACGGACTTTCAAAGAGAACACAAAGTTAACCGAAATCTAAAAGTAATTTGACATAAGGTTAGCAACGCTCCTCGTCTAAAAATTAAGCAACACAAGACTGTCCCTAAATGGTACGAAAATAAATAAAATCAAAGTTTTGGTTCGCCATTCAGAGAGAATAGTTAATATGTAATAAAAATAAAAAATAAAATATATATGGGAATGCTAGAGGTCAAAAGGCGAAAGAAAGGCTATCACCAAATGCTTTCCAACTTAGACTTAGCCTAAGGCTTACACACTAAAACATATATTTGGAATGAGGCTTTCGCAGAGCCATTTGATGACATTTTTTTTTTTTTTGTAAAATTCATAAATAATCCGGAAAATAAGTCAAGTAGTTAGAGACAAGGTGTTCACACTTTTCGTAAATTGTGCTAAATGTTTACAAATTTAAATGCAAAAATTGCGCTACGACTTCGTTTGGTTGGCCAGCACTTGTTTATTTGGCCCAGGCTCCATTAACCTAATCCTAAGTGCTCCGACTTAGGTCTAGAAAACTTATCAACTTATAGCTACTGTACAGCAGTCGTTCTCTTTTTCTCAGTGTTTGTCTAGTCAGTGGATGTGTGTGTGTGTGTGGTACTTAGGGCTAAGTAACGTCTATTCTGTTGTTTGGAAATATATAAATTTTAATAATATTTATATAGCATGGCAAGTAATGCTGCTGCTGCTACTACTACAATCCACTTCCACTCCCACTCTCTATTGCACATGCCTCGGGGGAATCTAACTACTCCAACTCCTGACGCCACTTCATGTCCTGAATTTGCTTCCTTTTCTTCTGGTCCTGCCGCTATGCATGTGGTTGATGGTGTCGACGCGAAGTGGGCAACAGTAGGTTGCCCCTCGCATAGAAGTAGCCTCACAACTTGGAGCTGTCGTAGTTCTCGAGGGTCCACTGTTGGCGAGCAAGGCTCGAATTGCAGTCCTCCATCAGCAGCTTGTCCTTGCTGTCGCTGATGGCCAAACATTTACCAGAGGTGCCATGGTGCAGCTGCTTTGTGTTCTCGCGGAAAGTCCAGAACTGAAATGAAAATTCGTTCGAGAAATTTAGAATTTCATTGTTACATTGGTAAAGTAATCCTAATAAATTGATAAATATTTGTATTAAATTAATGTTTAAATAAAAAAAATACAGTCTCATTTCTGAAGGCAATATTTGGAACATTATCCTCTTTTTATCTTATCCCTCTCAACTTTTATTATTAAAACATTATAAAATATGTAGGTTTAAGATGAGATTTTACCTTACAAATATTTCCTACACTCACCTGATTTCCTTTGCCGCCGTGGCAGGCAAACAGCGTTACATCCTTGCCGGCATAATCGAGACAGGAGTCATCGCGTCGGATTTCACCAGCTTTGCTGAGCATCCAGTACTGTGGGAAATTCGCAGGGAAAAGACATTAATATAAATTGTAATGGCGGGGAATGCGTTTGCCAGTTGCCAAAAGTTTTTCCAGGGCTACAATCGCACAACTTATTACACACTAATGTTTTATTCAATTAAATGCCAAAAAGCAGCTCGGTTTCGTGTGACTGTGTTGGCAAGAGTGTACATATTCCTTTCTTTCTCTCTCTGTGTGTGTGTGTGTTAGTTTGAGTGTATTTGTATGGTGGTGAGACTGTGTGAGTCTGGGTTTTGTCTGAAACTCTCGGGCCATGATTATTTATAATTTAAAACACGTTGCCAATGCCAGATGGCCTGTGCTCGGTAGAGATTCTGCTGGTGACTGAAATTGCCTTTGTTTGCCCAGCTTGCCCGCCACGCCCCTTGATTCGCGTTCTGTCCCTCTCTCTATCCCTGTGAGTTCTCGCTGTCGGGTCGTGACCAGCCGCCATTTTGTGTTACCATTTCCGTTTCCGCACCGCCAGCCGGATGGAGAACCCCCATCTTTATTTTGTTTATAATGATGCCAGGACTGGAATAATGATGAGATTGGTCAGCGGAGGAGAGGTTCACTGGAGGTTTCCTACCATGAATAATTACTGTTATTGAATGACCGGTTCAATTAAGCCAGTTTCAAGGACTCGTCGTTAGCGGCGGGTGGTTAAAAATGGCGGAAAATGAAAATAGATGCCCTCAATTCAGGACCTGTGTTGTTAGCTTGGATGAGCTGATTTTAGTTTGAATTTAATTTTATTTCAGTTTTAAGAAAAAATTAAATAAAACTATTACAAATTCACAGTAAATCAGATCACTGTTTTTTAGTCAAATGTAAGATGACTTCTATTCAGATACTTTCTTTTGGTTGACCTGTAAACATCCTTTTAATCTCCATCTTGTAGTAATCCCACATACAATCGACGTATCCAGCCTAATGCACACTTTCACCGTCTGCCCAAGGACTTTTCCCTTTGCACCGATTATACTTCATGTTCATCCTCGCCCATTGTTTAGGCTTACAACCCACTACCCTTTTTCTCTTAACTTTCGTCCTTGGCGGTCTCAATTTGCATTTCTTTTATCATCGTTTTCCCTATCCCCCCGCGCTTGTATTGCGTTTTCTGTGTGTTTGCGCGAGATGCGTTTTTAATTACGTTTCTTGTTTGTGTGTGTTTTTTTTTGGTACCACTCTCCAGTTTTTATCTAGTGTAGTTTTTTATTTAGCTCCATTTTTTCCCGTTTTCCCACTGAACAAATTTGTTTTGCGGGTCGCGTAAAAATATTTTCGCTAGCCTAGACGCGTTTTTTCTTCCACATGAGAGGAATACTTTCATTATGTGGACAGTACTACTGACATCCCCCCTTGGTTTTTTTCCATGTGTGAAGCAGCTTTCCTTTGACATAGCAGTCAAAAGCGTTTTATTCCCCTTTTTACCCATTTCGCTGAATTCGCTGGCTAAATTTTACGATGTGCGAAATTAAAATTTGCGTGCAAAAAAGCGAGAATGCATGTCCCCCTTCTACGTCCATGTTCCTGCTGCTGCTGCTGCAGCCTGGCAAATGTTGATTATTTTAGCCGCATTTCCGAGTGCAGACAAACATTTGGTGGAATCTTTTTCGTACTTCCACCTCTCTCTCTTTTAAATGCGGCTTCTATTTTGTAGCATTGTCGGTGTGCGTGTGTGTGTGTGCGAGGGCTGTGGGCAGTGGGCGTGGCAGTTGTCTGTCTGGGGCGATTTTAGAGCAAGCGGAACGAGGTCAACAATTTTCCCCCCATTTTAAATGTTGAATATACAATATTCTCACACATCCGCAGAGTATCTGTGTGAGCTTAAAAAAAGTATCTTAACTTGTTCTTAGAACCGCTTAGTGTTTATCGACTCTTTGGGACATATTAATCATGCTTAATTACCATAAAATTACTTTTGAACGACAATACATGTTAAGATACAACCTAAGATACTGTATCTATGAAAGGTTAACATTAACTCATCTTAGCTAGGACACAGCTTTTAAGGATAAGTTTTATCTGTAGACCAGACTTCTTAGTATACATTAATATAACTGTGTAAAAATGTTATTTAATATAATAATTATTTAGTTGTTAGCTAGTTAAGGGTATCTAGTAGTCACCAAACTAAGAAGATGGCCTTTCGTTTTGGTGTCAGAGCTCGTTTGTGTCTGTGAAGGGTTCCATTGTTGCAGTTCATTTACTTTTGTTGCTTCTCTTTTGTAGTTCAAAATACTTGTAACTAAACCTTTTTGTGTTCTGGAACTTTGTTTGTTGGATATATATATGTATATATAGTAAATGTGATAGTTTTTTATTGTCTGGCTGAATGCATAAAAAAAGGGAAAAGCTGAAGCCAAAGCCAAAGCCAATGCCATGTAAATGATTTATCATTTGGCATTTTATTTATGATTGCGTTTTAATTAATATTTGTGACATGGCATAAATCGACCGAAGTCCCCAAAATATAACCAATTTTGTGTGTGTTTGTAGTATTATAGTGTGTGTGTGTGTGTGTTGGTTGTGTTGTTGGCGCGCTTGTTTGCATCCTGTAAAACTGTTAAATTGTCAATGCAATTTCAGTTGGCAACTTTTATTGATAAATACTTTCACTTATCCTAGGCAAATAAATTGAATATGAATTGTTTGCCAGAGAGCAGTAAATCCAAATTATTCATGTACTCTACAGATATTTGTTATTGTAGCCACAAACTCCGTCAAAATTAGTGCTCAAAACCGCAGGACTTTCACAGGGGTAGCAAATAACAACGACAAAAAATATTATTGTTGTCAGTCTTTTTTTTTGTTTTGGTAAAGAGGGATCCACTTTTTGGATAAAACACCTTTCAGAAGAGGACTTCCCACAACAGGCACCAAAAATCAAAAACAAAATACGGGGAACAACATTTCGAAACAAACAAAAGGCAAGAAATAAGTTAGAGTTTGGTTATTGGGATTTAACTACAAGAGTTTAAGGAAAGTTGTAACTAGAAAGTTTTAGCATTAATAAAAAGTGTTAAAAATTAATCTTTTGCGGTTAGGGTACTTCAGTTTAGGATGTTTATCTGGGAAAGTCTTTAAGCTAATTTGAAATTACGGAAAGTAAACTGGAATGTGTCTAGGAAAGTCTTAAGGAGGTGCTAGAAAATAAAGTTTGAAGGCAATAGTCCATAGAAAAGAGTATTTTTAAGTTATTTGAAAGATTTTTTAAGTAGCTAAAATAAGATTCATTCGAAGCTTATCAAAAAGAATATATTAAAGTTCTTCAACCTTGTAAGTTGGTTAAGCGATGATTATGTTATGTTGTGTGACTTGTAGAGGTTTACTGTCTAGTGTGGAACTGGGTTTTGGGTTTTAGGCAAAAGTTAATAAAGCAAGCAGAAAATTAATAAAATAAAAAAGGATACCAATATTAAAGAACAAACAGCGAAAAGCAAAAAACCAAAATAATAAAAAAGAAGTAAAAAACCGAAGCGGAACACCAAAAAAGGGAAAAGTTTCCCTTCAAGCGGATGGAGATCGAGAAATGGCGAATCAGAGACTCTGAATCGCTGCCTCCTCCTTTTCAGAGAGTTACAAAAAGTTCTGAGGATGTGGACATGGAGGTGGATACCTGATTTCCTCCTTGGCCATGGCACTCATAAATGGAAACCGGCGTTTCCTCATCGGATTTCTCTTTAGCATCCAGGCACATGCCGTTGGGCACGTTGGCGATCTGTAAATTAAGTTCACTATATAGCGGATCCATCTCTAACAGCATTATCAACAAGATTTGTTGGTCTTAAAGGGGGGAAATATAACACCCAATCGCCGGAGAAAGTTTAGTTTTTGGGGACACAAGTTTTTAGTAGCAGTAGTGGTAGTAATAGTAGTGGCAAAAAGAGTGGAAAAATGGAAAAAAATAAGTTCGATGTCCGAAGACGTTGTTCCTGGTTCGGTTTGCATTTTTTTTTTTCTGTTTTTTGGGCTGGACGGAGTTTGTGGCGGTCGCAGTGCTGTCGACGAGATGGGTTAACAAACCTGATTTCCACCCTGCCGATGGCAGGGATACGTGCCCACGGCCTTCTTCTGGTGCTTCTTGCCAGCAGGTGCGTCCAAGCAGGTGCGACCGCCATAACCTAGATTTCTTATCTGTGGATTGGATTGTGTTTATGGGTTGTCGTTTGTTTTTGGTTAGATATTAGTCATTAGATTTGGGGTGGTGTTTAGCAGGGTTGAGGGTTTTGGGGTTTGGTAAAGGGTTAAGAGGATTATGCAAAGCGGAAAACTTACCTCTCCATGGGCCACCGAATCGCCGGGAATGAAGAGTTCGGGGTAAATGTTGTCCAAATACCACTTGAAGCTTTTGCACTTGAGATCGTTACTGTTCGGAAAAGAAAGTGGGATAAAATATATCAAATTTAATATCAAAGATACATGTAAAAAGAAATTCAAGGTTAGCCTTAAGAAAGTATACGAGGTGTGTTCAAAAAGTAAGGTGACTCTTCAAATTTCGCGAATTTCAAATTTTTCGATTATCGATTTTTTTGTTTTGTTATATTGGTACACTCTTCCCTAACATCTGTACCAAGTTTCAATGGAACATCCTCTTTTGTTTGGTTGTGAGAGGCGTAAAGTTACAAGTTGTTTTGCGAGCTCGGCGATTTTTTGCTATCGAAAAATATGGATCAAAGGATTTGGATTTTTTGGCCAAAAACAACACCACAATAATGCCTCAGCCACCATATTCACCGGATTTGGCCCCATGTGACTTTTTCTTGTTCCCAAAACTGAAGATAATCGAAAAATTTGAAAAATTTGAAATTTGAAAAGTCACCTTACTTTTTGAACACAACTCGAAAACTTCTAAAAGGTTTCGATAATCGAAAAATTTGAAATTCGCGAAATTTGAAGAGTCACCTTACTTTTTGAACACACCTCGTATATCTTTCAAGATTTATAACCAACTTACCGGAGTTTCCTGCGATCACTGACATCTCCCCAATCTCCCTTGTCGTTGCCGATGCGGTGATAGTAGTACTGCGAGTACTCATCCATCCAAACTTCGGCCAATCGCACGGAGTTCTTCTTCAGCACATTCACGCCCGAACGCCACTGCAATTGAAGGGAACCAAAATGGCCATGAGTGGGTGGGGTAGTGGTGAAACGTGGTGGCGGTGGAATGAGGTGGATGGCAAAAGCACAATCAGTGGACGGTTGCCAGTGCCGGAGTCAATGGAAATATTTGGTCAGCAAACAGAGTCGTCGAATCGAGTTGGCCGCAGGATGGAGAGGAGGACAAGAAGGAGGACCAAGCGGAGTGGACAACAAAGCCTAATTACCTGAATGAGTAGCTTTTGCTTAGTGGCATTAGGTGGCTCCTACCGTAGCCAGCCAGTTCTCAGCCCTTTTGTGGTTATTCCATGGCCAGCTGGCCATCTGTCTTGGATACCCCACCCTGTCCCTTCCCAGGCTCTTTTGTACCAGAAACCGAACAATGTCCGCCTGTTGTATGTCTTGTTTTGTGTTTATGCGTTCATCGTACAGGTGTCTCTCTGTGTGCGTGTGTGTGTGTGTGTCTGGGTGCATTCTTGGCCAAAAAGGAAAATACCTGGTCCATGGGGGAAGTGCAAACACTTCGGACATTTATTGAAAACACCAGCTAAAGCCGTAAATTGTGAGGGTCTTCGTAATCAATGGCATTGCGATAAAGACAACGATCTGTTGCCATTCCTTTGAAATCGAATGATTTGATGTTGCCAGCTCTGATAATCCAATTGAATTGTTAAACTCTCTGTTTATTATTGTTCTAAAACAGAGTTTAATTATAGTAATGCGTCTATAACTTGGCCACATATGGCATTAGTTTGTTCAATTTCGCCTGTTTGATTTGTTTTTGCGTTTTAAATAGAATTCAATCCTATTGTTTCTGCTTGTAATTAAGTGATATTATTTGGTTGCTTTTGTTTGGAAAAAGGTAATTGCATTTAATAAATCGCTACTGAAATATTAACATTTTAGCAAAAACTGTATTCGCCATTAGTTTGCAGTTTTTAAACAATGAAATTTAATTAATGTTTGACAATGAAAATGTATTTAAAATAAGATTTCTCTTTATTGATAGTTCTATTTTGAGTATAGTTCAGCTCTTGTTTTTATATCTTTACCTAACTGGCGATTATCTAAGTCATAAGGACAACACACTCCCCTGAGATTTGGCCCAAGCCCAAAATTGGTTAGATCCAAGCCAGGAGTATTCAGGCTGTGTTACGCCATTGACATCAAAACAGTTGCCAAACTTTTGTCAAGCGTAAACCGTTGATAATTGAAGCTGGTCTGGGGAAGATCTAGGGGAATAATGAATGCTTTGTGGGTGGAGATGAAGGCCGAAAGGGAGTACTCCCCAAACACAAGCACAATCACACACTCCCATACACACACAAACACCATCACTAGATACCATGTTGCAAAAGACAGCCGCAATGCATGTCCATGTCAGTGGGTTTGTGAGGGAGCCGATGTCCGTGTGCCATGTGTGCCATGTTGCCTGCTCTGCGGCTTCCATTTGCCCAAAAAGGAGAATCATGGAGCAGGGGGGGAGCCAGCCAACAGGATTGGGCCACTGTGTTGACCAAACACACGAAGCTCTGGTCCGGACTGGTAACTGGTTCTGAGGCTGCCCAACACATACATGTTGGCTAAGAGTTTTAAATTCCAGCAGACCCACTGCCATTCCTTAATGAGCAATGGGCTCTTACTCTGTCTATCGAAATTGGTTTCTGTTGGGTCTGTCCGCAATGATTTGTCATTTTCTGTTCGGTTTTTCTTCTCAATAATTGATCAATGGCACTCACCTTGTACGGGGAACGTTTACGGAAAATGTGACCAACATGGGAGCAGGGTACTATCTCCAAAGTGCCACCGCACATCCAGGTCTTGAAGGAGAGCTCCAGATTCTCACCACCCCAAATATCGAATCCGGAATCATAGGTGCCCAATCGATCGAAGAATTCCCTGTCGATGGAGAACAAACCACCGGCCATTGTGGGTGAATAGACGGGTTCGGCGGTGCTCTGGAAAAGAGAAAGAAGAATGATGGAAAATCATTGGTAAGAGGAATTTCATTTGGCTAATTGATACTACTCGGCTGACTTGAACCAGAGATAAGCAGTAAAGGGTGGAGTAGGAGATGTGCCACAAGTGGCAGAGCACCTGGGCAAACTTTTCGCAGTCAGCAGCCCCCCCACCTACACCCTGTTCAGCTTTTTTTGGGAAAAAGTTTGCTGCCTTCCTTTTGATTTTTTTTTTTTTTTTTTGGTTACTTTCAACAGCTTGCCACAAAATACTTGAGGCTACGTTTTATTTAGTACAACATTTTCATTGCTCCCCCCTGTCTCTTTTTCCCTTCTAAGGGCTATCTCTTCTTTACACATTTCATCTGTTTTTCAGAGCAGTAAAATTTTGTTGTAATTGAATATTTGGTTTTCCCTTTTTGGGTAGCATTTAATTGCTGAATTTCATTCTATTTTCCTGTGCAATTTAATGTCTGGCATATATTTTGCTCTTGCCTGAATATTTGTATTTTTGCTTGTGTTGTGTTTGCACTTCCAGCAGCCAGCAGCCAGCTGTTATAAAATAATTAAAAATAAATACAGTTTTCCATTTGCTTTTTTTGTTATTGTGTTTTGCTCATTTCTGTGTAAGGCAAAATAAGTTTAAAGCAAAATAAAGTAAAATGTTTGAGCATCAAATTACAACCGGATGTCGGAGAATGTTTTCTCTTTAAATAAAATATAGGGTGGCCCACGGAAGATTTGCGTTTTCAAATCGTTATAAAAATATCAATATTTCCCAATGTTCTTCGAGCGTAAACTTAACAGCAACTTTTCTGCTAAATATCTGATACATTGACAATGACATTCAAAATGTCAAAGTCAAAATAATCGATAGTTCAAACAGCAAACACTACATGGGCCACCCTGTATAAGTCTTTATTAAAATAAAGTTTAAAAACATTCATTAAAAGGGATAATATGATACCCCAATTGAAGGTTTCGACTCCTTATTTTATATTTTCCTTGAATTTATTTCACACCAAACCATAAAGTTCCTCATTCAGGGTATTAACTGTGGCTTAATTGTTAATAAATTAACTGAAAATTCGCATTTTTATTCACATATATTTATTGTGATTGCATTCCATTTATTGGATTGCTCGCTGGGGAGACATCATAATATTTTTCGTTATTACGAAACAATGCAAAATATGCGTCTGGGGTTGCTAGCAATAATTATTACGTATACGCAACGTGGCAAATGCCAAAAGGATACAACAATGAGGGGGAGAGGGGGTGGCTAAAACCAACAGATACAATTGCAGGTCAAGTAATTGAGTTTCATGAGCGAAAAAACGCTGACAAACGTAAAACGGAAAATGTGAAAATAAATGAAATTGTCACTGGTAAAGGCCCAAGGGGGAAAAACCGGGAAAATGCGATGCCAGGGATGAGTGGAAGACAACTAAAAACGTGTAACTTAAAGTCAACAAGAAGTGCGGGATTCAAAAAAAAATAAGAACAAAAATAAAAAATATCCGCCTGCCGGACAACAAAGTGAAATCTCCAAACGCGACAAGTGCCATTGTCCTTTTGCCGGGGAAAATCCCGCAGGGGAGAGGTTTAAGGTCTGTCGGAAAATTCGCAGTGTGACATTTAATAAACGCCTGCAGAGGCTCACGAAAAGTGGAGAAAGGGTTACTGTTCTGTTTCTTTTTTTTTTTTTTAACTACAGGGACAGGCACAACAAATATGCGAAACGCACTGAAAGGGGGGGAGCCTGGGTGTTTGGAAAAGTTTTACTGGCATGCGGGCGGCCATTTTTTGTTGCCACCGGAAGTGACAGAACAAATAGCAAAAGTGAAAAGCTTCAAGGTGATTCCGGGGGGGCGCTGCGAGTGTAAAAAGATTTCTTTTTATTGTTACAATCCACCCACAGCTTCTTCTTCTTTTTTTGTGCCTTTCCTGTGTGTGTATCCGTTTTTGCTTTCCGCTTTCTCCGCTCGGGAAATGGAAGTAAAAGGCACAAAAAAAGTAAATATATATATTTATATGCATTCAAATAAAAAACATAAAAATCCGCCGGAGTGAAAATAAACTCAAATGAAATAAAATGCAGAGCTGAATAAATAAATATACACGAAAATATGAGTGAAGCGTGCTGCTGCTGTTGCTGCTGCTGCTGCAGTTGCAGTTGCTGTTTGTGCAAACAACGCGGCAGAACTTTTCGCATTTCCAAGCCCTCTTGCACACCCAGTCAGCTCCACGGTTTTCCCATTTACCCGTTGGCCCGTATTTGTGTGTTTGCCATTGGCTGCATATAATGCAGCTTAAATGATTTAAAAGCGGGAAAATAAACGCAATTTTTATGGTCGTGTCATGTGGCGTTATGTGGGTGTGGAAAAAAAGAAGGAAAGTCCTGGCTCTACTAAAGGAAAGTTGAAATATAAAATTGGAAAATAAAACCGCAACTAGCGCTAATGAAGTTTTCAATTTTTAAAGTCCATTTTCAAACTCTAAACAGATTGCAAAAATGTAAATTTTATTCATAAAATGTTTCATCATAACAACAAAGAACTGTCTTTTATTTTCCCAACCAATCATTAATAAATTTTAATTATGTAATTTACATTTTAAGAGTGTTGACTGACGTTTTTTTTTCCCCCAACAATCCATTAACAAAAACAGAAAATAATTGCATTTTAAATTGTAAGCTTAAACCTTTTATGTTAAAATGTGAAAATCAATCAATGGTTTTGCATTTCAGCGGACAAAGTCCTTTTCAATCGGCCATTAAACTCGCAAATTCCCCAATAAAGTTGCAAAATATTCAATTTCAATAAGCCAATTGTTCTTTTCACGTTGCTTTTTCTTTTTCGGGCAATTTATTTAGCCCTAATCCCTGCCAAGAGGCCCACTTGAGCGAGCCTTGCTCAAGCAAAGATTCATGGCCAAGAAGAATCAATTTTTCCCAAGAAGAGAATATTATAAAGAACATGCGAAAGAATAAAAAGAAAATCAGAGGCCGGAAAATAGAGCTTAAAATGACAAAATGTCAAAAGTAACTTGAGAACATTTCTCATTTGCTTGGCATATTTGGATATCAAAATAAATCACCGTCCATTCATAATGGTTACAGTGTGTGTGTGTGTGCGAAACACTTTATGATGAGAAATGAAGGGCGAATCTCAAGGGGGAGGTGGTTTTGGTTGGCATTCTGGATCAGCTCAACCGCAAATTAAGCAAGCGAAACCCCAGAATGTGGTTCGGTTTTAAAGGCCTGGCTTTGTGAATAATGTGCTAACCTGCTGTGGCTTTCAAGCTAAAAGACGTCCTGAGAAAATCTACAGCCCCCTACGCCCAACCACCTCCCTTGGATTCCTTCAGCTGGAAAACCTCTTCAGCGGGTGCGGCAACAACATATCCACATTAACATCAAATAAAACAGTCACGTCGAGCGGCAGGAGGCGCCGAAAAAATATGCCCAGGAATATCGTAAATGTCAGCGAAGCCTTAGGGCTGGGTGGTGTGCTTTGGCTGGTCTTACAAGGGGTGTTCTAGGAAGAGCCACCTACTCTGGATTCCCTCCAGTAACACGCACCAAGTGCCGATGGGTCGCTTAGCTCACAGCAGGCAGCGGTCCAGGAGGTAGCAGGCGATGATAATGTTTAAAAAATAAGATAGAAGGGGGAGTACGGCTAGGGATGTACCCTATGCGAAGTCATATAACTACTTAAAGTTAAGAACTAAGTCAGCTTGTGTTTATTTTGCGATTAAAACTTTAAAAAATTGGTAATTTTATGAACGGAAGAAGGAGTTTCAGAAGTACATTAGCTTTAAGGACTCAAAGTTGCAGAAAATTAGGCAAAACGAAACTTTACCTTTCCACTTCCAACATTTTAGCATAACACCTTATCAAAATCACATTCTAATTCTTATACCCCTTGCTTAGCAAGCCGTCTGCTACCCTGTAAGTGGTTATATATAATGCTCGAAAAAATAAAGAAGACGTTGTCGGTAGGAAGCGAGACACGCGCTGAAAGAAAATGAATATAACGCTGCTTGACATAATGTGAAGTTGACTTTGACAAGTGCTTGGGCTGCACCTCGCCCCCTCTTAAGAAGAAGGCGACAGCAGCGGCACCGCAAATGGATATATACATATAAGGACATATATAGAGAGAGATACATGTAGAAACAGGATACAGGCAGGATCTGCGAGATGGCAAAGTGGCAACTTAGCGGGGCCAAGTTAAGAGTTTCATGCGCTCGGCTTGCTATTTGCATTTCGAGTCAAGCACCAAAAAGTCGCAATCTTGGCCAAAGTTAATAGTTGAGGAGTGCTTCAGGTCAATGGGCGACTGACTGAAAGGCAGCTGCCGGGGAAATGGAAGTGTAAGAAGAAATGGGGATAAGTAGCCCTGCATCCGCGTGGATATATACTCGTTTATATCTTTGGGCTACAATTTGGCTTATTCCTCGAGTGCTGCAAATCCTTTCCGTTCCTTTGACTTCCATCTTAACCCACTCGGCATCGCAAAGGAATCAGACTGCTTAAAAACGTATTTAAATGTTTAATGTAGCGAAAACACACACACACATACACATGGTGGAGGAGGGGGGAACGGCAGGTTAAGGTTGAAATTAGCATAAAAAAGTTGTTTCAGTGCCCTGGTGATTTTGCTTTGATTACCGGTTCACTGGACTGTTAGCAAATGCTTAACCGCCCCAAGCCCCCTCTCTCTCAGATAACCCCCTTAACACACACCACCATCATCATAAAAGAGGAAGATGGAAAGTCAGGAGCGCAGTAGGTGTCCTTTATCACAGGTAGTTTATCCTCTAAAACCTGTATGTACTTGTAGTAGAAAGTTTTACTAAACCTCAGATTCTAGAGTAGCTTTTGGTTTAAATTAGGATTTGGTTAAGTTGGTTAGTGGCTTTTGCAAAATGTAAATATTCTATTCAAAGTCGGGAAGATACATTTCCCTTTGCTGCTATTGATACTTAGTTATGTT